CGCCCATTTTTACAAAGTGTCATGTTCTGTGTCCTTGTAGTCCCCAGCTCCCTCCAGGTTTCCCCCAGTCACTTTATACTTAGTTATCCCATGCCATTTAGTTTAGCATCCCCATAGATTTAGTGTTTGTTCTGGTGTCTAGTTTCAGGGTTATTAGTTCTCTTATCTTTAGTTCTCTGTATAGTTAGATTATCCAGTCAGTTTCTTCCTTTAGAACAATGTGTTCCTTCCCCATTTAGTTCATTAGTCTCTCCTGATCCCTTCAGCTCACACTCCCTTCACACCTGCTACCTGTTTCCCTGATTGCTTCCCTCTGTGTATAAAACCCTGTCTTGTCTCTCAGTGTTTGTTGGTCCATCGTATGTGTCTGCGTTGTTTGGTCCCTTTCATGTTTCTCCAGGTTTGTGCTCATGACAGAGCTTCTTTTGTTTTGTTTTTGGTCGTTCAGTTTGTTCAAGATCAGGTTTGGTTTCTTTAGATTTTGGCGCATCCTTTAAATAAAGGAATTTCTTTTGGCGCATCCTTTAAATAAAGGAATTTCTTTTCTTAACCACCCCTGTCTCTGGTCATTCTGGGTTTTCTGCATCCTGGGTCCAACCCACCTGCTCGCAGCGCAACACAAAATGAAAACATCATCAGATTAAATATTAACAAAGAACTTTCAATATACACAACAGCTGGACTTGGTCAGTAAATTAGCCATGAGGCAACATGACGAATAAACTTAACCCACCTTTCTCTTGATCAAGCTTGTTATATATAACTGATGGGTTCATTCTACCACCAACATCAAACAAACTGGACTGTGTGAGGTGGTGTGTGTGTGTGTGTTCAGGTCCACTCAGACTGAAATCCACTTGGCTCAGCGAGGTCTTTTATTAGAAGTGATTACACAATCATTAGATCATTAAAATGGAAACGAAACACACACAAGATGGAGCTTTAGGGAGTCGTCCTCGTGTCAGTGGTGTCCAGGAACAGAAACTTCCAGCTTCACTGGGGAGTCTAACTGTGGCTGTGAGTGTATTAGTCATGGAGTCTGACGGCGTGCTTTTGGACCCTTTTTTATGTGAGCTGAAAGGTTTTAATGTCATAATGCATGATCAGTAAAACTGTTTCTACAACCTCTAACTGTCACGTTAAAATCATAAGTATAAGTATTTCAAAAGAAAATATGACTAAAACTCCTCCATGAAAAACTTTAAGTGATTGTGTATTGTTATAACAAACCACACAGACATCAGCAGCATTTATGCTAGCAGAGAAGCATTAGAAAAATGATGGGTGTAGTTTGCTTCAGGTGAATGGCACACAGGACCGGCATTTGGAAGAGGGAGCCTTTCTCTAAGGCTTCCACAAAGTTTTGGAGTTGGATCTGGTCATCGACTTCCTTTTCATAAACTAGCAAAAGGACGATCATGAGTACAACTCCTACCAGCATCACAACACCGCTAGCGAGCCAACACTTCCTGTTTGGCTCCACGTTTGCAGCTAGACTAACAGAACTCCTTGGACGACCAACTTCGGAAAGAGGCCTCTGGAGTCCTCACTGCATTTTCCTGATGTAGTCTGCTAGAGTGTTCTTTATCTGGGGAGGAAACTGGCTAACCCTACCCAATGTAGTAGGTGTGATTCTCATGTACATGCTCACTAAGTCTAAACACTTTTTAGCTATTACATCATTTACAAAAGGCTGCCATTGTCCCTGTAGATAGTTTCAGGAATGCCGTGGTTAGGAACGATCGTCTTTAACAGTTATTGCATCACAATTTTTGCTGGGAATTGTTTCTTTACATTTAGAATTGGCATACAGATATAAAATTAATTAAGTGAAGTATAAAGCATTTTATTTAAATATCCATTCATTATTTTACAAGCACAGTGAGCCGCATCAGATGGATGGAAGAGCCGCAGTTTGCTGACCCCTGGTGTAGCCTATAAAATGACATGTTTTCTCCAGGAACAGAGAGGACACAAACTCAATACATCTCTTTTATTGTGAGGTAATAATTTGTCCGAGTTTTGCAGTTACGGGCGGGAGTAGACATGCGCACTGCAGGTGCGGGCGGAAGTGTAACACACACATTGCAGTTGCAGGCGGTAATGGTCAGAAATTCAGCGGGAGCGGGCAGGAGCGGGATGAATAAAACAGTCCCGCGCAGGGCTCTAAAAGCATCTATAAGTACTAAACAGTACTTATTGGGATCGCTTTGGTTCAGCTCAATAAAATCCATGTGTGATGTTTGAAAAGGGTACTTTGGTGTTGAGAACTGTCCTCGTTTTGGTCTCATATTTCCTTGTGAGTTGTGTTTTACACAGATGGTACAAGCCATACAAAAAGATTTTAGATACGTTGTTAAATTGTAAAATGTTTATTATCTCCTGCATCGCCCTGCTGACACATGACAAGGTCCATGCGTGAGCATGGCTGCTGCTTTAAAGAGGGATTTTGGCAGAATCTGTTTTGAATCTGCTTCATATCCGCCCAGTCTCTGTTTAGAACAGCATAGAAACCCATGATGTCACTTCTAGTTATGGTGCATCCATCTGTCTTTGTTTTAATATAATGTGATCTGTTGCATCAGGAGCGAATGTGTGTGCGTGTGCGTGCGTGCGTGTGTGCGTGTGTAGAGACGCCATGCCGGCCTCGAGCAGCTTCCTTAGCTCGTTCATCTGCAGGGTGATTTGCGTTAGAGACAGGGTCCGTGTGGGTTTTTGTAGTCTGGCAGAAGCAGCGTTGTGGTATCTGTCAGATTTTTAATTGGTGGAAACATTCCAGAGTTTCTGGAGTCCATTCAGCCTCATCAGACATGGACATTGACCTTGAATGAATCAAGTCAAGATTCATTGATTGATTGATCTGCTTTTTTGTCTCTGGTCTGGGGAATTGAGAAATAGCATATTTTCTGTCTTTTTGCAGCTGTTTCCCCAAGTTGCATCATGCTTTTTAACCCATGTGCTAACGTCAGGCATAATGCTGTTAAGCAGACCATTTTTTTTACTGCTGCTGACAAGCACTGTCAGGTGCTTCACCTGGTGTCATTCTGCTGTGAACTTTAAATTCTTTTTCACATCTGATGTGGAAATCATCCAAATCCTCTCCTAATTTTTGTTTTATGCCAGAGAGCTGACTGTAATTAGCCCTTTTTGCAAATTGGGTTTTAAATCGGTTTTCAGTGCGTTTCACTGTATTTCATATTCTCAAGCTATATGTGGGGGTGGGGTGGACTTGTACTGGAACAGCCTGCTGAGGCTCAGACGGTGCTGGAGCAGAGGCAGGTGTGTTAGGGGCAGCAGCAGCTCAACAGGTTGAGCGGGTTGTCCAGTAATCGGAAGGTTGCAGGTTCGATCCCGGCCCCGGACAGAAAATTCTGCTGTTGTGTCCTTTGGCAAGACACTTAACCCACCTTGCCTGCTGGTGGTGGTCGGAGGGACCGGTGGCGTCTGCGCTCGGCACCCTCGTCTCTGTCAGTGCGCCCCAGGGCAGCTGTGGCTACATCGTAGCTCATCACCATCAGTGTGTCAATGTGTGTGTGAATGGATGAATGATACACTGTAGTGTAAAGCATTTTGGAGTCTTTACTCTGAGAGGTGCTATACAAGTACGGGTAATTTATCATTTCCTCTCGCATAGGGAGGATAAAGAATGTACTTTAGTCCTTTTTCTTTTCTTTTGAGTTTTTAATTGCATCTCTTAACCATTTCACCTAGGAAAGGTAGGTAGGTGTGTGTGTGTGCGTGCGTGTGTGTGTGTGTGTGTCTGCTCTGTCCTCTCCATCCCCAGTGAGTCATGGTGGATGGCTGCTTATACTGAGCCAGGATCCTCTGGATGTTTCTTCCTGTTAAAAGGGAGTTTTCCTCTCCACTGTCGCTGCATGCTTGCTTACTATGAGGATTGCTGTAAAGACTCTGACTCTAGTCAGTGACTCGATGCAACCTGCTGGGTTCCTTATATAGGAAACTTTTCACTGATTGGCTTAATGAACTGACCTGAATTGGAATGTTTACTGTGTGAAGGTCCTTGAGACGACTCTGGTCGTGATTTGGCGCTTTATAAATAAACTTGAATTCAATTGGAAATTGTAACTTTATACCTGACTCTGTCTGAATTAATATGAAGTGTGTTATGGTCCCTGAATAAGTAAAGTAACTAGAATTTTCTGATTAAACATTCAAAGATCAATCAGATTAATATTTCATATTTATATGGAATTATGACATCTTATTGGTCATGGCCACCCATTTTTCTTAGGCCCACCCACAAATTAGTTTCTGGCTATTCCACTGATGTGAACACTCCTCACATGTCGGCAGACAAAATAAACACAAAACGGGCACACACACTCACCCAAGAGTGAAAAATACTAACTTATCACTGTTAGCATTGATGCTAGTTAGCTTTGAGCTCCATGGGTAACTTAATGCTGTCTGCTTTTCTTGTCTGGTCAAACAACAAAATAGTAGATCTTACCTCTCTGGGACAACTCTGCATCCCTCCTGAAATAGATTTGGCCCAAACATCTGCACCTTTGAAGATAGTTTCCATTGTTATGACTTTGTTTCAATTCTCCTGTTCTTCAGTCTTTGGGAAGATGGAGGCTTCTTATGTTCACAAGAAAATCCTTCTGTAGTGCTCTGTGTGCTGGCTTCAGTTCTCTCCACAACACTGTTTCAACTAACCAGAGAGGAGAGAGGATGCTCCTGGCTGGAGGCTGGAGCTGCTGGTGGAGAGTGGAGGCCAATAAAAAACGCAACATAACGGTGATGATGAAGACTAGGCAACCTCGCTAACTCAAATATGATTGGCTGTGGGACCAGGAAGAGTGAGGGGGGTGCTGTTTGTTAACAGAAAGGCCGTCACGACCCGGCTCTTTTTGAAACAGAAAACCTGGCGTTCCCCATCTAGATCTTGTCATTGTAACCTGTGATAGACACATTGGACTGTTCCGTGATTATTTTACTGTCCAATTCTTACATAGTTCACCTTTAACACGGATCAAAACAATGCCACAGTGAATGCGTGACATACTCAAAGCTAAATGCGGTCCAACGAAGTAGTGCGTGACCTTTGTTCTGGTGGTGACTTTTTTTGGGCCAGGCAATATATTTGAAATAAGATGCATTGAAAAACCAAATATAATGACTTCACATGACTACAGCATTATTAGACACCCATTTATTCGGTTTATCCACTAAAAACTGTTTTGGTGATTTGCTCCTTAAATAATAGAGGAAGCCTCATTTATGTAACAGTTCAGTTCTACAATCTGTTTAACAAAAGGCTAAACTTTCTATGTCTACGAGACGTCTGCGTGTGTGAGCGGGAACGTGGACCTGAAGCTTTGAACTTTTCTGAGTTCATTAATATTTGAGCAGGCCTGCTGTCCTTCACTCAAAGTCACAGCCTAGTAGCTCCACCCTCATGGTGATAGAGTTCATCCAGGTCTGGGGGATAATTCGGATGAAGCGAGAGAAGAGAGGGGGGTAGATGTAGTTCTTCACGTGGTTGCTGTTATTTGTGTTTCCAGAGAAGATCTGGATTTGATGAGAGAGAAAGAAACAGTTAAAGAGTAACTAAACCCCAAATAAACAAACATGTTTTTGCTTATAAACTGGGTCTTTACAAATGCAATCTTTCTGTTTCTGTGCATTTTTTACATGTTTGTGTAAACTTGATTAAATCTAGAATCTAGGTCTAAAACGTCTCAGTGCTGCCCCCTGTGGCAGAACAACAGCTTCTGCATTTTAAACTTGTGATTGGCTGGGGCTGGTACAATTTCACATCATCGGTACAGTCTCCTCCCACTCCTCCTCCCTCCCAGGATGGAAATTCCCACACTTGGCCATGCCCCTCTGTGCCTCCTGGCAACGCCCACTTTCATAGCATTTTTTCTATCTTGACTAGGGGTGGAGCTACATTTTCTGATGATGTGCCATCCCTCTTCAAGATGCTGCATAAACGGTGACCGTCGGTCAGCTAACCTTGATGGACTGGTCCTCGTCATCCATGTAGTTCATCCAGTGGATCCCATTTTCACTGGACTGCAGACTGTAGGAGCGGACGTACATCTCCTTCCCCATAAACTTGGCTCCCTGTGTTATGATGCCTGTTATCTTTTTGATGTGGGGCAGCTCCACCTGAAGCCACTGGTTAATGTCGTTATTCTGAAAACAGGCCACAGACAGAAGTCCCACGTTTTAGGGGTGTGAGCTGCATCAAGTCAAATATGGAACATCTTCTGTTACTATAACGTGACACATTATATACGCCACTGAGATTCCTACCTTAGCCCTCCATGCGTTGACAGAGCCCTGTTTGTTTAGACGACCCAGTGAAGCTTTCCAGGGTCCAAAGTACCAGTTGGTAGCTGAGGAGCTGGCTGTCATGTACTCATCTTGTATCAGTCCGTTCTCCAGGCCCAGAGGGACTGAGCAGCCTATAGGATGACATGTTTATCGTTCAGTTGGGTCAAAGTTAACCACTGGCCCCTTTTCAACTCTATAGGGAGCCTAAGTCACGCCCACCTACTTCTGGACCCTGGGCCCCCTGAAGAACGAAAAAATGAATGCAAGTCAACGGGGCTAAAAAATCTTTTTTCTTATTCCGCTTGTTTTGTGCCATGGATTTCACATATGATATCCGTGAATTTTAAAGACGCATTTTGATACCAAGAATGTGCTTATTTTCGAACGGGGGGAAACACTATTTTAGGTTTAGTGTGAAAATAAGTCCAGGACTACAAATGTGCTTCACCAAAGTGACGCCATCGAACCAGACACAGAGAAAACTGAGGAAAAAGGACTGTAGGTTCAGCAAACTTCCCACAGTAGGAAGGAACCACCATAAATCTGGTCATGTGGTCAGTAGCAGCTACGCTAGGGGGGAGGAGCTTATGTGGTGATGTCACATATGCGACGTGCCGATTTATGGTGTGTAGTCATGCTAATTACGAACTTTTACGAGCTGATAAATCTCAAAGTACGTGACAGTCGAAACACCATCATTAGTTTTCATGTAAATATAAGTACAACATGTGTGTGATCCAGGCTGTAAGGCAAAGCGGGTTAGAAAATAACATTTTAAGCCCCGTTGACTTGCATTCATTTTTTTTTTGTTCTTCTGGGGACCCGTGAGACTTACGCTCCCTTTAGAGTTCGACTGGTTTTTACAAAACAAATGAGAAAACTATTTGGGCAATTCATCATAGCTGATTGGCCCCCAGAGTTCAAAAAGTGGTGAAAGTGGACTTTAGTGCCATTAATTGGGCTTTTCAAGTCCTTGCTCATTCTCTCTGGAACCAGCTTTCACTCACAATCCAAAGTACCCACCACTGGCAGGCTGGAAGAGCAGGTTGAAGACTCATTTTCATAGGATGGCTTTCTCCTAAAGCTTTTTGTTTCTGGTTTTTGTTTTGTTTTCTTCATTTGAATTTTCTTTTATCTAAATTTAATTTCATTTGCATTTTATTCTTCTCAGTAATATCTATGCTCTTATTTTTGTTCTGAGTGTTTTTATGACTTGCTACCACATTTTATCTTTGTAACTTTTCCTGTTCCTCGGCTTCCGGAGGAGCAATGTGGTTCTCATCCTGGCCATGGAATACTGGACCAGCTCTATACCCTTAGGGGGATCCTGGAAGGTGTGTGGGAGTTTGCCCAACCAATCTGCATGTGTTCTGTGGATTTGGAGAAGGTGTTCGACCGCGTCTCTCAGGGGGCCCTGTGGGGGGTGCTCCAGGAGTATGGGGCACCAGGCCCTCTGATACGGGACGTTTGGTCCCTGTATGACCGGTGTCAGAGCTTGGTTCACATGGCAGTAAGTCGAGCTCATTCCCAGTGAGAGTTGGACTCCGCCAAGGCTGCCCTTTGTCACCAATTCTGTTCATAACTTTTATGGACAGGATTTCTAAGCGCAGCCAAGGTGTGGAGGACATCCGTTTTGGTGGCCTGAGGATCAGGTCTCTGCTTTTTGCAGATGATGTGGTCCTGTTGGCTTCATCAGAACGTGATCTTCAGCTTTCGCTGGAGTGGTTTGCAACTGTGTGAAGCAGCTGGAATGAGAATCAACTCCTCTAAATCTGAGACCATGGTCTTGATTAGGAAAGGGAGATAATGCCTTCTGGAGGAATGTCTTTGGGACCAGAGGGAATAGGCTGTGTATTGGGAGCATGAGTGGGTGTCTAGCATTCATTTTTGTAAGTCTTAGGTTGTAAGTGGAAGTGTGAGCATGAGGGAGGGAGTGTGTGACTGTATATATCAGGTGGGGTCATGGACTCCTCCCCTCTCTTGGGACTTCTTGTGCTGCTACACATCTTTCCCTGCCCTCCCCCTGCCACACTTAGTGTGGATTGTGGGGCCTTGATATGCCTGAGTGCCTGCCTAAGATTTTTGGCATCTGTCTAATTGATCCCGGTGGCTGTATGGTGGGATCTGAGTCCCTGGGCTCTGTTGGATCCACGGTGGGGCTGGTCAGTCCCGGGTCGCTGGGTTCCAGGCTCGGCCAGCTTGGGGTGGGAGGCTGCGGGTGGGCCTGTGGGCTTGCTGCTGATATCTCCCGGGACTCTGCTATATATATAAACACTAATATATATATATGTATATATATATATATATATATATATATATATATATATATATATATATATATATATATATATGTATATATAGTGGTCTGTTTATCAGACACAGTTTAGGTTGCCATAAAGATGAATAGAATACTATAAAGGCATAGTTCAAATATTAAACTAAAAATTTTCTGCTAATGGTATTCATTCAAATCAAGTTGTTCTTTATTGATTTATTCAAGTTATGTTTACTAAAAAAGGAAATTGTTAATATGAAACAAACATTTTGAGTTTTATTTACTTAAATTATTGAAAAGGTTAAACTAACTCAACAAATTTGAGTTCTAAAAACTTTTTTTTAATTATGAGTTTCGCCTACTCAATTACTTTTATTACTTTCAACTATTTGGGTTTACACTGCAGTTTTCCTTTCATATATTATAAAACATGCATGTCTGATTAATTGGGGACTCTAAATTGTCCCTAGGAGTCCCTAGGCATGTTCATTGTCTTGGTTGTCTATGTGTATCGTATGTGTGCCCCACCCACCTTCAGACGATGAGTAAGTGAGTTGTAATAAAAAGTTTAAACATGTACCGTCCAGCTCACAGCCGTAGAATTCCATGCGAAGCGTGGCTGTGTTATACCAGTTAATGGGGTAGAGCCTAATAAACCGTGCAATCACAGGAGGAATGAAAGTATTTTTCTTTGTTTCGTATGCCTCTTGGTTTCCCGAGAACACCTAATTAAACAGACACACACAAATTAAAGGAAATGGTACATTTCTTCCACACTACCACCATCCCAATTACCACCACCACCTTCCAGAAAGCCCTGCTGTCTCCTTTGTAGTGAATCCATTTACGGCGGTCATTGCTGTAGGAGATGGAGTACTTTGTCACAAAGTGGGGCCGCAATCGCTGCTTGGCTCCTTGCGTGGCGATCTGACTAATCACTACTGGCCGCTGGAAGTCTACCTGTATTAGGTGATATCCACAAGAAACAGATTATATCTCCCTGAAAAGTGATCTGACTAAACACTCCAACATCTACAAACTTACCTGGATCCAGCTGCCATTCTTCTCTGTGCTCCATGCATTTTTTGTACCCTGGTTGTTCAGTCTGGCTAGATGGGGCTCCCAGTTTTCTTCAAATGAGGGAAAAACATATTTTTGTGTAAAACTGTCTTAAAGAGAGACTGCACAAATTTTAGGCCAGCTGAAGTTAAGTTAGCCAACAAAGGTGTGTCTATACTACACAACCCAGAACCTTATACCACCTCCGGGTTTGGGCTGAGACGGGAAGGGTTAGCTCGCTATTTTTTCTGCTCCGATTGTAAAACTGGTTCTCAAAGCCAACCAGAACAGTGCCACTACCGACACTTTTGTGGCCCCCTTCTGTTATATGTGTTAGGGTGGAGTTACAACACAGTTCACTGATTGGGGGACAGAAATGTGTCACTACTTGCAACAAGCAAAACAAACCTCCGCATTCTGCTGTTTGTATTTTCATTAGTTGTACACAGATGTGAGAAAATGCCAGCAAGTAGCAGCAAGTTTTGGTCAGCTTCACAGCTCAGTACATTCCTTACCATTGTTGTGGGAGTCCTAACTTAGAATGAGCAAGACGGATCGCTACGGAAGCACGTTTTTAAGGAAGTTTCTCAGCGGATGGGAGCCAAAAGATTCGACTGGACATCAGAAGGATGTCGGGCCAAGCTGAAAAAACTAAATCCCAATATGGAAAAGCTAAGGACAAAAACAGCCAGAGTGGAATGGAAGAAATCCGTGGAGGTGCTACGATGCCCTGGACACTATTTATAGCCACAGACCAGCAAACTGAGGCAGGCCTGGACTCAGAGACTGTGAGTCATATGTGGACATGTTGGTTAGCATTCCTTTTGTATCATTACAGCACAAATATACTGAATAGTTTCACAACTTATTTTAGGCCGTAAGGTCGTTCAGAGGTCTTGTGGCTACTTGCTCTTTGCTTCATAACATTAGTACATTCGTACCAATTTCAAACGCCAAATTTGTCCTCTGAAAGTCCCGCAGCTTTTTTACAATCGTTGATTTTGTTTGGGACTAGTTTGTTCAGAGCGTAATAAGAAAGTAGTGAAGCGGCTCTCGTGTGATCGTTTTAGACCAATGTGGTGCGCGCATTCAGTAAAAACATTTCAAAATGGCGGACAACATGGATTCAGAAGGTAGCAGTGAGGACGAGCATAAATCACCGGAAAAATCAACAAAAATGATTGAATGTCTACAGAAAGTGTGCTACATGCATATCGGTTCTGTGAAGCACGAGCAGGCAAAGGGTTTTACGTTTACTCGATGGAATACCTACAGGGAAGCCGTCACTAAGTGGTGTGGATTGCATGGTGAGAGTTGAGCGTTGGCTGAACTGTATGAACAATACCAAAGTATAGAATTGGACAATATTGCTGAAAAGTCACTGTCTCTTGGTTTAACTGTTCGACATTGAACCGGTTCTTCACAAATAGTGACACTTGAAGAGACTTGGACATCACGGGACACAGTTATGGGTCTAGACACTAGCCTTGCCCAACTGCAAGTAGTAGAGGGCAGACACAAAATACCAGCAGGGTTCTCTAAGAAGACATCTACTATGCTTGTGTGGGACAATATAGACTTTGGGGAGGAGACTCTTTCAGGTCTTGGGACTGCCCACCAAACAAACAGTATTGTTGCAAAATTCTATGGTTGCATCTGTGACAACATCAGTAAGACAGCCATTAAAGAAGGGGGTGTCCTCGATCCAAGCATCCACTAGGGTTCCAGTGGAACAGTACCACCAGTCGAGAAGACTAGGTCCACAGAACTAGAGCCCTGCACTGAAGCCCTAGGCCCTCGGGTCGGCCCGGCCTGACGGCCCTCGGGCCGGGCTTCGGGCCAACAACTGTGTAATTACCTCGGACACGGGCCGGGCCGGGCGCCTTTATTTTTAATCGAATTCATAAAAAAATGGAAACACAAACGCAGCAGTAGAGCCCTGCGCGGGACTGTTTTCTTCATCCCGCTCCCGCTGAATTTCTGACCATTACCGCCTGCAACCGCAACGTTAAACTCCCGCCCGCACCCGTAGCGTGCATGTCTATTCCCGCCCGCAACCGTAAAACTCGGAGAAGTTATTACCTCACAATAAAGAGATGTATTGAGTTTGCGTCCTCTCTGGTCCTGGAGAAAACATGTCACAACCCGCGCCTCTTCCATCCATCTGATGCGGCTCTCTGTGCTTGTAAAATAACGAATGGATATTTAAATAAAATGCTTTATATTTTACTGAATTAATTTTATTTCTGTAAGTCAATTCTATGTAAAGATTGTCTGCGTAAACCTGAACAGGTCCAACCCGGTCTTTACTGTGAGACCGGGTTGACGCGTCACGCTTGTGCGTAATCAAATGCGCTTTCTGAGCTGAAGAGATTCTGGGCTTCTCCTCAGACAGCTCCTGGATGTGTCGCCACATTGGAGACAGGAACAAGCACTAGTCAGCCAAAGTTTCATAATCAGGGAACATTTTCTAAGTGACAAGTCTCTCTGAGAGACAGGGTTTGGAAAACACTCGCTTCAGTGGGAGGAAGCTTCCCGCATGCGCTCTGGTTCTGCAACGCACTCCAAGCCAATCTCCACAACTTCAGCTCGCTGTGCACATATGCGCTGACAGCGAGCTGCGCTGAGCAGCTCAGATGTTCAGATGGGAATCTTTTCTTGGGTGATTTAGCTACATCTGCGATGTGCGTAACAAATAAAATGTCAGTTCGTCTGCATGCGTCGGGATAATTCTTTCTATTCTTTCTCCGTCAAAATAAACGGTCAAATACGGGAACTATCCGGTCAACACAACACAAGCCCTGCTTTTAACTGTTCTGTTTTCTTGTGAAAATTGTTGGAAAGAGATAAAATTTAACTTGATTACCACCAGAGCCAGTGCGCCGTCATCTCCGTGACGGTAAACGAGGGAAAAACAAATTGATCGGATCCTGCACGTCTTTTAACACATTGGTCAGGATTGACACACTTTGTTTTCATTTAGTTGGTTAAAAAAAAAGTCTGGCTCAGGCTCGGGCCGGGCCAGAGAATCCTGAAAACCTTTTCGGGCCGGGTCGGGCTGGTGCTGCACCCCCTCGGGCCGGGCCGGACACGGGCTCAGATTTTAGGCCCGTGCAGGGCTCTACACAGAACCACCGCAGCAGGCAGAAACATACAGAGTTAACACTCAGTCTGCTGGACAAACTGAACTAGCATGCACTGCTATGAAGTTTCTGGATGCTGACAAATGCACTATCCCTGGACAGTTTTCACACCAGTCATTGAGGCTTCACCCACAGACATGTCAACAGTCTACTCGATCCTTCTGCGGAGTGTTTGCTGATGAGCTGGAACTTGGACAGATAGTGTTAGCGTTTGACCAGGCTATATATGCAAAAGCCCAGCAAATACACTGGAAGAAACAAGATTTCACACAGCGCTTAGTGCTCAGACTGGGAGCGTTTCACACATGCATGTCCTACCTGGATATTCTAGGATCTGCAGTAGCAGGAATGCAAGGTGTAGTAAATGAGAAAGTCAATGTTATTTCTATAGCACTCATCACACACATAGAATCACAAAGTGTTCACATGGATCAAAACAAAATAAAACTGTCATAAAATCAAAATGATCTCAAAACAGAATCAGATTAACATCAGAAAAAATAAAGTCATAAATTATAACATTTCATAAACAGATGAAAGATTAAAATTTTGAGTTAAAAATAAGAAAATAAAAGGTTTAGGTAAAAGCAGCTTTAAATAAAAGGGTCTTAAGCTGTTTTTTAAGCGTCCAGACTGTCATCGCTGCGTAAGGATAAAGGAAGATCATTCCAGAGTCGGGGTGCAACAGTCGGTAAGGAGCGATCACCTCCACTTTTATATCTGGTCTTTGGAACTTCTAGAAGGTTCTGGTGTGTGGACCTGAGGGCTTGGTTTGGAGCATAAGAATAAGAACATAAGACTGAAACCCTGCCCCTGACACTGTGATGCAGGTTGTAGTTGCAGGAAGGGCCCGTGCGAGACAGGAAGTGCTCCTGTATGTCATCAGGACTGTCACGCACAGATCTGTGTCCTCAGGCTGTGATGGAAAAGCTGCATCTGACTACAGCTCAGACAGCTTTTTCCACAAATTTAAACGTTTTCAAGGCATTTAAATCATAATCGCTGCAACTTTCCAACCAACATGTTGGATTTCTGTTTACCAGTGCATGCACCGCATTGGTCTGAAGCGATCGTGTGGGAGCCGCTTCACTACGTTGTCATTATGCTCTGAAGAAACTGGTCCCGAATTAAAACAACCATCGTAAAAATCTTTCAGAGGAGAAACTTTACTTTTGAAAACAGTATGAATGAATTATTTTTATGAAGCAAAGAGCGAGTAGCCACAAGACCTCAGAACGACATGAAATGAAAACGGGGGCCACCTCCAGGCCTATTCATGAAATCGCGCATGACAGTATGTTTCACCCCGCCGGCCAAGTGAGCACAAACTGAAACGCTCAGCTGAAACTGCAAGCCCCTTCTGATCGACACCAGTTACCCGTAACCTGCTCTGCCTGAGATCCTCATCTGTGCCCCAGACAAGCTGGTTCCCAAAGTCACAGACTCTCTTGGTCAGCTTGCTTCTCAAATCAAACCTTCTGTCAGGAATCTTGGCGTGACCTTTGACCCAGCTCTCACCCTGGATTCTCATGTCAGTTCTCTTGTTCGCTCTTCCTTCTTCCATCTCAGGAACGTTGCTAAGCTGAGTCCCATTCTGTCCCACTCTGAACTTGAGACAGTTCTCCACACCCTCATCTCCTCACGCTTAGACTACTGCAACTCTCTTTTCACGTGTCTGAGCAGAACCTCCCTGAACCGTCTACAGGTGGTTCAGAATGCCTGTGCTCGGCTTCTGACCAAGTCCTCCAAACACACCCACATCACCCCGCTTCTCCTCCAGCTTCACTGGCTGCCAGTCAACTTCAGGGTTCAAGATCCTGGTTCTGGTCTTTAGGGCCTTACATGGACAAGCACCATCTTACATTGGTGATCTTCTTAGCCCCTACACCCCCAGCAGGTCCCTGAGGTCCAGTGACCAAAGCCTACTGGTTGTGCAGCACCAGGCTAAAGGTCAAAGGTGACAGATCATCTGCTGCTGTGGCCCCCAGACCCTGGACCTCTCTCCCCCTGAGCCTGAGATCAGTGGACTCAGTGGTCTCCTTTAAACTCACCTGTTCAGGTTTGGTGGGACCTTCATCTCCACCCTCTCCTGGTTCTGCTCATATTCCACCTTTCCCGGGATCTGCTGACTTCCCTCTTTCCTATTAATCTTCTTTCTCCCTTTCCTTACATTATTATTTTTTATCACATTTTCTATTTTCTCTCATTTTAAACATACTTTTAATGATTTTTGAAATCTTTTTTTACACTTAAATTATTTTATGTGCCTCGTGATTTTTATCTTGAGAGGCAACATAATGGATCGTTTTCTTTCTTGTCTTCTCCATTCCAAAGGCAGCAGTGGAATCCAGCATCTGTTCTTCTGGACCATCTACAATTACTTCAGTCCTGGTTTGTTGCGTTTGAATGAAAGCGTTGGCCACTGGGCAGATTAGTGTTGCTGTTTGTCAGGTATGTCTCAGTTGTTTCACCTGTGTTTTCTGATGGAAGTCATAGGGAACACTAGGGACTCTTACTCAATCAAAGCTTTTGTGAGCTCCTCATCTCCCTGAAGGTTCCAGGTGGTTTCAAGTGCTCTAACTCCCTACCAAGGCCTTTTTCTATGGTTCATTTCTACCTTGGTAATGTTTTTCTGTCGCTGGCTCATAGCTTATACAGCTGATGGTAAAAGATTGGGACCAACAGAACTACTCTAGCTGATGAACAAGGTTACTGCAGTGGAAATGGATTAATGGGTTCTTGCAGAAGGAAAAGGGTCCAACTACCTCTGGTGTTCATTGCTGTGATTTGATTGTCCTTCACGCTGCATGACTCAAGGCCCAGTGGATAATAACAATCTAGGAAACATAAAAAAAGTCATTAATAAAACACAACATCTGACTACAGTTAGAAAATGATAACATAGGCTGCATTCAGATCAGTTTAAGTAAAGTGACAGTTTTTTCTGAGGTTCATTGGTTTTATATCATTATCACACTCTTTTAGACATGGGGGTGGGTGTGGCTGGGGGGATTTTTACTTGTGACAAAAATAGCATTAGGTGATCAGTAAGCAGTGCCAGGTGATCTGTATGTTACACAGAAACACAACTCAAGCCTGGTTCATGCTTCTCCGTCAGCTCCGCAAGAGACAGACATGCACGGATTGACGGAAGCGTTTTGCTTTCATACTTCTCCGTCTCCTGGAGAGTGTTGCAAAGCAATTGCCCGGCAGGACAACAGAGGGCGTAGCGCTGTTCTGTGGTATCCTGTCATGTATCGGTCCAAGATCGTGTGTTTATATTGTGTTTTTGTGTATATAAGAGACTTTTAACACGGACATATTTGTCTCTCATTCTCCCACCTCTTCATGCGCTCCCCAAATCTAAACCCATGTTTCCTGTCATTTCTGTCCACGAATAAAATGCTTGCAGCACATTTTTCACTCCTCCAGTCACGGGAGAATTAAACGTTCATATTTTTAGAGTTTTTTCGCGAGGTATTCTTCAAGCTTCTCCGTGTCTGCCGCTAGTTATCCTCGGCTCTCTTTGCAATGGCGGCGCTGTAAACAACAGCGGCGTCCTGACCAATCACAAGCTTGCGTAATCCGTCTCGTTCGATGGATGTTTAAAAAAGTGGGCTCGACTCCGTACGTACTTGCGTGCCTGCCGGAGCCCTACGCAAGGACGGATAATGGCGTTGCGTGTCTCCGCACTGACGCAGACGGAGAAGCATAAATCAGGCTTCAGCAGAAAATGTGTTGTTTTATGGCTTTTTGTCACTCTGAAAAAGAAAACGGCTGCAGGCCACAAAACTCATGAGCAACCAGTGTCTCCACCCCATTGCCAATCAGCAGCCACAGTTGTGTTGCAGCCCAACTCAGCCTTGCCAGTTACCTCATTTATGCAGGAACTAAAAATTGGGGGAAACGCTGAGGGGAAGTACCGAACCGTGCCTTTGGGAACTGTGGTCAGGCTGAGACGCACCGGTCCGAGTTACTCTGACTAGTGCTCATGGGAAACCACACCACATGTTTTAGGATTAGACTTTTAAAGTATGTACCCTTGTCTAGAACCAGAAAGAGAGTCTGCATGCCCTTCTGTTGAGCTAAACCAACTTCTGTCTCCAGCTGCCACAGGCCTGGTTTGGATGGTTGCATCTCCAGAGTTGCAAAGCTCCCTGTAACAATGAACATGTTGTGATGTAATGAATGTTTGTGAGGATTTACAGTTGTACCAAGAAATTTTTACCTCCAGTTGGACTTTTTTTGGGGCCATTTCTCAAATAATATGAATAAAAACACAAAAATCTTCTTTCCACTCATGGTCAGTGATGTTGGGAAGCCTTGTGAAAATATGTGTGAGCTCATTTCAAATCACAATAAAATAAAACACCAAAACAATCCTAATACCATCTATTAGAATCAATGGCAGCTTGGAGCCTTTTGTGGTCATTGTGGAAAAGGCTCTGTAGATAGTCTGAAGGTAAAGCAGCTCATTCTTCTGGGCAAAAAGCCGACATTATTATCAAAGCATGGAAAAACGCTAAAATAAATGGTAGTCGTGTGGACTGGTGTAAGTACAAGAAACTGAGAAATAATTGCACAACTCAAACTAGGAATGCCAAACCAGATTATTGTAGAAACAGCTTCAATAACAACTTCAACAATCCGAGGAAATCTGGAGCACAGTTAATAATCTGTGCAGGAAATCGGAAATTACAACAACTACCGTAATGACCCGAATATAGGAACAGGTTTTGTTTAATTGAAAATCATTTTACAATGCGGGGTCGTCTTATAATCGCGGTTTAACAATTACATGGCCGTAACAGCAGAGGGCGCCAGGCTGTATGTTCAACAGGAGAAAAAAATAGAGACGAGGTCCGGGGCAGAGTGGACCGAAAGTGGGGCAAGTTTACGAGCTAAGGCAAAGTTATGTGAGTTTTAAGATGACGGTGGTCAACCCAGCAGAGGTGTCAAACATTGCATGCATGGTTGCCTTGGATGGCAGTGAGGATGACCTTCTGGGAGGAGTCGGCAGGTGTAGCGATCTGATGGTCCACCGGGACGGCAGCAGCATGCGTGAGTACAGCGAGGCAGAGGACGTCTGAATAAAAGCCTCGTTTGACTTTTGATTTCACATGTCAGCAAAGTTCTGATAGTTTGCATTAAAATAATATTTTTGCTCAGTATTTTTTCTCAAATTTTCAATAAAAACAGTTAATTTAAAAAGTGATTTTTAAAAAAATGTTTTTACTTTTTTTTTGTATTTTCCTGAAGATTAGTCTTGGAAAGGTTTTCATTCTCTTTTAAAAAAATCCTTCCTAATAACGTCCTGCAGACTATTAAAACACTCTCCTCCTCTACCATTTCAGGTCAAGATGGTATATGTTGGATAAATTATGGATACATTATTTTAAACGAAACTCATCCAGCTTATTCTTCCCTGGCAACAGACAGGCGCTTGACCTTGCCTCTTCCCAGTCCTATCTTATCAGTAAGAACGCCCTGTGCCAGCGCATGCTTGTCTCCCTAAATGTGTGTGCGTTTTATGATTTCTGTGTGTCTTTTAATAAATAATCTTGAGAGGGCTTTGGTCCGACGAGAGAGCAAAGAGACCACCGACTCGTGCGTATCATTTTATCTCTCTCTCCACTTTAAAAGTCTAAATGGTTTATTGTTAATAAAATTAGTATGGGTTAAATTGATCATCTTAATAATAAAACCCCTGCGTGGTGAGCTTTCCCTTCAGGTAACCCTGGATGGGAAAATGAAAATACCTAACATTTTGGTGCCGTGAACCCGTCATGCCAGGGAGTCGTTTCCTGCTTGGGACTGGGGGGGGGGGGGGGGGGGGGGGGAGGAAGGGGGGGGGGTTGTTTTCCCAGCTGGCTGGATGGCTCCATGGAGCTCACCTCTCTACCGGCTGTCAAGCTAAACAGACAGGGTTAAAAAAATTCCCCATCACTTTCATTTTTTAAATAGTAATTGATAAACATTCGATACCATTACAATTTCCTTTGATTTCAATTTTAAATAAATATTTAGAGTGCCCAGGTAGCACATAAACAATGCAATTTAATGGTTTTCTTAAAGTGGGAACGTTTAACCTGTGCGGCCAGAGCGCTCTTCTTCCTTCTGTTCTGCATAAACCTGAGCTGATCACCTACTTGTGCGTAATCATATGTCAGTAGGGGACAAGATATAGCCATGATATTCACTTTTACCTCAGACCGACTTATTGCTGTTTTATGGTGTGGCTGAATCTGCGATCCACTGTCATGCCGACTGGAATAACACATGCTGCAGTAACATGAGATGTGGTCAGGTTCATGAGGAGTCACTGGCTGGAGCGGACCCGACTCATCCCAGAAGCTAATATCTTAATTTGACCTTGAATGAAAAATAACCTCTTAAAAGTTTTTATCAAGGTGGAGGCAGCGTTCATTTCTGCCTTCAGTCTGACGGCACGCTGGAGTTAAAGCAGCGTGCGCGCTTATTGAATCTGTGTGTGTGGCACAGCCGCTAAAGTCACCATGTCTCGTTATTGGCGCTATTTAAACCAATGTTGTAAAATTACTTCTGCCCAGCCCAGATGTGCTCACTTGTGCACCCGTGAGCCGTGGTTCAGCCGGAACACGTCTGACCTCTGACAGACGCACTCTGAAATTCAGATCTTCAGTGCGCTGTCAATAGCCTGAATGGGAATCATTTCTTGTTATTTTGTTACATCCACAATGTTCTGTGTGTGAGGTTTACAATGTCAGAACACCTGCATGAGACATGTGTTAATTACAATCTGCCAGAATGACTCACCACCTTCAGATTCCTCCAACACCGTTAAAAATGATCAAATACGGAACATATCAGCGTGCGCAGGCACCTGAAGCTCGGCGCATTGTTATTATGAAGCTAGGGCACATAGGGAGGACACGCGCGCGCGACGGAACATATCGGCGTGCGCAGGCCAGAGTGCTGAAGCTCAGCGCATTGTTATTATGAAGCTAGGGCACATGTGGGGGACACGCGCGCGCGCAAAAATATACTTGTTTTCGATTACATTTATTGTGCCCACTTACTTTTTCTTAGGCCCACCCACAAATGAGTTTCTACGCTAATGGTGACATATGACAGACTTCTCTGAGCTCCGCAGCCATTACACTTTTCACCTCGCGCACCCCCTAGCGGCAGCTCGCGCACCCCCAGGCTTTGCTCTGATTACTGCTTTACACACTCTTGGCATTTTCTTGATGAGCTTCCAGAGGTAGTCACCAGAAATGGTTTTCCAACAGTGTTGAAGAAGTTCCCAGAGGTGTTCAACACTTGTTGGCCCCTTTGTAAATGGCCATGGTCATGAAAATAAAGAAAACTCATTGAATGAGAAGGTGTGCCCTAACTTTTAGCTTGTACTGTATATGATCACACAATTAATTATATTTGACTAGTTTAACTTTATATTATTTTAATTTCATTTAAATGTTTATGCATTTTTAGATGTAGTAGCGTTACTTTTGCAACATTGTCATTTTATTTTGAATGTAAATTATTGTTTTACTATCTTGGTTTTCAATTTGCATCTTTTTTCCGAGAGGACCCAATTGAAAATTAGATGTTTCATCTCAATTGGGTTATCTTCGTTAAATATAAGTTGATAAATAAATAACTTCATGGTCTGTCTGTCATGAACAGCCTGTCTGAGCTCTCCCCACAGTGGCATTTTCAGCACTGGGACACTCTGCCTTGATTTGAACTGTTTTCCTTTTTCCTTGTTTTTCTGCTCTTTTATTATACTTTTATATAATCGATCATTACTGTGCCCACTATGGTTGTGTTCAGCACCTTGGGTTTCTGCTAAGGTTGTGGAAGGTGCTCTATAAATGAAAAGAAATAATGTTGTGTACATGTTTCAGACTCAAAATCACTGGGGTGTGTAAACTGTTCTATAGGGTCTTTTCTTTTTAAATGTGTTATGGTAATCTGAAATAACTTCATACATTTTTTTCACAACACATAAATTGCTTCACAACATCACTGGCCATGGGTAAAGAAACGGTTTAGGTGCTTTCATTCATTTCCTTTGAGACCCCCCCCCCCCCCCCCCCCCAAAAAAAAATAAATACCACCAGGGTGTGTAAACTTATTGGCACAACCCTACAGTTACAGCCATTTCAGAAGCTCTTCTTACCTGGTAGCAGAGGGTAGACAGCCTGTCTGTAGCCTTTGTTCTTTTTGTGAATGAATGTCTGTCCATGAAAGTGAACACTTTGAAAGTCTTTTGGAGAACCCATATTTAGCAGATGCCATCGGACGAGCTGGTTGGTGTACATCCTCAGGCCCTTAAGGCTGTAAATTATCCCGTTGATGGCTACAGAAACACAAAATTAATGGCTTTTTCATTATTTAAGCTTTTTTATTTTATTAAACAAACTAACAACACTGCTGGTTCATCTTGAGAAGATGTAGGCTAAATACAATGACATGTTAGACATGGAATCAGCACCGCAGGTCTTCAGTCTGGTCATCAGTCAGTCTGCCAGTTTAAAGGGTACAAGGTAGTCACAGTGCTGGTTGGTATCAGGGTGTGTAACACACTGAACATGGGCTTTAAACAGCTGAACACACTGTTGTCTCAGCAGCTTAGAAAGACTATTATTGACCAACAGGCTAAATGAACAGGACCATGCTCAAGCAGCAAGAGGCCAGAAGACCATGTTCAGTTAACTAAAGGCTAGAAGACCATGTCTAGGCAAACCATCTCCATGCAGCTAGCAACATTAGCCTGACTACAAACCAAGAGGGAGGGGGATGCCTGTAACCATAAATGGTCCCTTGAAGCTGAGCATATTAAGAGACTGCCTTAGAACTGGGCTAGTATAAACAGACTAGTATAAACATTGGCTACTTTGAGGAGTCAATTGAACGCAAGACAGATTAAATTTACTTCTGTTTGGATAAATTAGTTTCACTAAAAATAGTGGTGGGGTCAAAGTGGCTCAGTGGTTAGAAGTTTGTCGTGTAACTGCAGGGATGCCGGTTAGAACCAACGTTCTGTCCATATCAGTCGTTGGGTCCTCAGACAAGACACCCCACTCTCCCTACCTGCTGGTGGTGGTCGGACGGACCAGTGATGCCTGTGTACGGCACCCTCACTTCTGTCAGTAGGCCCCAGGGCAGCTACAGGGCAGCCAGCTTTCAAACGTATTGTGAGGGTCTGCTGGGAACGTCTGGCAGAGTCTCCTGTCCTCCAGCAGAATTTCGAACATGTCCCGAGGGAAGCGGGGGACATTGAGTTCAAGTGGGCAATCTTCCATGCTTCTATTGTTGAGGTGGTTGACCGGAGTTATGGCCGCAGGGTTGTCGCTGCCTGTTGTGGTGGAAACCCCCGAACCCGCTGGTGGACGCCGGCGGTTAGGGATGCTGTCAAGCTGAAGAAAGAGTTCTATCGAGTTCTTTTGGCCTGTGGGACTCCAGAGACCGCTGACGGGAACCGGCAGTCCAAAAGTAATGTGGTTGTGGAGGCTAAAACCCGGGCATGAAAGGAGTTCGGTGAGACCATGGAGCAAGATTTCCGTATGATTTTGAGGAAATTCTGGTCAACCATCCAGCATCTCAGGAGGGGAAAGCAGTGTGCTACCAACACTGTTTACAGTGACGATGGTGTGCTGCTGACCTCTACTCAAGATTTCGTCCTGGCTGTGGAACACTGGACCAGCTCTTTACCCTTAGGGCGGTCCTGGAGAGTGCGTGGGAGTTTGACCAACCAATCTACATGTGTTTTGTGTATTTGGAGAAGGTGTTTGACTGCGTCCCTCGGGGGGCCCTGTGGGGGTACTCTGGGAGTATGGGGTACCAGGCCCTGTTAGGTCCCTGTATGACCTGTGTCAGAGCTTGGTCCGCATTGCTGGCAGTAAGTTGAGCTTGTTTCCAGTGAGAGATGGACTCAACCAAGGCTGCCCTTTATCACAGATTCTGTTCATACATTTTATGGACAAAATTTCTAAGCACAGCCAAGGTGTTGGGAGGATGTGTTTTGGTGGCCTGAGGATCAGGTTTCTGCTTTTTGCATGATGCTATCCTGTTGGCTTCATCAGAACGTGATCTCCAGCTTTCGCTGGAGCGGTTCGAAGTCGAGTGTGAAGCGGCTGGGATGAGAATCAGCTCCTCTAAATCTGAGACCACAGTCTTGATTCGGAAAAGGGTAGAATGCCTTCTCCGGGTCAGGGATGAGGTCCTGCCCCAAGTGGGGGAGTTTAAGTATCTCGGGGTCTTGTTCACGAGTGAGGGTAAGATGGAGCATGAGATCGATAGGTGGATTGGTGCTGCATCTGCAGTGATGCGGGTGTTGTACCGGTCTGTCGTGTTTAAGAGAGAGCTGAATCAGAAGGCGAAGCTCTCGATTTACCGATCGATCTACGTTCCTACCTTCACCTGTGGTCATGAGCTTTGGGTAGTGACCGAAAGAACGAGATCGCGGATACAAGCGGCTGGAATGAGTTTTCTCCACAGGCTGGCTGGGCTCTCCCTTAGAGATAGGGTGAGAATCTCAGTCATCCGGGAGGGGCTTGGAGTAGACCTGCTGCCCCTCCACATTGAGAGGAGGATAAACGGCTGAAAATGGATGGATGGATGGATGGACGGACTTACTACAATGAAGCTATTTGGAATGCAATTTTAAGCATTTTATTTTCTTAATCTTTTGTTTATATTTTATTGCCTTTTTTGTATAAGACTGAAGTTGGTTCCCTTTTTAATATTCTGATTTAGAAAGAGCAATTCCAACTAATGTATCCACTCCCTGGGTAGATTTAATCTGCTCTAATTATAAAATTATAAATATGTTATAATGTCATAGTCCACACTTACAATAAAAAGTGAAGAAAGTAGCCTTCTTTAAACGCTCACTAATCATACCATACCATATGAACTTTATTTGTATAGCACTTGAAACACCTGCATGACCAAAGATGGTTAAAACAAAATAAAATGCTTTTTAAAAAATTCAACTGATTCAAAATTAGCTAAAAGACACCATGTCAGATGGTGTCAAAGGCCAGAGAGAAGAAATGGTTTTAAGCAGTGATTTAAAATCAGACAGCGAAGAGGCCTATCTGATAATCAAAGGAAGCTCATGCCACAATTCAGCTGGTGCTAGAGTAAAAACACAATTTGGGGTGTTTCTCAATGCCAAGGAACCCTGCTGATGACTTGGTCCCTCCCCGGTTGCCTAGGGCGATACGTCATCAGGAACCGCCGAGGTATGTTCCAAAGTTCATGCTCTACCGAGGCATCTGATCTCCGTTTGTTAGTCATTTAGCTAGCTGCGCAAGGATACACAGGAGGTGTCTTGTAGCTTAGCCTTGGTCAAAAATTTTCCTGAACACAGCACAGTATTTTCAAAAGGACGGCCGATAGCTATTGGCTGATATGTAAAATATATTTTTATATCTAAAGCAGTTGTCTATGGTTGGTTAGTTGCTTAGTAGTTACAGCTTCGGTAGCTAGTGGGTAGTAACTTGCTTACATATTTAATTTAACCAATATGTACACTATTTATTCATTAAAAGGCTCATTATATTTTTATATTGAAACTTATACATACAAAATATAACATTACCTGCCGCCGCGTTCACGTGATGCAAGTCTGTTCCATTTAACCGTTCTTTTTGACCAAGCAAGGACAATGTCCTCTTAAGCAAAGCACCTGGCCTCGCAACACGTCACCTAGTGCAACACATTCCCACACCCAAAGCATCTAAAACTGACGAAAGGTGACCAAGCGTTTCTTCCCGATGCGTTGGGGCTCTGTTGTGTCGGGAGGCAATGTGGTGTGCCAGAGTGACTCTTTCTGACGTACAAAATAGATAAAACGGAGATTTTAGCAAACTGTGACCTTTACCCTCTTGCAATTTAACCTTGCTCTCACGCCATCCTAACCTTAACCTACTTGTGCATGCTAAAATGTATTTCTTGTTGTATCGTTCCTCTCAAACATAGTTAACGGGAAATTTAGAATGAGGAACTGGGTTAAGGTTAGGATGGGGGTGAGGGGAAGCTTAAATCGCTAGAGGTTAGAGGTTAAATGTCTGTGAAATGCTCGTTTTACAGCGGGCGTCGGAAAGAGACGCTCTGGCATAGTGTGTCGCCTCCCGATGCGTGGGGAGCCCCAAACAACTGAACCGACGATGTCTTGGAGCCCCATCGAGTTGGAAAGTAAAGCTTGGTCACCCTTCGTCAGTTTTAGATGCTTTGGGTGTGAGAACGTGTTGCCTTATGAGACCAGACGCCTTGACATTGAGAATCCGTCTTCCTCTAAGTTTACACCTTGTCTTCTGGACAGTCAGGAGCAGCTGGTCTTTTATAGGTGCTGCTGTTAATGTAGACTAACAGTCCAGGTTTGAAGCTGGACCAGTTCTAATGTGGTCTAGATGCAAAACTGTGCTAAATGTGTTATTTTAGCTTTCACAAATCAAATAAAGGTTTCACAAACCACAAACTATGTTTTAAGGATTCTGTTATTAATTTAAAGAAACATAGTCCAGGTTTGAAGAGTCTAGGTGTTGTTGTTGTATAATTAAAGCAAAATAAAGATGGAAACATTTGTTGGAATCGCCCACTCCCACTCAGAAACAAAAAAAAGGGAACCAACTTCAGCTTAATCTTGTAGCCTATGTTTTGTTTACTGTTTGTAATATTTTAATATCTTCTTCTTCAATCAAATAATGAAACAGGCTAACTCAGCACATACATTTGACATCAAAATCAAATTCTGAGTTGATAAACACGCAGGGGTAGTGCATCTTTACACCTGATTTGACTTCAAGTATCAAATTTTGATTTGCACAAAAGTTTGAGCTCATGGAGGCTGCAGCTCTGTGGGATGAGCTGATGACCACTGGTGTTTTGCTGCTTGGGCGATGTGGAGCAGGTGAACTACGGAACTGATGGCTAACCGAGGGGAATACTGATGTAACGCTGGTGCCTAAAGGTGTAAGTGTCAGTCACTAAAGGGAGTGTTCTGTTGTCCCCCACCCCCTTCCAGGTTTCCCTTCAGGTCCCCTCCCCTGGCTGTGCTATTTAGATTGCCCAGGTCTTTTGGTTGCTGTCTCTGTAGTTTCCCCAGTTAACATCAGTGTTGGTTTTCATTTATTTAGATCAGGCATCTTTGCTCCCCGGCCCTCCACAGTGTCTTCAGTTAAGTTGTTTTCAGTTTATTCAGGTTTTTAGTTTCAGTTTCCACTTTTTATTAGAAAAACTCTGCTGTTATGTATTTTAAAAAGATTTCCACAATAAGCATTTCAAATAGTATTTTTGGACGGCATTTTATATGAATTAGAAAAAAATTTCACCTACAATTTGCTCTTTAATTGATCCTAGTACTAATTGTATTCTTATCACTCAAAGATGCAAACAAAGACATCAATAGTTTTGTTGTTACTACAAAAATTATAATTAAGGATATCCATAATAACAGCTGCATTAGTAGGAATTAAGTTAGAGATTTCTCAGAATCCCTAAAAAAACTTAAGGTGGTCTTTTTAACACTTATCAGGCAGACTGGACATGTGTTGCAGATACCTAACAGTTGTATTGTTCCTAGGAGAAAAGAACATTCCAGATATCCATAAGAATATTGTACATTTTAGTTATGATTGTGATCAGCAACACAGGAGCGCAGTCCTGTTCAGCACACACACATCTGACTTCCAAACTCATGTGCAGTGGTGTGCTGACATATCTGAAAGTTTCATTCTAGATAGTAAGAATCGTTCCGCTGATGTAATAGATATTATAGAACGTTTCTGCGTTCACAGTAAGGTTACAGTTGCTTTGCTAGGTAACTAATTACTTTTACAATGTGGTAACTGAGTTACTAACTCAACTTATTTTATGGAAAAAGTAATCTGTAACTATAACTAATTACTCTTTTAATGTAAGATGCCCAACAGTTTGATTGTGAATGTAAGACTTGTTGACTTGCAGTTTTTTGGAGTCCTTATATTGGATATAAAATGACCACTTTGTTGAAGATGGCTCTATTCTGCCAATGATATGAGGCTTCAAACGATGAGTACGGCAGAAGTATGACATCTATATTCTGATAGTTGTTAGCTATACTCACCTCTGGATAAGTAAAGGGGTGATCCCCCGTTAGAAAGCTCTTGGGTTGTTTGGATGAAGTCGAGGCTTGTATTTGTGTATTTATGATTGGAAGTGCTGCAAACCCAATACACATGAATGGGAAATGCGACACATTTGTCCTTGGAAGAATAACATTTACGATATCTGAAATGTCCATTGTGGACAGCAAGAATGTTATTATGGATTAATGCAAAGTCGATTTCCCTAGAAATAATAGATTTACAGAAAGTCCCAAGACTCTGGAAAACATCTGGCTTTTCCTCAGTTCTCAAAGGACCACAGGGCCTGTAATGATTTCTGGCCAGTAGCTCTAACATTATATGTACTGAACACTATTTGAGAGGCTTACAGATAGACCACCCGAGACCCCACCCACACCATCATCACTCGCCCACTTAGACCATAGAGGCAGCGCTGTAGGAATCTTTTTTCTGGACTTCTCTAGCACCTTTGACACCATTTAACCTCTGCTGTTCAGGGATGGACTACTAGAGATATGAGTAGACTCACACCATGACGTCTAGATCATGGAATATGTGACAGGCAGACCCCAGTTCATAGGGCTGAGGAACAGCAGGTCTCACATTGTGATCAGCATCATAAGAGCACCAGGGGGTATGGGACTATTCAGCACATACATGCCTGTCTTCTAAACTGCAGATCCTGTCATGTGCAACAGTTTGCTGATGATACTGCAGTTGTGGACTGCATCAGGAGTAGACAGGAGGAGGATTACAGGAGCCTAATCGAAGACTTTGCTAGGTGGTGCCATTCCAGCTACTCACACCTGAACACTGGCAAAACCAAGGAACTGGTGGAGGATTTCAGTAGGAAAAAAAATAAACTTCTGGACCCCCTCACTCTTTTTTATAACATGTCAGTCTGTCCGTCCATCTATTCGTCTGTTGTCTGTCTAAAGGCCAGAAGACCATCTGTGAGTAGCTTAATGTTCCTGTGACAACATTAGTAGAAGATACTATTCTGTAGTTTGAGGTAACATTAGAATAAAACGGATTACACGTAGAGTAGCAGAATAATAGAAAATATGAAATAAAAGTGAAACTCAGAAAATTTGAATATCATTAGAATATCTGAGTAATCCAGCTTAGACTGAGAGACCATCTAAAGGTTCAGAAGCCATTTGCAGGTGGATTCATTATCTGATTAGAGTGTGAGTCGAGAATGTTGAACCTTCTCACAATATTCTGATTGTCTGAGATTTAAAATGTGGGGTTTTCAGCTGTGAGCCACAATCATCCGTTAGAACAACTCAAGGCTGAAATATCTGGATCTGCATGGAGGGAGTCTGCCCTTTACATGAGTTGAATCTTTAGGTTGAATTACTGAAATAAATTAACATCTGCACCAGATTCGCAAAAGTGCGTCAAATCCACTTTTTCCCCCACATGCAGCCATATCTGATTTTTTAAATACGATCCCTGTCACTTGAATATGCAGTCCTGGTTCCGACTCATATCTGATGTTTTTGAAAGTGACTGCAGTCTGAACTGAGAGTGACTTCCTGTCTTCTGCGCATGCGGGTCACTTTGGTGCCGCGGAGCGTTCACACTGGAGAGAGTCTGATGCCACATTTCAGTCACAGTGTGAACGGCCACACACATAAATCAGATTTACTCCAAAAATCTGAATTGAGCATCAAGGCCTGCAGTGTGAACATAGCCTAAGCGCCTTGGGGGTTCCAGGACTCTAGAAGTCAAATACAGGCCATTGACCAACTGTAATCATCGCCTGAGGTTACCAACATTGTCGCCCATGACTGGTCATTTGAATGAGATGGAATAAATATATTTAATGCGTTACTGTGAAATTCGAGGTTCTCCTTGTGGTTGCCATCCAGAACCCTTTTTCGACTCTTCCTGTTTATGACCTCACTGTTCCTGTCATAGTACCAGCTCTGGGACTCATCAAAGGTCATAAAAAGTAGAACAAACTCGCTCATGTCCAGTAGTTTGGTGCTCAGGGTGCCTTCTCGACACACCAGCAGAGGCCCAATCAAGCCAGAGTGGATGTCTCTTTCCTGAAAGACATCATATGAAAGAAATGTGAAGTACACGATTTTAAATCTTTTGTCTGATGAAACTAATGTTTTAAGTACTTACAGGATTGACACCTGAGTAGTATGCCCAGGTTCGGCACTGAGACTCCTCAGACAATGGTCCCGCCGTAGAGCTGACTTTCCATACATAAGTGAAGGTAGAATTAGGTTGAACTTCGTTGTCGTACTTGTACCAGTATTTGGACCCATCCTCATACGACAGACCCTCAAACTGCTTAGTATAGGAAACCCCGTTTGGGTGCAGAGAGAACGGCCGCTTGGCATTGTTCTTGAACACAACCTACAAGACAAAATTACTCCTGGGACTGGGACAACACAAGGATCATAAACATCGAACAACAGAAATACAAAATATGGATTAAAGAAGCTATAGAGATAAGGAGACGTGGATAATGGCCCATGAACAGGGACGATGGGGTCTACACGTTGGATTGTGCATGGGACTGCATCATCGGTGAGGGGAGAGCGGGCAGCAGAGGGCGACAACGTCCTCTGCTGCCCGCGGATAAACGGAGTAGGAAGTGACGCCACCATCAGCGTCAGCTCTGAGGATGTTTTGCAGTCGGCAAACGAAACGTCAGCAAGGTAAAGAAAAACCTTCTCTGTGTTTTAAAAAGAACTGAAAGATGGAATTTTTTATACAGACACCTGTTTAATGGCTGTAAGTTTTGTCTTTCAGATTACAATCAAGAGGGACAGCGGTCTGGATGTATCTGCCCCCAAACATGGCAAGACTGACCCACTGAATGCTCCTCATGTAGGGGGCAACCAGTGGGCCGGAGGCACAGGTATCAAGACTCAATCCACCTAAACATCACTGAGTCTTACATCACACCAGGAGAGGACTCAGAATGAACAGCGTCTGGATTAATAAAATAGTTGGAGAAGGGCATGGCGCAATGCTGAGAGGCATTGGAAATCAACCGAGTTAGAAGTTCATAGACTACATTTTATAACTTTGAATGAGATGGTGAAAAACTCTAGGGCTGCTAACTGAGGAGTAGGAAGTGACGCCACCATCAGCGTCAGCTCTAAGGATGTTTTGCAGTCGGCAAATGAAACGTTAGCAAGGTAAAGAAAAAACCTTTCCTGTGTTTTAAAAAGAACCAACAATGGAATTAGAAACTAAACACAGTAAGAACGTACCAAAGACGTTTAAAGCAAAATTACTCCGTTTGTATCTTGTTACATAAAAGGTACGTGAGCAGAAAATTTCTATCCAATTTAATTCAAAAATACTTTCTTCATGTTGGAGGGAATTTGGATATTGTAGTATTTTATTTACCTTAACAGAACTTATTGTAGAATTTTATTTACCTTAACAGAACTTACTGTAGTATTTTATTTACCTTAGCAGAACTCAGCACAAAAAATAAATAAAGTTAGGTGAAAAATTTCTTTGTTTCAACAATAAAAATAAAAATCTTCAATCTTTGGAAAATCTGATTATTTACCTTAAATGGAGCCACGTTTAACACACATCTACGTTCCTACCCTCACCTATGGTCATGAGCTTTGGGTAGTGACCGAACGAACGAGGTCACAGATACAAGCGGCCAAAATGAGTTTCCTCTGCAGGGTGGCTGGGCTCTCCTTTAGAGATAGGGTGAGAAGCTCGGTCATCCAGGAGGGGCTCGGAGTAGACCTGCTGCTCCTCCACATTGAGAGGAGCCAGTTGATGTGGCTCGGGCATCTGGTCAGGATGCCTCCTGGACGCCTCTGGTGAGGTTTTTCAGGTACGTCCAACTGGGAGGAGACCTAAAGGTAGACCCAGGACACGCTGGAGGGACTATGTCTCTCGGCTGACCACACCTTGGGATTCCTCTGGAGGAACTGGCTCAAGTGGCTGGGGAGAGGGGAGTCTGGGCCTCCCTGCTTAGACTGCTGCCCCTGCAACCTGACCCCACATAAGCAGAAGAAAATGGATGGATGGATGGATGGATGGATGGATGGATGGATGGATGGATGGATGGATGGAGCCACATTAGCAAATGAAATGCATTTGTTGGTTAAGCAGCAAAGTTGAGTGGGCAGACCTATTTTGTGGTGTGAAGCACTTTGTGATTCTTTCTGAGAAAGGTACAGATAAACATTACTTATTTATACTTACAGGCTTTACTCATGAAAACTTTTCAAATACTGCCTGCCAGAGTTCTGGGTGTGAAAAGAATTTGCTCGGCATTAAACTATGAAGTTGGTTCTTATCAAAAGGCATCAGACGCAATCATGCTGTGACTACCTCACCCTTTTTGGAGGCCCTCTTCGCGGATCCGGAGGTCAGAAAGGTCGGATGACCTCTGGGCACTGAGGTTCAGTAGATTAACCGCAGTACCGACGCTCCAGTCCAGAGATGTCAGCGGGCACACAGGTTGGAACTAGTTTGCGTCTAGAGCAGCTGTTTCTGAGTAGCTGAAGGAACGACTTTCTGTGTCGCTGTAGTGTGTAGTAGGTTTTGACAGCTTGTCAAGAAATGCGGTGGTTAGAGAGTTTCCTCCGGTGGCCAGTCCGGAGTTCTGCTCAAAAACTTACTTCATTCAGGAAGTGACCTTAGTTTTATTAAAGGTTTTACTGAACAAGCCTCAGAACACTCCCTCCCTCAGACAAAAGAGCTGTGATTTGTGGACCAGAAAATATCTTTGTGCAGTGACGTTAACTTTAACTTGTGTCATGAAGATACGCAGTGTGTGTGTGTGTGTGTGTGTGTGTGTGTGTGTGTGTGTGTGTGTGTGAGTGTAGATCATGATTCCCTTGTCATATCAAACATTACTGATCATCATATATAAATTTTTCAATGTAATAATAATATTCATTTCAACTTCAGTAATTTAGGCACAGATTATTCAAACATTAGTATCATTATTCATATAACATTTGTTCATTCAACCATATGTTTATTTAGTGATTATTTAACTTATGAGCGGTAAAAGTTCATCTTTCATGAGAGTGTGCCATCCTGCAGTCTTATCAAAAGAAAGCTTTGTTTGGGAACATTGGCTGACACCGTTTCCCCCTGAAATGTCAACAAGCACTGCAGAATCCTTCTGGCTTGTTGGAGGATAGAATTTAAAATCCACTTTAGAGAATGGAACTATGTCTGCAGATGACCGGTGGGATGTAGGTCAATATGTAGGTGAAAAAGGACCCTTTCTGGACGTTACACAGCCTTGGACATATATAAACCAAATGCATCTGCAGACAGAAGAAAAGGCTAATCCTAGCTCAAAGCTAGGCCCTCCTGACCTGTCACGGGACTCTTTCTCAAACCTCGGACAGTATGAGTCCAGCTTTACGCAGTGACTGATACACAACAATGAAGCTGCACCAACTACTTAGTCAACTCAACCATCATCTGTCAGTAAAGTCTATTGTTCCATGTCAGGGGTGTCAAACTCAAACTCACAAGGGGCCGAAATGAAACTCTGGGACGGAGTCGAGGGCCAAACTTAATATTTTTTGAAAAAGTGACGGCAAATTTGCATAAAACCAACATATTTAAAGTTCAGTTTGCTCCACTGACTTACTGTAATGCTCACCTGTTCCAGCCAGATACCTGCATCATGGGGTTGATCTGAGCTGAGGAAGAGACTCCTGTTGTTTTGTTCATCTTCATCATAATAATGACAACATTAGATGACAACAGGTGCTCACATAGGTTTGTGCTGATGAACATGTTTGAGCAGCTTGACCACGTTGTTGTGTGTCGGGGAGGAAACAGAACGACAGCAACCACAGAGTCGTGCTGGTTTGAGCGTGTCGCTGTTCGCTGGAGTTATATCAGCTCTGTCTGGACGTTAGTTGGAAAACTTTCTCTTTCAGACGTGAACACATTACTGAGCGGCTAGAATCTCCGTTTCTGGGCTTCAACATCAGAAAACAGCTGAGTAAACTCGGTGCTGAGTGAGAGGAGTGTTTAGTTTGTCCGAGACAGCGGAGCTGCACACACCGGCAGCAGGCGCTGGAAAAAACACAAAGGAGCGGGCGCGTCGGCTCCGCGCTAACGCCGCAAAGCATCATGGGAGTTGAAGTCTTTGCGGTAAAATCGGCCAGCAGGCCAGCTTTAATATATTTTTGATATTTATCTCGTGGGCCACATAAAAATGCTCCGCGGGCCGCACCTAGCCCGCGGGCCTTGTGTCTGACATAGAAATGTGCTATGGTATTGCTAGCGGTTAGCACATGCTGTTACTAAACTATGGGGATTTGTTTTAGATTACTTTCTTTGAAACTGCCAGCTTTCATTAAAAAAAATTCTTGAACAAATGTGTGTTTCTTTTTTGTTAATCACAAGATGTGTGCATCTTTGGGGGGCAGATCTGTGGCCCCTCACACACTCTACAGGACGATTCTATAGAGAAACCTTACATATACAAGCGCGTGTACACACACAGGTGCTCACATGGTGCTCTCATAAGTATGGACTTGGGCATTTTCAACACATGTCTTAAGGCTGTGGTTGGCACTTAATGCACTGTGAGTTATTATTGTGATTGTTCAGTTAAACAATGTTGATTTTATATTTCTTCATCAGGTTGACGCAGTGATAGCTTGCTCTTGTTGTATTGTTGTGTGTCGCTTTTCTGCAGGTCTAGAAGCAGACTCTTGTTAATTGTTTGTTTTTGCAGAGTGTGCCACAACTGAGACAGATGGTGGATGTATCCTGCCTAAAGCTGGGCGGACACTGTGCGACTTTTTCCACTCGTAGCACTCAGCTTCAGCTCAAACTGTACGACTTCCTCGCAGGGCAGATCTCACGAGTCATGTGCTCACACTGTACGACCCAGTTCTCGGATGCGACCTGACTGCTCACACTGTACGTCTGGTAGCAACACGTTGGACCTAAAAATATGCTAAAAATAGCAGTTTTTACTCAACACGTCAGACTTTTTTGTCTTGTTTTGCCTGTTGTCCTTCGGGAGTGCTGCAGGAGGACACACAGGGATTTATGGGGTTGGATGAGGAAAACAAAATAAAGAAAGTAAATCTGTGTTTTGTGATCAGTTTAATTTGACATGAACACGACAAACACACCTTCTTGACAATCCTTGCCATTTTGTGTAAAAAAAAATACGTGTAGAAATAAACACGAACAACGTTATAGGGAAATAGCGGGCGAGCGGTGTTGATGCATGATTGAGCATGCATGAGTGAGCGGTTCTGGTATTTTTTGGGTCGCAGCTGCTCGGAGCGCCGCTTCAACAGTGCGATACCCTCACGAGGAACGAGCAAAATATCAAACACGCCAGAAGTCCGTGTGAGCTCACGACTGCTGATCGGTAGCTGGTCACGTGGTGTCAATCGCCTCTCGTAACCCCCTGTATACTACACGACGCTCGGCGCAAAACTCGCCCCGATCTTGTGGATTCTTGCACGAGTGGAAAATCAGCTAAAAAAAGGGAAAAAGTCGCACAGTGTACGCCCGGCTTAACTGATGCTCCAAGTAATTTAACCTTAACCCTCACCACACTGATTTATTATTTTGGACCGATGCTGCTTGATCTTTTGACACCTCTGTTCTTTAATTATTCTATGTACTTAGATCAAGTTTATTTATAAATTAACAAGCAACTTCACGTTTTTTCTTTCAAACAACGGTGACATGCCGGAGCGTGGCTGTTGACACATAGTTCCAAAAGGAAAGTTAATTCGACGCCTTTTCTGGGCGTGATATCAATGTCGTTCAGCGCGTCTCAACTGGAGGTTTAGTAATTAGAATTTAGACTTCTTATTACTGTATTTCTGTAAAAAATGATTGTAAAAAATGTCATTACTGGAATAAAAAAATAATAATCCATGAGCCATCAGAGACGGAATCTCATATGTCCCAGCCTGAGCAGAATCTCCCTGAACCGTCTACAGGTGGTTCAGAATGCCTGTGCTCGGCTTCTGACCAAGTCCTCCAAACACACCCACATCACCCCGCTTCTCCTCCAGCTTCACTGGCTGCCAGTCAACTTCAGGGTTCATTTCAAGATCCTGGTTCTGGTCTATAGGGCCTTACATGGAAAGCACCATCTTACATTGGTGATCTTCTTAGTCTCTACACCCCCAGCAGGTCCCTGAGGTCCAGTGATCACAGCCTACTGGTTGTGCAGCACCAGGCTAAAGGTCAAAGGTGACAGATCATCTGCTGCTGTGGCCCCCCAGACCCTGGACCTCTCTCCCCCTGATCCTGAGATCAGTGGACTCAGTGGTCTCCTTGTTCAGGCTGGCATTGGTGTGACCTCCTGGTCATCCTCCCTTTCCTCACTAGCATTTCTTCATGGCGGTGTTGTAACATTTTTGTATATTATCAAGCACCCTTGTTTTCTTAGTTTTTATCTTCTATTTGTATTTCTATTCATTTTTTAATCATGTAAGAATTTTCATTATTCTTGTGACATGCATTTCTGTTGTCACACCACATTCTGTGACCTCCTAATTCTACGACTTGGTTGGGCCTAAAATTGTTTTTTAGTTCCAAAATGTAAATTGCACTCCAACTTTGAGGAATAAAATTGTCATGCATCCAGTTACAGCTAACGCTAGTCTTCTTACCATAATGCTTTGTCCAACCTCAGCCTTGATGAGAGGCCCCAAGATGCCTAGATGCTCGTCCATCTCCCCTCGGATGTCAGGTGTGCTGAAGCTGCTGTCCAGGTAACCTCGGAACACCACCTTGGTAAATTTGGTCTGTAGACTGTTTGCTTGCGACTTTTCTAGCCTTCTGTGATGATGAAAAAAATCTGCTTTAGCTGTCGGCGTGGTTATGCAGAGCAGCTGTTCATTGATTCCCATCATGTACGTGTTAATGAAGCTTTGTTTTACGAACTCACCTATGCCCATATCCAGCATAATCCCATTCAACCTCCTCTGCAGCAATAAAATACATCTTGACATTTGGCCCTGATAACTTCAGGTAGTATTTACTGGTTTCATCCAGGTTCAGGTTCTTTATATCTTCATGACTGCTGTATGGGTCTTTGTACGAAACATACTCATATTCGTTTGCAACCACATCGTTTTGATCAAAATCAAGAGTATCTGGGTCACTTCCAGGAACATACAGCTGATAGTCCCTGAAATCGGATCGGGGCACACCAATGACCACAGGCATGTTAATCAGCTTCTCCTCGTCAGAGACAGGCAGGGGTGAGTAGGGCCTTGAGCCACGAGGGGTCATGTGTGGATTGGGGGGTACAAAACTCCTGGGCTGAGGTCTGTAGTCCTTCCTTCTCTTTGTTTTCATTCCTTGACCTTTCTTGGGTCTTTGTCTCCGATTAACATTCTTGAATGTTTTGGGTGGTGGAGTTGTTTGAGGCATCTTCTCTGTAAAGTATTTCTTCATGTGGCCAGGAATCTCATGATGCTTGAGGGAGTGTGTTCCATCATAAGTCCAGTTGTTTCCCTGTGGTTTGATGGAGGAGGTTTTTATGACCTCTGTTCTGTTTCCTTCAAGATAGATAAAGACTTCTTCATTGCTCTCTGAAGCTTCTAACTCATCAGAGCTGGGTGTTTTTACCCCCTCAGCAGCCATAGGCAGGTGAGGTAACCCTACGGATGATGTGTTGGTTGACTTGTTCTTCAGGGCTGTGATGACTGCTCCCCTCTCTGTACTTCTTCCTGATGGATCCAGTATGGACACATTCACAGTCTTATTTTTAAACAACTCATCTTTAAGCAGAACACGTGTTGCATTTCCCAGGCTGGAGTTTGTAGGAACAGTCACTGATTCAGATGCATTTAGAATAAGTCCTTGCTTTGGTTGATCTTTGGTGATAATGGAGTTGCTCTTGTTACTTGTTTTGTCTTTATCCTTCAGCTCTAAAATGGTTAGGTTACTCCTGACCACAGCGCTAACATTAACCTCCTCTACATCAAGCGCTGGAACAGACAGGGAATGGTTTAATCCAGTTGATGACAGGTTAGCATGCCTTGTTGTACGCTGTATCAGCGTGACTGTAGATGTGTTGGTGTGTGGGATATCTTTCTGAGAGGTAATCCTGGGATGTGACAAAGATAGGTTGTTAGAGGACACATTCATGCTGGTGAATTCCTCCTGAGAGTCCTCTAGACTTAAGCCCTTTTCTCTGTCTGAATCAATGGTTGAATTTCCTGGAGTTGCCATTGTGGGAGCAAACGTTTGTTGAGATGGTGATGTCACATTGATGCACTCTTGTGTTATTGTGGTTTGATTGGTCATTGGAATGATGGATTTGATCGGTAGAGCGGCATTAACGTTGTTTGCAGACACATTTCTGTGTCCCAGTGCGGCTGCAGCGTTGCTAGTTGTTGTTGCAGCAGAAGCAGTGACATTATCAGGGTGTGAGACAGTCTTCTTAGAAGCTGCTGTGCTGTTATTCTTCAGTAACCGATTCTGACCAGTAAAAAATGTTGTATTGTCCTTTGGTTGAAAACTGTGGGAAATCAATCTTGTACTATTACTTGGACTGTGTGTAGCATTCCCACTGAAGCTGTGGTTCTGTGAGTGCGGTTCTGTGAAGCTTATGTCATTTACCTCCAACTGGACTGAAAACTGGGAACCATTCAAAGCATCCAGATTAGAAGGCTCAGGTTTATTCAAGGGTTTGATGAAACTCAAGCTATGATTAACGTTTTTGACAGGATCATCAGTACCATATTCCAGTACCGATGGGTCAAGTTCCTCCATATCCGAGTCTTTGGGCTGGTTCTTTCTTGACCTGAGACCTAGTTCTTCTGCAAACACGTCTGTGTCAGTGTCTGGCTCAGCCGTTGGGGTTTTGAGTATTTTCTTTTCTTCCTCTTTGGGTTTATCCAGTGTTGGTGGATTCCACTCAATGAAATCTTTTCCTGAATCTTCATCCTCATACTCATAATCATTGTTATTATAACACACAACATCCTGGAATTTTAAGCGCATTCCTTTTGTTGTTTCATGGGAATTTAGGGAAGCCAGAAGCCAGACGCCTATTTCAAGATGGATACATATATTATTTATGAAGGGCCAAACAAGAGGAACACCTAGAGGTTGTATGCGGTGTGACTCACCAGTGTTGTCCATGTTCATCTTGATGGTTTCCCCAGTCATTGGATAGAGGCTGAGAAATTCCTCTGTTCTGTCATTTAGCTCAAAGGGATGGCCATAGAAGGTAGCTGTCTGGATGTAGTCCTGTGCTCCGACGCTGGACACATGCCATGTTGCAACCTCACCGCTGCAGAAGCCTAGGAGCGGCCCACTCTCAAAGCCATAACCGTTTATTGCTTTAAGGAAAAAGAAAAGGGAGCTAACTTCTCAGATGTGGAACCACTACTATAAAGCAGCAAAATCACGTCAGTTCCCCCGTCATCATTCTGAGCTATTTCTACAGAAAACAGTCAATAAGAAGTGGAAAAACTCACTGTGCATGACGTTGGATTTGTAGAAGTCTGGATCAGCCTTGTTTACTTTGGACCAGTCACAGTTCTGGCGGATGTTATCGTCCAGGTACCAGCTCTTGTTCTCATCAAACACAGAAAACATGGCATGCTGCTCCTTGTCTGCTCTCACCTGCACAAACAAATACGTCTGACCTGATTTTCCTTAAAGATATGCACGTTCATGTTTCTGATTTGATTTTGGCTCAAATGTGTTTCCTGACATTTTTCTACTATAAAAAAATAAAAGTTAAAATATAAATCTTTCCTGGGGTTACTGACTTTAACAAACACTTGAAAGTATACAGAATGTAAAGCTGGTTCATGTTTCTCCATTTGTTGGTCTGGGATAGAAGATGATGACCATCGCAGTGAAACTGCTGCAGAACGGAGGCCGAGACTATACAATGGGTTACGAGGACTGGTTCCTCCAAGGACTCCCGGAGTACCCCCCCCACACACACACACACACACACAGGGCCCCCCGAGGTACGCAGTCAAACGCCTTCTCCTAATCCACAAAACACATGTAGACTGGTTGGGCAAATTCCCACGAACCCTCCAGGATCCCCCTAAGGGTATAGAGCTGGTCCAGTGTTCCATGGCCAGGACAAAAACCACATTACTCCTCCTGAATCTGAGGTTCAACAATCCGACGGACCCTCTTCTCCGGAACCCTTGAATAGACCTTACCAGGAAGGCTCAGGTGTGTGATCCCCCTGTAGTTGGAACACACCCTGCGGCCCCCCTTTTTAAATAAGGGGACCACCACCCCGGTCTGCCAGTCCAGTGGGACTGCCCCCGATGTCGACGTGATATTGCAGAGCCGCGTCAGCCAACGCAGCCCCACAACATCCAGAGCCTTAAGGAACTCATCCACCCCCGGAGCCTTGCCACAGCGGAGCTATTTAACCACCTCAGTGACCTCAGCACCAAAATTTTCTCTATTCTATTATATTAATTTATATCAGCCAGTAGGAAAAAAAACGTTTGAGGAATTCTGGCCTTTATTTAATCAGCCACACACTCATACACATGACTAAAGTAATCTCATGACACATTGCTTCTGATCCACAGATCAGAGCTCCTGTATCTGGGAAAGGTGTGGCTCTGAGGTTTGTTTGTTAACACCTCTTTACATGTATAATTCTGATTGGCCATGTAATCATTGAAGAAATACACTCCTCGATGTCTAATGGCTTTATTGACCAGGATGAAGGAGCCCTGCAACAACATACAAAGCTGAATGAGCAGAAGCAAACGGTAGTGTGAAGCAGCAGCATGGGCTAAAGGCTAAAGCTAAGCAATGCGAGAAAATACATAAACAAATGCAGCGCGGCTTAGCATGCTTACTGACAATGTGACCATTATATTAGCTTAACAAGCATGTGAAGACTTACAGATACAAGTCTAACAGTAGCATGGATAGGCAGCAGTATGTACAGTCAGGGATAGCCGCGTTTCCGGAACTGCGCTGCTCTGGGCGGCTGCATGTTGGAGTAGCTCTGTTGACTATATGTAAGTTTTGCCTTTTCTTGGGCATTTTTTCTTCTTGTTTCCCAAGAAAAACTGTATTTTTTTTGGACACTTTACTTTTCTGTTTCTGGTGTTTTAACAGATACCATTACAGATACACACTCACGCATGGTTGTTTCCATGGAGCTGGTTTTCTGTTTGAGTGCAGGCAATGCCTTGACAACTGCTTATGCAACTAACCTCTCTGTCAATAAAAGGACTACACGAGGAAGTGGAAAGCTCACAGTGTGTGTGTGTGTGTGTGTGTGTGTGTGTGTGTGTGTGTGCATGTGTGTGTGTGCGTGTGTGTTCATTTTCATCTCTCTAGTCTGTTTAGATACGCAGAAATGATCACATTTATCAATTCTTGTGTTTTATTTAGAAAAATGTCTATTTTGTTAAATTTACTGGCCTGCCTCTTCTGTTTTGGTTTGACTTCCTGCATGAATTGAAGCGGCTCACTGACGGCTCACAAAAAAGTAGAGCTCACGCCGAAACGATCGCTGCACGGCGCGAGCCTTTGCAGCGCTTCACAGCCGATGTGACCGAGCGTAGGTTAACAAGGCCGTTCCACGGTGCTTCGTCACACCTGGTGTGTTCCGCGCGTTATAGTAGTCTGGTCGGGACTGGACAAAAGCATGCAGCACAGTCTCCAAAGGAGCTCTGGACAGCAAAGGCTTCATCCTGGATAACCGTTTCACATGAAAAGATCAGGACCTCACAACCGTATTGATTTGAGTGTCAAGTTTAATTGAAGAGTCCATTTTTATCCCCAAATTACTGACTATTATCTTTTCATACGGGGCCATTGAGCCAAGGTCAACATCAGCACCTGAGCCATGACACCTCCCTCTGTTGCATCAAGGCGCCATTTATAAGACAGACAATTACCTCAACATTACCACCAAGCGAGGTGGAACAAATGCCGCAAAATTCTGGCATCGCCATGCCGGCATGGTGCGTTTATAAGACACACGGTTGTGGTAATATTACACTGATTTGCCGGCGTGGTGTGTCTTGTAAAAAGGGCTTTAAATTCACCATTTCACCAGCTGTGCTGTCAGTTTCCCAGTGCCAGAGTGCTTAGGACAGGGTCAGAGTTTGCTTTAAGTTGCAACATTTTCACGTCATATTTTTACCTCACAAGTGACAAAGTCACACAACTTTTGGTGATGTTTACAAATTAGGTACTTTGTGTTACCACAGTTCTCTTCCATTACTGATGTCTTTTACTGTGAGGTTGAGTTTTCTCTTAAAATGCAAAAACAGGAAACCTTTCATAACAAAGCTTTACTCTCTTATTAGTTCCTCTGGCACGTACCATCTACCAGGCATGAAGGGACTTAAATAATGAATACACCGAGGTTGACTGGCAATATGGCTGATCAGAACTCTACCTACATGTACCCGACTGAGAGAAACCCAGTATAACGCCCGGAACACGTCAGCTGTGAAGCGCCGCAAAGCGGATCGCTCACGACATTTGCAGCTGCTCCTCTGTTCACATCAGACGAAAATTTCCAATGAGCGCTTCTGCTCATGCCTACTGTTTTCCACCCCCACCCCCCCCAATCGCGCTTGCTGTATGTGTGTGTGTGTGTGTGTGTGTGTGTCTTTGTTCATTTTCATCATTCTAGTATGTTTAGATGCACAGAAATGATCACATTTATCAATCATGGTGTTTTGTTTTGAAATTTTTCTTATATTTAGTTAAATTTACTGGCCTGCCTCTTCTTCGGCTTGACTTCCTGCCAGAATCGACACGGCTCAGGAAAAAATAGAGCTCACGTCAAAACGGTTGCTGAACGGCGCAAGCCTACGTGGCGCTTCACAGCTGATGTCACCGAGAGCGTTGGTCAACAAGGTCGCCGATTAGAAGCGCTCGTCCACGGCGCTTCGTGGCACTTTGTCGCGCTTTCCCGGTGTGTTCCAGGCGTAAAATTCTCCACAGGCTGCATATTACTCCCGTCATTTTAAACAAACTCGACCACTCTCTCTCCCCTCTCTGCCTCAAGTGCAAAGGGGAAAGGACACATTATCATTATTTTTGGACGCATTCATTTATTTCCACATTCTGGACACTCATTTCAAAGGTGATCAACAGGATGTTTAAAATAAAAATGACCCTTGGGTTTTCCTACAAGGCCTACCTTCTAAAGATTTGCATCAGAATGTCCTCGACAAACTCCTAATTGTCTAAAAGTGCATTCTGGAGGAAGACCTCACCACCCAGCGTCACCCTTTGGTACAGAGAGGTCTTTAATAGTCTTCCTCCTGAAAGGTTGCATGCAGTAGTAAGGGGCAAGGACAGGCAGGGACTGTCTTTGACTGCATACCCACAGATCTGACTAATCTACTGCTGACGGGCGGACAGTTTTCACAATGGAAGAAGACCTCTTCTTGCAACCATTGAATTAATCAACATCGAGTAGGAAATGATGCTGCTGACTATTTTTCCCCTATTTTCTTTTCTTTTATTTATTTTTGTAACACTGGCTGGACTGAATGATGGACTGGGTAGGGGTGGGGGTGGGTGGGGGGGATAAGGGGTTGTTCTCTGTAGTTGTTTATCTGTAAAAATAAATAATACAATAAGTGACAGAGTTTGTGTAGAAACTGTCTTATGCAGATTTCAGAGCATTTTGTGAGTTAGCAGCCTCATGGATAAACTGAGCTATAAGCAGACTCATGTGCTAGTTGGGGGTGGATGCTGACGGTTCTTGGTGAGTGTGATCCCTGACATTTCAACCAGGTCCCGTAAGTCTCTTCTTAGTTAATTAAATAACCGCTGCTCCTCCACATCAAGAGGAGCCAGTGGAGGTGGCTTGGGCATCTGTTTAGGACACCTCCCTGGTGAGGTTTTCCAGGCACATCCAAAAAGGAGGAGACCCAAGGGGAGACCTGGGACTTGCTAGAGGAACTATATCAGGGAACGCCTCAGGATTCCCCCAGAAGAGCTGGCCCAAGTGGCTGGGTGGAGGGAAGCGTGGGCCTCCCTGCTAAAGCTGCTGCCTTCACAACCCGACTCTGAGTAAACGGATGAAAATGGATCGATGAAACATCGTGCTTACCTGCACATTTCTGACATTGAGGGACTGACTTTTGCAGATGAGAATGGGTCCTATGAGTCCTGAGGCAATGTCTCGTGGTGTGTCCACTGCGCTGTGGTACATTCGGGTCAAACATCTAGAATCTTTATCCAAAGGCTCATTCTCTGTCAGCACATTCCAGACATAGGTGTGTGTTTCGCCTGGCTGGATGGCATGAGATTTGTTTCCTGTCAACCACATCACGAAAAGCTTTGTCACTTCATGAGATGTAATCCAACCACAGAGCAGCTTCACAAAGCAGCAAGAGCCATACCTCCTTCTGGATAGGTGACTCCCTCCTCAGACTTGTCTATGGTCAGCCCATGTGGGTAGATGCTGTAGGGTCTTGAAGCCATGTTTCTAAATACAACCTACAAACACGGGATGGGGAATCAGATTTTTCACAATAAAAGCATCATACATGCCGCTGTTTGTTTTTCCACTGAGCATTCCCGTGCTGTTGGCTGTCAGCGTGTCGCAGCAGCATCTCAATGAGCTGCCAGTGCCTTTTACCATCCAGCACACTGGTGTAAGCTTCCAGCTGGGCTGGTGCAGTTATGGCTGTTCTCAGGTTCCTTGAGTGAGATGTAGGGCTTCCCTCTCCAGACACAAGTTGTGTCTCTTTAGTTACTGAGTATTTGCTCACATCTCAAATCCATGTTGAGCTGGGCTTTATCAGAGGCCTGGGGTCGGGCCTTCCACCATCTGCTGACTCATCTCTGGGCCCATTCAAAGAGGAGACCCTCACACTCCTGTCTGTAAGGACTTTCATAAGCATGTCAACCACACTGACTTCCCTAGAGCCACCAGCAACCAGATATGATGCAGTTTTCAGCCTGGGCCTCATTCCACTTACGGTGCTCATCTAGCAGCTTCTGCACTCCTTCTTGGAGCTCCCAGACCTAATCTCGTGTTTCCAGTCTCATGACAAATGAGTGCTGGCCCTGTATTTGTGTGGCACAGATTCCTGTTGCTGTTTTTACCACATTCACAACAAATGTGAATGACAACTGAGTGACACTGTGATGAAAGACCAGACGCAAGAGTCTTGGGACCTCCCACGGAGAATTTTGATGGAAGTCAGCGGAGATCTTGTGAGACATTTGTGCAGAATTCGTGCAAAATGGGATGTGAGCATAAATTTAGTGAGACTAAAGCAAAAAATGTGCATCTTTTCTTGCAGTGCTCCTACAGTTTCCATCTCGGTGCTGCTAGCGCTGGTTGCTGAGATGCTACATCTACAACAGATTTCAGACACCTTTGGGAAACGGTCTCACCTTGATGACGTCTCTGATTTGGGCTCTAATTACTGGACCAAGAATTCCCAGCTCACTTTTCCTTTGTTTGTTCTCAAGCTTCTCAGTGAACGATGCATTTGTATACAGGGTGTACACCGCCTTCTTGTACTTTGCACCAATATGTGTTGGTGACTTTGTCAGGTACTGTCGTTGGAAGTCCCTACCGACAAAACAAACATTTAGCAGTTAGGTCAGCAGGTAACACTATGGGTACAAGCCTAAGGTAATGCTGCTCACGCATCAACATGGTCCTGAAGATTGGGTGAGAAGTTCCAGATGATTTCCTCTGCAGCAATGTAGTAGGTCCATTCTTTGCTTTGTCGTTGCTGTGCAATTGTCATTCTGCGTGATGGTTCCTCAAAGTTGTCACATTTCTGCACATCCACAAAGCCATGCAAGCCAGCTGCAATAATAAGAGTACGTTGAGCTTCATGAAGTAAACCTGTCCTTTGTTCATCCGGGGGTTCAAAGGAACACCAACCTTCTATGTGCTTCATGGTTTTTGAGGAGAGAAGCCAGCGGCCTGCATATGGAGCCACCAGGCTGGCCGTGGCGCTGGAGCCACTGATCAGCCCAACCGATGACACTTTGTGGCCTCCTTGTGTCATCACCTGACCGTTGATGTGCACAGAGAAGGCCTCCGGTTCTGAGCTCATTCCTGCCATATGGAGGCTCACAGGGGCATGAGCACACATGCTGACACCTTACAGCAAAGGAAGGGTCAAGGTCACAAAAGGAATTCGTGTTTGACTTTTGTTGATTTAATTCTTTCTAATGTGTTTTTGACTACTTATGCACAGACTGTTCAGTCACACGTATGCAGACAGAAGGCTGTGACCCGTAGAGGGATGTCACACAGTTCACAGCAGTGAAAGTGATCTTTGGGGTTGCTGGTGGTTCATTACACCAGCCTGCAATATTACAGCACACCGCTGCTGTTCCTGCACTAGAGGTGTGAATCTTCACTTGTCTCCTGATTAGATTACAATTATTGTGTCAACAATTCAAATCGATTTGATATCCTGATGCATTACGATTATTTTATATGTTTTCATCGATAAATAGAAGATGTGACATAATTGCTATATCTGTCGTGTCTGATGCAACCTGCCATCCCCAAAAGCTCTCCATTCACAACAGTCCTCAGGACAAAACATTTAAACATGTAAAACAGTAAAAAATGTGTTTCCTCATTCAACATCACACCTCAGGCTGAGATAAACATGCTTTACCAATACTCACAAAATCTGGAAATACTAAAACCTACAGGACACGTCCAGTTCTTGCCTTTAGTTTAAGTTATAAAGTCCATCATGGGTTCATATAGGAGTGTTTAATGTCTGTGAGCAGCTCTAGAGTCAAATATTAATGCCACAGTTCAAGTCTGTCAGAAATAACACCAAATGAAATGTTTGACTTAGTTTCTTTTATTTGAACCCAGTGGTTCGTTTCTGAAAGGTTAAAGACTGAATCAAGTTCTGTTTGATGCAGAAAATAATAAAACATAAAAAAATCTGTTTGTTCTATTCTTGCTGATAATAACACCAGCAGAAGGCTGTGGGCTGGATTAGGATTAAATTATCCAGCTGATGGATGTCCTTCACTAACCAGCTAACCACTAACCTGTCCTGTGGGACCCTCACCATGTGGCCCTCATGTCCATGCTGTCTCTGGAGGAGCAGATAGGAGACAAGACCTCCTGTAACTTAAAATGAACCAAAGCTTCCTCCCAGTTTGTCTTTAAGTTGAATTTAACACCAGTTTATCATCATGAAACAAAAGAATAAAGTGGAACAAGAACTTCTATCTTCTATTTCTCTCTCCTTTTAACCGTGCTTTTGGGGGCCCGCGGGTCACTTACTGAGTACCGCTAGTTTAAAGTAATCCTCATGCAATGTTTTGTAATCCTGCTTCAACGCACGATTAGGTTGGACGTTGTAATATTTCCAGGTTCTGTTCCACCAACTTGTCTTTGACAAGTGCTGCACTGAGCCAAACTTTCTGTTTCAGACTTGAACAGCAAATACAGCCACATGGCCGACGTTGTTCCTCGCTTCTTTGCTGGCACACACACTGTTCTGATCACGTGGACTAGTTAGCATGCTGGGTCTGGGGCTGCTGGATAGAAAAGCTGGAACGGAATTTAAAGCGGAACGGAACGCTGATGTCAGACATTTTTGATGCAGTCCGATATAATCCAGTAGTGTTTTTGGGCCGATATTCGATATGAATACAGAACTGGATTGCATCATCTGACTTTAGATAAGTGGTGAAACCTGAACCACAGGTCGGTGATGTTGAGTGTTGACTGTGATTACTAAAGACTCCCTTCACCTGTTTGGCATTCTGCTAAACAAGACCCTGAAAACAGAATTTAAATGTACTTTAATGATTTAAAGCCTTTTGTTTCCATTGAAACTATTTTATTATTAATTCTTGTTTTTCTGTTTGTTCAGTATTTTGATGCAGCTTTTGTATTTTATATATGCTTTACAGAATAAATTCATATTAGCTGTAAAAAGTTAAATTAGGGATCTCTCTGCCAAGCATCTGCTTTGTAGCATGCAGATCATGTGGAACATAATGTTGTATGGAAGTCAAACATGACCACACTGACCAGACAACGATCCTCTTGTGTATCCATTGATGGTGTATTTGACATGGTTGTCTGGAGAATATCCGCTTGGTCTGTACATACTTGCTGTTTCATCAAAAACCCCAAAGAGGAATACGTACTCCTGGTGAAAGCCAAATTGTTTTCCAGAGTCATCCAGACTGCCTGCAGCCACAGAGACAGACAGAGTAGGATTAACATCGTAGGACCCGAGCCTTCCTTTGGTATGATTTTGAATTTTATCCTGCGACTGGTGTAGTACAGAATAAAGTGTTAGGAAGCCAGCATACTGATGGGTTTCACATCTGTTGGATTTCAGCAGCAAATTCCTGAAATGTTGAGACTTTTAAAGTTGAATAAAATAAAACTAAATGATGGTCAAGCTATTAGTTTACGCACAAAAGGCCATAAATAACATAAAAGTGCTTAATTGTAGTTTTGTACTATTTGATGCACTAAATGAGCAGATTTCTAATGCGGGGCTTGCTTCAGCATTGAAAACATGTGACAGGGTCAACAAACCAAACCGTTTTAAGAGGACACAGCTGGGAGGACATCTAGCGTTTAATGGACTCCAGTACAAACAGTCCATATGGGACAGAGGTCCTTGTGGGAGGTTGTATGAACAATCAAAATCCTGACTTATGAAACATGCGGTGGCCACGTGTAGGCCTGTTCCTCCGCAGTCATCTGATGATAAATCTGTGTGGTCGTGACATCGGACAGACATAAGGACTGTAGCGTACCCAGGTGCTTATGTCTGTTCATTGTCGTTCACATACAGGAATGCCCTCAGTTAACCAATCACACCACATCCTCAGCTCATGAGGGGAATTCCCGTGTTGCTCCCAAATAAAACAACTTTCTTGACAGCGAGATGGAGACACTGGCTGCTGAAGTGCAAAGGAACCAAACTATTAGCAGAGGTTTTAAATGCGGTTGGTACAGAGGAGGTCTCTGTTGGGAATGAAATAAAATGTTTCTGCATAAAACTGAATCTGATAAATCAGAATAACGGGTCGTCATTTACATTTTACATCCAAGGAGTCGTTCTGTTCGGAGTTAGTTTTATTTGGAAATGTTGTCTGAGAGTGCCACCTCTTCTGAGCCGTCAGTCAGTCTGGTTACCTTGGCAACACATGTATGATCAGGGAGCAGAGGAGGTTTTGGGAAGTTTTCATAGTTGTAGAATAGAATATGGACTGGTATTGGATTTGTGTGCTTTTGTCCACAATGGGTCCCAAATCACATCACAGCTCCAGAAGGATCTCCTTCGGGAATCAGTGCACTCACAGAGGACGCGTTCCCTCCATGCTCTGCCAAATCCTCCAATAACACAAGACCCATGTGTGGTATCTAAAGAAAATACTGCAGGTGCAGAACTTGGTTACTGTATGTGGTCAGAGAATTCACTCTGGTCCATGTAAGCATTTTTTTGTGTGCAGAAAGCTTGCCTTCTTTAGAAGAATAAGCCTTCAGCTATTTAAAGCTAATATAGCTTATATGGAGCTGTGGATTGATGGGTCTTGTTACCGGATAGGAGATGAATTGGTTGCTGGCTAAGCTATAGTTAGTCAGTGGATCTGAAATTGTTACAGTAAAAGCTGAAATGGTCCCACAGCCTGCATCTGCACAGTTGGCAGAGCTTGTTGGTTTGACCGAGGCCTGCTTGATGGCAGAAGGTAAATGAGTCACAATTTTCACAGACTCAGCACAAGCACATGACGTATGTCATTTGTTTGGTGGGGTGTGGATGAACCGAGGGTTTAAGAAAACTGATGGTTCTCCTATACACCATCATGACCAAGTTGTGAAACTTTTGCAGGCTATGATGAAACCTGCCAAAATGTGCTGCTCATAAAACAGGCATGTCACGATTTACATGAGATAACACTTGCAGTTGATGAGGCAGCAAAGTCCATAACAGGGGCTTTCCGAGCAGGTCAAGTTTTCCTGGTCACACGTAAGGTGGACCTAGAAGACAAGATTGCATTGAGAGATGTGATCCTAATGCAGAAAGCTGTCCAGGATATGGATGAGCACCTGTGGGTTGAAAGAGGTACTATTCAAGATTTGACTGGCCTGTCTCCAGGGGTGGACTACTGGCGTTTGTGAGTGGGGCCCCTTGGGGAGTCTTGGCAGTGGCCATGGGTTGCTGCCTGGATCTAGGGTGGGGACCTGGGGACTCGGGATGTGGGGGGTGGCCGGCCCCATGTGAGGTCCTGGGTGAGGCCTTGGAGACCGGGTCCTGAATTGTATGCTGCCAGGAAGAAGGCGAAAACACGCTGCAGTGCATGGCCCAGGCTCAGGGGCATCAGGTGGACCTTGGCTCCTCTGAAATAATAACAATTCTGTCCCATCATGAGGGAGGGGGATGTCCAGGAGGGGAAGGTCCCAACCTTGTAAGATTATAGTAAGATTGATATTCACGCTGGCAGTAACAACACCCGGTTACGCCAATCGGAGGTCACTAAAATTAATGTTGCTTCGGTGTGTAAGTTTGCCAAAACAATGTTGGACTCCGTAATTTTCTCTGGCCCCCTGCCTGATCGGACCAGTGACGACATGTTTAAGCCGCATGCTGTCCTTCAACCGCTGGTTGTCTAGGTGGTGTCCTGAAAACAACGTAGGCTGCATTGATAACTGGAAAACTTTTTGGGGAAAACCTGGTCTGATGCGATGAGACGGCATCCATCCCTCTTTGGATGGAGCAGCTCTTCTTTCTAGGAACATGGCCAGTTTTATTAGTCCTCCATGACAACCCAGGGTCCAGACCAGGAAGCAGAGTCGTAGTTTAACACACCCCTCTGCAGCTTCTGTACTGTTACCCACCCACTACCCCATAGAGACAGTGTCCTGCCCACGACCAAAATGACACAGATTAAATATCAGGCTTAATAAAGCAAATCATGGAAATCTCATAAATATTAGAACAAATTCACCTGAGCAGAAAACTAGAAAATTTAAATGTGGGTTGTTGAACATTAGATCCATTTTTCCTAAGACTTTGTTAGTTAATGACTTGATTTGTGATAATCAGATTTCTTTGCTCTCTCTCACAGAATCCTGGCTGCAGCAAGAGGACTATGTTGGTTTAAACGAGTCGACTCCTTCAAATTATTTAAATCATCATATTGCTGGAAGTACAGGGCGAGGAGGAGGAGCTGCAACCATTTTTCATTCGGACTTATTAATCAGTCCCTTACCAATTAATAGCTACAGTTCGTTCGAACATCTTATTCTTAGTTTTCCTAATCCAGATTGCAAAACTGTAAAACCACTCTTGTTTGTAGTTTTATATCGTCCACCAGGCCCTTACTCTGAGTTTTTGGATCAGATGTCTGATTTTTTATCTGATTTGGTGCTAAATACTGATAAGGTCATTGTAGTGAGGGATTTTAACATTCATGTGGACATTGAAGGTAATCTCAATGCAGCCTTTAGTAATATCTTAGACTCAATTGGTTTTACCCAAAGAATACATAGCTCCACCCACTCCTGCCATCATATATTGGACCTTGTGCTGACTTTGTCATGGTCTGAGTCTGCGTCTCCCCTCATGTTTCTCCTTGTTCTCTATCCCTCTCTCGATTCTCCTTTTGTGTCTCCTAGCGCCCTCATGTGTCCTTGTCTGCGTCTTCCTCTTGTGTCTCCTAGTGTTCCCCATTTGCTCCCAGATCTTCAGCCTTCTAGGTTTCCCTCCTCAGGCAATCCCCTCCCAGGTCCTGTGTCCCCTTGGCCCCCTTTTAGTCACACCCCTATAGGTTTTCTTTCTGTAGTGTTTTTATCTAGCTTCTGCTTCCCCCTTAGAACATTAGTTATGTTTGCTGCCCTTCAGGTCTTTGGTTTTATTCTTAGGTCTTTATCCTTTAGTTACAGCTGTTCATGTTTTTAGTCTCTCTAGTGTGTTTTTCCCATCAGTGTTTGAGGTTTTCCCCCCCTCAGATTATTAGTTATGTTCCTGCTCTTCTTGTCTTTAGTTTTTATTCTTAGGTCATGTTTGTTTCCTCCCTAATCAGTAATTGAGTTCACCTGGTCTCTCTCTCCCCACACACCTGTGGTTCATCTCCTTCTCATCCTCCCCAGTGTATATAACCCTGTCTGTTCTCTGTGTGTTTGTCGGTCCATTGTTCCCTGTCAGTCTTGTTCTCCTCTCTAGTTTTGAGTGTTTCTAGGTCTCGAGTGTTGTTTTGGATTATTTCTAGTTCTCTAGTGCTTGTTTTGGATTTTTGTTGTTTTGGCTCCCTGCCCTTGAGGATTGCTCCTAAATAAAGGATTTTTTTTATCTTCCACCTCTGCCTCATTCATCTTGTTTTGCATTTTGGGTCCTACTCCTCCTCCTCTAACCCACATTGTGACAGACTTATGGCATAGAGTGTGAGGAAATAACGATATTTCCACATAGTCCAGTCCTCTCGAACCACTTTCTGATAACCTTTGAGTTTTTTTAACCGAGTTCTTGAGACATGAAAGTAAATTTCAATATAGTCGGTCTCTATCTGACAATGCTGTTGCATTTTTTAAATCAACTGTTCCATTTTTACTATCTTCAGCATCTCAGAGGAACGTAGCAGAGGGCAATATTTTTATTTCTAGCCCCTCACTAATTGATGCCGTAGTTCATAATGTTAATTCCTCTTTACGTGTGGATTTAGATGATGTTGCCCCTTTAAAAAAGAAGGTAATTAGGGACAGAAAGTTGGCTCCCTGGTTTAATTCTCATTTACGAACTTTAAAACACAACTCTAGAAAGTTAGAGAGAACATGGCGCTCAACACACCAGGATGAGTCCTACTTATCCTGGAAAAATACTCTTGTGCTTTATGAAAATAAGCTTTGACAAACTAGAACTGCTTATTTTTCATTGCTAATTGAGGAGAAGAAGTAGAATCCTACATTTATTTTCAGTACAGTTGTCAAACTTGCACAGAATCATAGCTCTGAACCATCTATTCCCTTAGCCCTCAGCAGCAATGACTTTATGGGATTTTTCACAAGTAAAATTAATTCTATTAGAAATAAAATCCTTAGCATCCTCCCTAATGCGATTTCTTCTTCCTCAGTAAGTGAGGCAGCATCAGAGGTAACTGTAGAACCTCATCTGTGTTTGAACTGTGTTTGTGGAGTACCACAAGGATACCTGTGTGATTGTAATCTTCCCTGCACCGTGACGACACATGAGACTAATTTGTGTTTAACTGTCAAATCCTTTTTAAAGTTTTTGCAAACACTACAAATGTGCAAAACTTTACATATTATTTGTTTCTAGACTCATTTTGTTGGCAGAACCTGATATTAGTTTTAGCTCTAAGCCAGGTGATTTGACAGAACCCCGGGAAAATATTTGGTCCCAATTTGATTTGTATGGCATTGCCATAGTGTGACGCCATCAGTAGGCACAGATCCCCTGTCCTCGTTTTTGAAAATGTAAATATGGTCACCCTAACATAGAATGCAGGTCACACACTGCTTTGACTTTTTGGTGTTCTAGATTTGACCACCCAATATGTAGTTCAACAACAAGGAAAATGTTCCTTACATTCTAGTACCAGAAGGTCTCAATGTTTCTGGGATTCAGGCTGTAAGCATTAGTTCATGCAAAAGCAGCAAACTGATTTCCAAACAGATACAACACCAACCAGGCTTGCAAATGAGCAGGGCACCAATGAGGCCAGAGTTGTAGTCCTGAACCACATTCTGATGGGAGGTATAGGTGTAGGTAAGGCATGCAGGGTCATCTGGTACAGGTGAGACATCTGGAGTCACCTCCCAATGGTAGACATGTTCACCATTGGGAAGCACCATGTCATCCTCTTTTTCCTTCTGTGACGTGTTGTCAAAGTAGTTAGCCCCTTTAAAAAGAAACAACATGTGAGATTGCTGTGAACTGTCTGAGGATTTATTATTGACTGTAAATCTGAAAAAATGAATGAAACATAGAATTCCTTTGAATTATTCCCAAAACAATCTTTTTACTCTGTTTGCTGATGCTTGCTTTTGCTGGATTGTGCAATAATTTTCTGAAATCCAAGTTTTCACAAACAGCACTAAACACACAAACAGCAGCTTCACACTGGACCTCAGACCCATTCCTGTCCTGCATATCCTGGTTAATATGTCAGAACAAGACAAACAGAGTTGTTTGTTGAATTGTTGATCCAAGTTAATCATTAGAATGAGTATGCTGGTGACGGTTCTCACTCATCCAGGTCATGGTAATTCAAAAGGCTTCAAGTGAAGAAGATGAAGAAGAAACAATCTTTTCTATTGAGCCTCAAGATAAAAATCATGTGGCGTTTCACAAAAACAAAAAATTTAAACTATAAAAAGAAGTTGGAAAATGATTAAAATGAGCAAAAATAGACAATTGTAATTAAAAATGTAAAGAGAGAGAGAGAGAGTGAATAGGAAAGAGGAAAATCAGTGGATCCTGAGGAAGGTGGAATAGGTGGGGAGAGCAGAACCAGGAGAGGGTGATGAAGGTCATACAAAAGCCTGAACAGGTGAGTTTAAAGGAGACCACTGAGTCCACTGATCTCAGGCTCGGGGGAGAGAGGTCCAGAGTCTGGGGGCCACAGCAGCAGATGATCTGACCCCTTTGACCTTTAGCCTGGTGCTGCACAACCAGTAGGCTTTGGTCATAGGACCTCGGGGACCTGCTGGGGGTGTAGGGACTAAGAAGATCACCAATGTAAGATGGTGCTTGTCCAAGCAAGGCCCTATAGGCCAGAACCAGAGTCTTGAAATGAACCCTGAAGTTGACTGGCAGCCAATGAAGCTGGAGGAGAAGCGGGGTGATGTGGGTGTGTTTGGAGGACTTGGTCAGAAGCCGAGCACAGGCATTCTGAACCACCTGTAGACGGTTCAGGGAGGTTCTGCTCAGACACGTGAAAAGAGAGTTACAGTAGTCTAAGCGTGAGGAGATGAAGGTGTGGAGAACTGTCTCAAGTTCAGAGCGGGACAGAATGGGACTCAGCTTAGCAATGTTCCTGAGATGGAAGAAGGAAGAGCGAACATGAGAACTGACATGAGAATCCAGGGTGAGAGCTGGGTCAAAGGTCACGCCAAGACTCCTGACAGAAGGTTTGGTGTGAGAAGCAAGCTGGCCAAGAGAGTCTCTGACTTTGGGAACCAGCTTGTCTGGGGCACAGATGAGGATCTCAGTCTTATCTTCATTCAGCTGTAGAAAGCTCCCAGCCATCCAGGTTTTGATAGAGTTTAAGCAGGTGTGTAACAGCTGCAGCTTAGACATCTCATGGGGCTTAAAGGAGATGTACAGTTGGATGTCATCTGCATAAAGATGGTTTGAGATGAAGGCAAGTGGACTTCTTTGGTTTCTTGAAGATGTTTAACTTCTCATCTGAGGATCTTTGATTAACTGGAATATGGGAGAGTCAAGCCTATAAACTGTAGCTGTCTGTTGTTGCTTAACGAGCAGAAACTACCTATGAAGCAAAACATCTTCAAGAAACCAAAGAAGTCCAGTTGCCTTCATTCAAACCCCTTTGGATAACTAGCCTGAAAAACATGAGGAGCACCTGCTGTGACCAAACCAATCCCAACTGGATCCACTGACTGAGAAGCAGGTGAGCCAGAGCACTCAAGTGAGTACAAATATTTAATACATGCCAAAAACATTAGTTTCTGTTTTTTGCATCTATTAAATATCTGTACTTAACTTGAGTGCTCTAGCTCACCTGCTTCTCACTCTGAATGTCCTTCAGCTGTAAAGCCTCAAGCTGAGTAGATGACTGGCAGAGAGCTTTATTTTCTGGACCTACTGACCCTCTGACTGCTTCCCGTAAGCCACTCCATGTGGGTGGATACTGTACACTCCAGTTGCCATGTTCCTGAACGTCACCACTATTGTGTCACCCTCCTCCGCCCTCAGCGTGGGTCCCAGCAGACCTGCAGAGAAACACAACGGTCCTGGACGTTGGAGCATCGTAAGGAACCAGTTTTCGTTTTGACAGCAAACATTAAGAAACACATTTAATTTATGGGCAACACTTTATAATAAAAGCTTTGTCATTAAACATTTATAAGTGTTTAGTATGTCATTAAAAGATCATTAGCAAGGCCTTAGGTAATAGATATGCTTCATTTTTTGTAGCTTGTGATGACATTTACAAATGCTTAAATAATGAATAACTAAACATTTCACAGATGGTGAATGTTTATACATTATGTAAAACATTCTAAAGTCACAATTGTCATCAGTCTTATGTAAGATCAGGATGCACCAGTGATTTTAAATGATTAACCAAATGATCATGAATACATTCAATTGATTTTGAACATGTAATCATTCAAATGTTGATGAAAAATCCACAAAATTGTCAGTGTTATTTTGTGGATGAAATATTTAAATTTTTTTATTTAAAAAAATTTTTTGAAGAAAAAAAGAAACGAAAACTTAAACTTGTACTTCTACTAAAGTGATACTTTGCAACTTTTCCATAAATTAAAATGGTTTTCTTGAGCCAGTATGTGCTATAATTACTCTTTACAGTATTAATGAAAGGTCACCCATCCCCCATCGCCTTCTGTAGCCAAAATAATCCACTTGCAACTTCAGCCTTGCTGGCCGCCCTGTTGGGACTTAGAAAACAATTAGCTTACATTGCTGGCACTGCAGTGTTCTTCCAACACGTTTCTTGCACATTTTAGATCAGGGCTAGTATCCAGCATGCTTTAAAGTTAATCCTGCTTCAACACACCTGGTTTCAATCAGCTGATGATGAGCTGCTGTACAGCTAATTCTACCAGTGAATCTAGCATTTTGGACCAGTGCTGGCTCCTGGCCCTTGAGGCCCGGAAGTGAAAAGCCCTGTTCTAGATCATGAACACTGCTGATTTGTTTCATTTAGTGATGCATCACTCCAGTAGATACTAAAGGAGGCTGGAGAGACATTTTAGCTGTTTTATTAAAAATACAAACACATAGCGTGGCATTCCTTTCGGTTCTACAAATGAACACTAGGGGGTGCTAAATGCAAGCCAAAACTGCCTAGTTACCCTTTAAAGAATAAAGTATGACAAGGACAAGTATGACTAGAGCTGACCGCAGTTTAAACATGCTACCATTTACCTCAGACAGAATAGAATAGAATAGAATAGAATAGAATAGAATTTATTGATCCCACAGTGGGGAAATTCACTTGTTACAGCGGCACCAACACTTAGAGAAAAGGAAGAAGGAAAATAATAACAAGATAACAAGTAAACAAAAAGGCAGTAAGGTATTATTGTGACCTTCAACCACTAAAAACAACAAATTTAAATGAAAACTTGTGTTTCAATTCAATTCAATTCAATTTTATTTATAAAGCGCCAAATCACGACAAGAGCCGTCTCAAGGACCTTCACATAGTAAACATTCCAATGCAGGTCAGGCCATTAAGCCTATCAGTAAAACGTTTCCTATATAAGGAACCCTGCAGGTTGCATCGAGTCACTGACTGGAGTCAGAGTCTTTACAGCAATCGTCATAAAAAGCAAGCATTTGGCGACAGTGGAGAGGAAAACTCCCTTTTAACGGGAAGAAACCTCCAGAGAATCCTGGCTCAGTATAAGCAGCCATCCACCACAACTCACTGGGGATGGAGAAGACAGAGCACACACACACACACACACACACACACACACACACACACACACACACACACACACACACACACACACACACACACACACACACACACACACACACACACACACACACACACACACACACACACACACACACTAGAGCCCTGCACGGGCCTAAAATCTGAGCCCGTGTCCGGCCCGGCCCGAGGGGGTGGAGCGCCAGCCCAACCTGGTCCGAAATTTTTTCAGGATTATCTGGCTCGACCCGAGCCTGAGCCCAACTTTTTTAACCAACTAAATTAAAACAAAGTGCGTCAATCATGACCAATGTGTTAAAAGACGTGCAGGATCCAATCTATTTGTTTTTCCCTGATTTACCGTCACGGAGATAACGGCGCACTGGCTCTGGTGTTAATCAAGTTAAATTTGATCTCTTTCCAACAATTTTCACAAGAAAACAAAACAGCCAAAAGCAGGGCTTGTGTTGACCGGATAGTTCCCGTATTTGAACGTTTATTTTGACGGAGAAAGAATAGAAAGAATTACCCCGACACATGCAGACGAACTGACACTTTATTCTATGCAAATCGCAGATGTAGCTAAATCACTCAAGAAATTATTCCCATCTGAACATCTGAGCTGGACACTGCTCAGCGCAGCTCGCTGTCAGCGCATATGTGCACAGCGAGCTGAAGTTGTGGAGATTGGCTTGGAGCGCGTCGCAGAACCAGAGCGCATGCGGGAAGGCTCCTCCCACTGAAGCGAGTGACATGCACGTTGCGGTTGCGGGCGGTAATTGTCATAAATTCAGCGGGAACGGGCAGGAGCGGGATGAAGAAAACAGTCCCGCGCAGGGCTCTACTGCTGCGTTTCAGTCAGGGGTTGGCAACCCGCGGCTCTGGAGCCGCATGCGGCTCTTCCATCCATCTGATGCGGCTCTCTGTGCTTGTAAAATAATGAATGGATATTTAAATAAAATGCTTCATATTTTACTGCATTAATTTTACATCTGTATGTCAATTCTAAATGTAAAGATTGTCTGCGTAAACCTGAACAGTTCCAACCTGGTCTTACTGTGAGACCGGGTTGACGCGTCACGCTTGAGTGTAATCATAGACGCTTTCTGAGCTGAAGAGGATGTCAGATTCTGGGCTTCTCCCTCCTCTCCATGATTGATGTCAAGTTGTTGTTGTTAGCCTCAAGGGCAACATGCCAGTTATCACTTGTAAGTCGCTTTGGACAAAAGCATCTACTAAATACATAAACATAAACTATCTAATCCTGTGTTTCCAGTTCACAAACGTGTCCTTTTTCACTAATGGTTCTCACCAACATCAATTCTAAATATTCCTCTCAACTTGAAATTTTACATTTTTATATACATAAACTGGTCGACGCTCCATGGTCATCCAACATGTTAAAGTACAGTAGCTGTTTAGGGACATACGAGCTCCACGTTACCGTTTGTACTATGACTGTAACCTGAAAGAACCAGCAGAGGGCAGCAGTGCATTCTGGAAGCATGGAGTCTGATAATTCAACTAAGAAAAAGAAAAGAATAGCTACACCGTTGCTGTACTTGTAAGATTGAATAAAAAACAATTAAATCAAAAGACACATAAAATGTGTCAGTTCGTCATCATGTCCGACACAAGGAAGCTGCACATGTTCAGACCCCGCCCACTATTAGCTGTTCTCCAGCCTCCGATTAGTGTCTCTGACTCCCAAACTCACCTCAACTTGTTCATCCATCTTTTCCTAGTGCCAGAAATCCTGATCCGGTCCCAACGTGTCAGTACCAGAACTCCCGACCCGGCCCCAACGTGTCAGTACCAGAACTCCCGACCCGGTCCCAGCGTGTCAGTACCAGAACGCCTGACCCGGTCCCAAAGTGTCAGTAACAGAACTACCAACCCGGTCCCAACGTGTCTGCTCCAAAGTCCTTCTACTCAAGTCTCCTCTCTTCCTGCAGCCTGCCGTCTCGCCCAACACGCTCCAGCGCTCGTCCGCTAGCCAGTGGCTAAATCAGCGTTGTTTACTTTATCTCCACAACACTCTACTAACAGCGGTGTAGTTCTCCACGCGTTCCGGCTCAGAAGGCTTCTTCTCAAAATTTACCTTTAGACTTGGGTCTCCTTTTGTTGGTGATCCGTGGGAGTTTACACGCAGCATACACAGCGTCTCCCCGGCTCTAGCTGTGGCTAACTAGTAGCTCGTGATGCCGATCTCCACCACGCCAGTCGTGAGCCACGATTAGCTGGTAGATAAGTCAGCATTCTTTACTTGATCTCCAGCATGTCCCTGGCTCACCAACACTCCTTCACCAGCCATGGCTAACGAGCAGCCAGTGATCGCTCCATACCCATATAAGCTGGTAGCGGCAGCCAGTTTGTTTACATCGAGGCTTCATGATCCACGTGAAACAGGTGTTGGAGGAAATTATGTTCCCCTGAAATATTCTGTTTCCCTTAGGCCACATGTGTCAGACACAAGGACCGCAGAGCATTTTTATGTGGCCCGCGAGATAAATATCAAAAATATATTAAAACTGACCCGCTGGCTGAGCAGAAAAAGAGCATAAAACCTAAATATTTAAAGCTCAGTCTGCTCCACTGGTTTACTGTGATGCTCACCTGTTCCAGCCAGATACCTGCATCATGGGGTTGATCTGAGCTGAGGAAGAGACTCCTGTTGTTTTGTTCATCTTCATCATAATAAGGACAACATTAGATGACAACAGGTGCTCACATAGGTTTGTGCTGATGAACATGTCTGAGCAGCTTGACCACGTTGTTGTGTGTCGGGGAGGAAAAATAACAACTACAGCAGCCACAGAGTCATGCTGGTTTGAGCGTGTTGCTGCTCGCTGGAGTTATATCAGCTCTGTCTGGAAGTTAGTTGGAAAACTTTCTCTTTCAGTCATGAACACATTACTGAGCGGTTAAAATCTCAGTTTCTGGGCTTCAACGTCGGCAAATAGCTGAGTAAACTCAGCAGGGGCGGCTCCAGAAATGTTTTTCTGCAGGTGCTATGAAGGAGCTAGTCTTTTAATTGAGGGTGCTATGAAGGAAGTGGTCATGCGCACCTATTGTTCTCTAAAACACCTTCTACACTAGCAGATACACATGGGTGCACAACACCTCAACAACACCTGAAACAATCATTAATATACATCATAAACATATGAACAATCGCTGACTTTTCCATGAAATCATAAACACATACAGCCACACAGAAAACCATCTATAGTGTTGCAAGGTTAGCTAACGTTAGCGTTAGCATTTCCAGCAACAAAACCCTCGACTGCTGCGGCGGATGAGGGTTGACTCTCTTCATCCAGATCCGTAGGTTTTTGTGGGTCTGAGATCACTTCCAAGGATTCACTCATTTCTGACTGAACCCGTTGAAATGTGGGCAACAAAACCAATCCATTTTACCACTAGCTCTACCTTTCACTCGTTCACAGGTGGAAAATGAGGTCAAAGGTTAACATCAATTTCCTGTTTTGGTTTAAGTTCTTACTATCTAGATGATAATTTACTGATTATTTTTGTTTTGTATGTTAAATATTATCACATCCACACGTTAAATTAAAATTAAATTGTAAAAAAATAAATAATAATATTTACTTGAGGGTGCTATGGGGGTGCAGTGACTAATCTGGGGGTAGCTATAGCGCCCCCTAGCGCCGCCACCCAAACTCGGCGTTGAGTGAGAGGAGTGTTTAGTTTGTCCGAGACAGCGGAGCTGCAGACACCGGCAGCAGACCGCAAACACTGCAAAGCATCATGGGAGTTGTAGTCTTTGCGGTAAAATCGGCCAACGGGTCAGTTTTAATATATTTTTGATATTTATCTCGCGGGCCACATCTGGCCTTGTGTCTGACACGTGTGCTCTACAGTATCAACTAAGCCAATGAATAAACTCTGATGAAACATGATCGCCTGCAGCGGCCCCGCCTCAAGCCGAGTCAGCGGCCCCCGCCTGCAACCTGTCCTGTCTCCCCTTTCTGTTCAGTCCTGTGTCCATGTTAATTGCACCTGCCTCTCTTCTCCCAACCACCCAAGGTGCTGCTCCTCCTGTATTTAAACCCTCTCTATGTCCAACATGCCTTCTTTCCCCTGCGCTTGGATCCTCACCTCCGCTCACCTCACCTGCGCGCTCGTGACATTGTTAAGGGTGTAGGTTTATCTGACCATTTCTGTGTTTTTTCTGAGATATCTGCTTCACCTGCTACACATCACACCTCAGTTGTTCTCATAAAAAGGTATCTGGGTGATCATGCATCAGTTTTTATAGAACGCAGGAATACATCAACAAGTCTGACAACCAGCTGTACTCATTCACTTTCAAATCATTTCTACTGCAAAACTCTTGATGTCCTTGACACCATTGCACCCAATTGTCATGGTCTGCGCCTGCGTCTCCCTCATGTGTCCCCTTGTTTGCAGACCCCTCCAGGTTCTCCCTCCAGGTATTCCCCCCAGGTCCTGCGCTCCCGTTGGTCTCCCCTGTCACCCCTCTGTAGTTTTTCTATAGGTTCAACTTTTCATTTACTTAGTCTCTTTTAGTGTGTTTCTTTCCCCACCGGTTTTTTAGTTCTCCTTCCTCCTTAGATCATTAGTTATTTATCTTGCTCTTCTTGTCTTTAGGTTTTGTTTTTATTCTTAGGTCATGTTAGATTCCCCTCCTCAGCTCACTTTCCTCTCCCTGATTAGTTAATTGTTTTCACTAGGTTTCTTTCCCCACGCACCTGCAGCTCATCTCCCACTCATGCTGCCCCAGTGTATTTAACCCTTTCTGCGTCTCAGTGTGGGGTTGGGTCATTGTTTGTGTCAGTCTCGTCCCCCTCGTTCTAGGTTTTGATCTTAGGAGGATTTTTGGATTTTGGTTTTTGACTCCCTGCTTCCTTTGGATTTACTCCTTAATAAAGGATTTAACGTTTTTTCCACCTCCTGCCTTGTGTCTCTGGTTCTGCATCTTGGGTCCTAACCTTCCCCCAAACCCACATCCTGACACCAATAAGGTTAAAGTTATCTCAGGCAAACAAAAAGCTCCATGGAGGTTCACTGAATCGGTTACAAATCAGAAAAGAAAATGTAGGAAAGCTGAGCATCGATTCAGGAAAAGTAACCAAGCAGATCACTATGAGACCTTCAGAATGCAGCTGTGCACTCACAACTCTGGATTAGATAAAGCGAGAAAGTCTTTACTGATAATAACTCCTGTGAGAGGATAACTAATCTCCCAACACAGTTAAACCCTGATTTCATTTCCCAAACTAAGTCCAATCAGTTTGTATCATTTTTCTATGAGAAGATCGTAAGCATCACAACCAGACCTCAGCTGCAGCAACACAGCAGCAGTCTGGCTAGAACAGCAGCTCTCAGTGATCAGCGCTGAAATGCTGGAGAACATAGTTAAGGATAAACTCATCTACCTGCTGCCTGGACAACCTGCCAACTCACTTCTTCTAAAAGGTTTTAGCTGCTTAAAGGCTGATGTAGTGAAAAGTGCTACCTGTTCCCTAATATCAGGTATTTTCTTACATCAGTGAAAACTGCTGCTGTTGAATCTCTTCTACAGAAAATTTAATCAGATCCCTGTGATGAATAAATACAGACCATCGCTAATCTCCCTTTTACTGGGAAAATGATTGAAAGAGCTGTTCTGATCCAGCTGAACAGCTTTTTAGAGACAAACCAGACCTGACTGAGGTTCTTGTCTTTGGAGATCAGAAGGACAGGATGGAGGTTGCTGCTCAGCTCGGCTTCAGAGGAATAACGACCCAGGTTAGAAATCTAGATGTCATAACTGATGCAGACCTGAGCTTCACTGGTCATGAAGGCTAGAACTAGATCGTCTTCATCAAACAGCATGACTCAGAGCTCTCATGTCCAGACCAGACCCAGAGAAACTCATTCATGTGTTCATCTACAGCAGGCTGGACTACTGCAACGGCCTCTTGACTGGAAGTGGCTGCAGCTCATTCAGAATGCTACATGATACCTGTCAGTTCTGCTCCAGGTATCCACGCCCAGCAGGGCTCTGAGATCCTTAGGAAACCGTCAGCTGGTAGAACCGGGTCAGAACCACACAGCTGAAGCGGCTTTTATCTACGATGCTGCTCTCAGATGGAATCAGCTTCCCTATGACCTCAGATGTGTTCCCACTCTAGAAAGTTTTAAATCCACATTGAAAACCTTCATGTTTTCATCGGCCTTTCAATAAATCTTCTTATGCTGCACCTTCTGTCCTGTAGCTGCTCTAACCCCACCCCTAACCCTAACCCTTTCACTTTGTTTCTTTTTCTGTTTTAAACTGTATTTTTGATCACGTTGATTTCAATGTTCTTGCTAATGGAAAGCACATTGAAATGCCTCTGTGTGTGTGTGTGAAATGTGCCGTAGAAATCAAGCTGCCTTGCCAAAAGTGCTGTCAGCAGGTTCCCACCCAAACTCCTTTCAAGAACCCTCATTGAATTCCTGCTGCAGCAGATGCTTGTTTCCCTGTTGAAGACATCCCAGTCCCCACATCCTGGTTTGGTCCACCAACAGGTTTGAATGCAGATGTCGGGTCTTGCGGGGAAATGTGTTTGGAGACATGTTTCATCAGAACCAACAGCAGATAGGTAGTGTGGTCATTTAGACCTTGAGCAGCATTTACCCAACCAGGAAGGATGCGTCTTAGCCTGTCTGAAGTCTTGGTCATACTCTCGATAGACCACTTTTTTATAGGTGGTACCAAACCTGAGGAAGAAAGCACAAATCATTGATCAGAACAGAGAAGGAACCCTACAGTCCAGGGCCTCATTTATAAAGTGTGTTTACTCACAATGGGGGTGTGAAAACAGCTTAAGTCGTTTCTACACTAACTTTGTTAACCCGTGTTATTAAGCTCTAAAGTAAAATGCTTCTGTTAGCTGCAGAGACAGCGCTGCTGCCAACTGGGCAATACAAGTGCAAATGTACCTGCTGCAGCCTCGGGTTCCCTGTCACGGGCTCACCTGAACTTTCCCGCCTCAGGACCTTTGGGTTAAATGAAACGTTCCAGCCTGTCATTTACGTAAGAAACGCCCTCAGTAAACCATGTTTGGTCACACCACATCATAACTGACAGCTCATGAGGGGGTTCCCTGGGTTCCCAGCTTCTGCCACAATAAATAATAATAATAATAAATAACATTTTTTATTTCCTTTCTGAACTATTTCTGTTGAGTTTTAATGTTTAAAATCTGTTAGATTGTTACTGACAGCAGCTACATTTAAGTTTCACTTCCTGTTCTGACTGAATGCTGCTGCAGCATGGAGGTGTAGTTCTCAGTCATCCTGGACATGATCATCCTGAGAGTTTTAGCTGAAAACAGCTGGACGTTTCTGGATATGTTGGAGACATTTAGCCTCTCATCCCAGAGGCTTCTTCCAGACTTTGGTTGTGGTCAGAAACAAACACACTGGTTGTGCTGCAAGTCTTTTTCTTTTTTTCTCCAAAGCATGTTTTTGTCTAAATTGGTGCGCAACTCTGTGTCTGCGCTGAGCCCGGCACTCGTGAACATTTTTAACATTAGCCTCAGCACTGGAGTGTTCCCTAAGGTTTTTAAAGATGCAGTTGTTCAGCCGATATTGAAGAAACCTGGTCTGGATCACTCCATTTTTGAGAACTTCCGCCCTATATCGAAAGTCCCGTTTCTCTCGAAGGTCCGTGAGAAAATTGTGCATGGTCAGATCTCTGCTCATATGAACAGCAACTCATTGTTGGATGTGTCTCAGTCAGCCTTCAGACCGCACCATAGCACTGAGTCTGCTTTTATTAGGATGCTAAATGACATTCTGGTGGCATCTGACTCTGGGTCCAGGGTACTGCTGCTCCAGCTGGACCTTTCAGCGGCTTTTGATACGGTCGATCACCATATTTTACTGGATCGGCTTGGGTCTTGGGTTGGGGTGACAGGGGTGGCACATAAATGGTTCCGCTCATACCTATCAAACCGAAACATCGCTGTACAGATTGGTGACTGTGCATCCTCCTGTCTTCCACTGCTTTGGGGGTTGCCACAAGGTTCCGTTCTTGGGCCATTGCTGTTTTTTATCTACCTTCTGCCTCTGGGCAACATCCTGAATCAGCATGACCTGAGCTATCACATTTACGCTGATGACAGTCAACTAGCAATGGATGAGGAGAATGCGGCTCGTGATTGGCTGCATGTTTAGATGATGCGAAGGGCTGGCTGACATCCAACTTCTTAAAGTTAAATGAAAAGAAGTCTGAGTTTATTGTTTTTGACCCCCGCAACCACCATGGCTCTCACCCTGTTTGTGACCTTTTAACCCTCAATCCCAAACAGTGTGTGACAAGTCTCGGGGTAAAGCTGGATGCTGAACTCACAATGGCCCCACAGATAAACTCCGTAGTGAGGTCTTGCTTTTATCAGCTTCGCCGCCTGACTCGCCTCAGACAAATCCTGAAACGGAGGCATTTGGAGTCAGTCATCCATGCCTTCACTACCTCTCGCCTGGACTACGCAAACGCCCTCCTCGTTGGTGTTCCAGTTCTTGACGAATACACAGCGACGTAGCCATATTACCCCTGTCCTGGCGCATCTTCACTGGCTCCCTGTCATTTTCAGAGTACAGTTTAAGTTATTGACTTTTGTATTTAAAGCACTCAACGACCTGGCACCTCCCTATCTCTCTGACCTGCTCACCCCATATGTACCCACGCGCACGTTGAGGTCGGCTGCCCTTTTGCTGCTGTGTATGCCGCGGATGCGATACAAATTGCGGGGTGAACGAGCATTTGTGCATGCTGCCCCAAAGCTGTGGAACTCGTTGCCCATTGGAGTTCGGCAGGCTCCATCACTGGCAGTTTTTAAATCTCTTTTAGAGAGAACCACTTAAAGCCACTTAAACCACTTAAAGACCCACTTTTACGATTTGGCTTTTAGACAGTGACTCGTTTTAGTGTTTTATTGTGTCATTGTTTTAATGTGTTCTTAGTATTTCTGATGTTTTATCTGCTTTGATTGGTATTTTTTATCTTCTGTGTTAGTTGCTTGGATTGGTCGTGTTTTGTTTTAGCCTGTGCAGCACATTGGGCAGTTCCCATGCTGCGTTTTAAACGTGCCATACAAATAATCTGTGGTGTGGTATGGTATGGTAATGTATGGTATGGTATGGTATGGTATGGTATGGTATGGTGATGTTGTTCATAGAATTAAAATTCATGTTGAAGTTAAGATTATTCCACCAAGTAGGACCTGTGTTTAACTGGCTCATGTAACGCATGGAATGTCTTGAAAGAATTGGAATTGGGAATCAATAGGAACCGGAATCGAAACGAGGAATTGGAATCGGAATTGTTCAAAATCAAACGATGTCCAACCCTAGCTATAAACTCAGTCAGCTTCCCATCAGGAATCAATAAAAAACCAAATATGATCAGTCGTAGCATAACGAGTTTTCATTTACATTTTATATTTAAGGAGTTTTTGTAGTTGTAAAATAAAATATGAACTGGAATCGTATTTGTGTGGTTTGTCGCTTCACAATGGGTCCCAAATCAATGCATAGCTCCAGAAGGATCTCCTTCAGGAATTAGATTAATGAGCTCACATAGGACACGCCCCTCCGGACTCCAGAGACCGAAGTCTCTGTCAAATCCTCCTGGTAACACAAGCTGAATCATGTGGCAATGTCTGTGAGTCACAGGTGTCTTTTCTAAGTTTTAGCGCCTGTCATGTGGTACAGCTGTTTTTCCACCCAAAACGTTTGTAATGGGTAAATTATTAGTGGATGAGGAACAGGTGTGGATGACTGAGACCTTCATTTCCATTATTCTACCACTAGAGACTGTTTCTACGCGTGGCCTGAGGTTGTCTTAAATTTAGGAACCTTTTCACACACAAGTACAAACTGCTGAATACCACACGACGCGTACATTAGTTCCTACGCACAGCAAGTTATGTGCGTAAGTACGGATGATAAACGAGGCCATCCCTGAGCTCCATAAAGCAGCCATTTTGGATACATCATTAAAATGATTATTTCAGTCGTCCTCCTCTCCTCCATCTGACAACCTCTTGTTATGTTCTGTATTTAGTATGCCTGTCTTGATATCTAAGTGGTTCCACACACACCTCACCACTGCAACAACAGTTAGTGGTTGTTCCATGCCTCTACCTTACACACAAGCACCTTGATTTCAGGCTAGGGCAACTGTGTTTTCTAGACCTTTTGGTTGCCATGGTTGTCCGTGAAATACTTGTGATCCAGCTCATGTATATGTAGATTTTTACACTATACTGTGGATCTATTTAAGGGAGAAAGTTGGTGTGTAGGACGAGGGATGGGATCCAGAAACACCTGGGCTCATGTCTAGCACAGGTGTGATTAAACATGCTAGAAGCGCCAGGACTGAAATCTGAAATGTTTCTCATGACATTCAATTTAAGCTTCAGCCTGGAGACCCATGGCCTCCCATCTGACTATAAAACACTTTGGTATCCAGAGGAGTTCCTGGTGGACTAAGAAAGTGCTGTATCTGCTCAACAAGGCCAAACCATGAGCCCTCCAGTACATTATGGGTACATATCTTCACTCTGGTTTGGTTTTTCCAGAAGTGTTGTGGATCCTTCAGATGAAACTTTCTTAACCTGACCTCATGTGACCTGTACCGGCTACCTGTAGAGTCTGGGATGGACTTCTGAAGTGTTTGACAACTTTCTGTTTTGCAAAACCCAACCTCAGATAAACTTCCTCCGCACACTTCTAAATTTATGTCTCCATTTGTGAATCATTTTTCTTCAAACACAAAAATCCAAACACTTTGGTTTCTGTACATTTCAGGGGTGGACAAAGCAGGTCCTCGAAAGCCACTATCCAGCATGTTTAATCTGGTAAATGAAGGCAAATTTAGCTCAGACCAAATGTGCCTTGCCAAACTACACAAACCCTTTCACTTCTGCACGTTGACTGCTCACAACCACAAACTGAAATGTTTTCATTTAGGCTGTCTGTGACAGACCAGCACAAAGTAGCACATGACGAGCTGCTGAACAGGGGAATCAAGGGTGTTGGAGCAGGGAAACAACTAAAACTAGCTCTGGTCAGAGAAGCCTCCAACAGGCCCATGGTCACTCTGGAGGAGCTGCAGACATCCACAGCTCAGCTGGAACAATCTTTCTATAGGGCAACTGGGAGTCAACTGTCCATCTGGCCCATATGGAAGAGCGCCATTGTTGACGGAAAGAATAATATACGTTGTTGTGCTTCTAGTGTGGGGTGGGGGTGGGGGTTTAAACATGCTGGATGCCGGCCTTAGGGGAAGGGAGTTGACTGCCCCTGGTTTAGGTGGACGGCGATGTCTGGGTAGGTTTACAGCTATAGCTACTTCTATCCAGACAATATCCTTAAGCTTGACCCTCTGTCCCTGCTTCATGAGAATAGTGAATAATCTTTCATATCGTTTTTCTCCTAAGTCCCCCCCCCTACAGCTAGACGAATTGTTTCTGTGAGTCTACTGTGTTGACCAGTAGTTGCTTTTCCACCAGGAAAAGTCAGTCAACAAGAACGAGCCTCCGTCGGCTCCACGCCACAACGGAGCAAGAAATACTGTCATGGTTTCCTTCACTGCCTTTACTTCTGACACAAGCTTTCCCTTGAGACCACTCTCGTTGTGATATATAAACACATTTGAATTGAATTGAGCTTCAAAAGTTTAGAATTGTTTTTTTTTTAAATTGGCCATGAGATTTGACAATGGAGTGGGAATTATTGGAGACACATTTAAAAGATGAAGAGTTGGTAAAGCAGCTTTTGGGCAGGTAAACACTGAGTCATCAGTTGTATTTTAGAGAACTGTAACTGATTATGTTTTATTAAAATGAAATAAATAATATTGCAGATTTAGCTGTGTTGGCTAATATAGCACTTGCTTGAATGCTAGCATAGCACCTAACTCATGTCAGTGTGTAAAGTAAAAGATCGAATATAACTGTGGAAGAGGACAGTTGAACAAAAGGGAACTTTATCACATGTATAACTGGGCCAAGGGTTGGTGTTGGCTTTAACCTTACATCATATCAGACTGTTGTTGGTTAGATTCATTGGAGTCTTAGCAGTTAGCATTAGCATCATTGTTGTTGCTTTCTTTCCGTTTTTAGATGTTTTCCAGTTAGAACACCACAGATTTGATTAAATGAGTGATTAACATGTCCTGAAGAGTTTATAAAGAATTATAAAGATACTTAATCTGTTAGAATCAGTTGACTCGGCACAAATAGTGTCGGATGGTGTTTTTATAGACCTTATGAAACCATACAGCCAAACTGATTTTACAACCCAGACTCCACAATCTCTCTCAGATACTTAAGAAGGGTTTTGCTACAACATGTAGCTCCATTAGATTCAGTCACAGCATTCATTACGTTCCATCATTTCATTCCTACCTTGTCTTGTATCATCATTAGTTCAGAGGAATAAAAATACATTCATTTTTATAAACTACATACTTGACTCGGTCTGAATTAACATGAGTGTGTTTATGGTCCCTCAATAAGTCAACCCTCCCACTGTCCTAACAGGTGTGACAGGGTGAGGAGTGAGCACCACCTCACCTTGTCACATGGACCTCAAGGGATAAACCATCAATCCAGCTCAGTGGTCAACTTTCCTGGTGGGGTCACCCATGAAGACAGCGGGAGTGTTAAAGAAACTAAAATCTTCTGATTAAACATTCAAAGATCAATCAGATCGATATTTCATATTTATATAGAATGATACATCTTGTTGATCATTTCCTACAGATTCCTACATCTTAACGCTACAAAGTTTACAAATTAAAAAAAGGGGTTTCTCAGACTAAAACCTTTATTTTTCAGCACAGAATCATCTGATGTCACATGGTCACCCAACAAAGAAATGGGTTGTTTTGTCTTTAGAGGAAGCCAAAACTATAGAAAAGGACAGCTGTAGTGAGGGCTACATCACAATGTTCACACTGCAGTCATTAGTGCATCAAATCCACTTTTTTCCCCTCAAGTTTTCACTGATAGTTTATCCACAGGATCAGGATCACATCACAACTCCGCCGCTCCTGATTTCTCCACTGAGTGACTTCCTGTCTTCTGCACATGCGGGTCGCTTTGGGGCCGCGGAGCGTTCACGCTGGAGAGAGTCTGATGTTGCATTTCAGTCGCCGTGTGAACGGCCACACACATAAATCAGATTTACTCCCAAAATTGGAACCACCAGGGACAAGAAGAGGCTGCAGCGTGTTGTACACTCTGCTGAGAAGGTCATTGGCTCCCCTCCATACAGGACCTGTAGGCCTCCAGGACATGGAGGCGTGCAGGTCAGATAACAGCAAACCTGGACACAGTCTGTTTGACTTGCTCCCATCTGACAGGAGACTCTGGTCCATTCGGACCAGAACTTCTCACCACAAGAACAGTTTCTTGCCCACTCCAGTCGCTTGGTTCCAGTCACATGACCCTGTTTTGTGTTTGTACCTGATCTGATCCGCTCTGATTAGTACCTACACAGCAGCAGTTTCTCTAAGTATCGCCACTTAATGTTATTATTTTATCATGATTATACTCTTACTTCCTATTTTTTCTCATCTTTTATTTTTATCTTCCTTGTTTACACCAAGTACCGCAGCAACTTCCTAGTGCTTTGGTTCTCACACATGTGGCAATAAAACCTTCTGATTCTGAGATGATAAACTGGAGTGATGCAGACATCCTGTAGCTTTTATCCGTTAGAGCTGGAGGTCACTTCAAAACTCCTTTTTCTGTCAAAAATCCTAGAGAAGGTAGTCCATAACCAACTTCTACACCATCTGGAGGATCACTGCCTCCTAGATCCTTTTTAATCTGGCATCAGGCCCAAGCACAGCGCAGAGTCCGCCCACATGCGCATGCTCAATAACGTACTGGTGGCCACTGATTCAGGCTCCCACGTCCTCCTCCTATTTCTCGATCATTTGACGTGGTTGATCACAAAATGCTCTCAGAAGGACTCGAAACGCGTGTTGGGGTCAAAGGGGAGCCACAAGATTCAGACTCAGCACAGGGGTAAAAGATTTGGAGTGCTGCTCTGCACGTTGCTAGCTCGTTTTAAGTCCACTCATAAGGCCCGTTCCTTTTATCTTGCTTTCAAACTCAGATTTTATCATTGCTGTTTTTTGCATCTTTGGTCCGCGGTTATGCTGTTCAGAATGCGCTACAGAGATGAACTTGGACTGGTATGGTGTAGACGCAGCAGATGGACGTGGAGGCGGGGTTAGGCTAGCCTGCGAATGCTGTCATTGAACCAGAGTGGTCGAGAGTAGTCACTGCAGGAACTGGCTCTGACAGGACGCGTCATTTGGGAATCGTAGGACGTCCAACGAAGATCCTGTCCTCTGCTTCTGATTGGCTGGAAGGGCTCTCCAATGATTCCCTCGCTGCAGGGTGTTTATGTCTGCAGCCAGATCTTGAGGAGTTTTTTAACAAAATGGGACTCATCGCTACAAAAACCATTCTGTCCTGTTTCTCAACAAACCAGTTCCAGTTTCTTTTACAAAGGAACATGAAAAACTCCAAATGTGTACTTGTACTAGATCTTGTTGCATTTGTCACACTGTTAGACTGACTTTATATCTGCTGGCTCTTAAGCACTGGGAGTATCTTGTTACCATAAAAAGAAAGAAATCAATCTTTTATACAGCGCCTCTCAAGATAAAAACCCAGAGTCGCTTCACAGGAACAAAACATGTAAAATATGGAAAAAAAGATTAAAAATCAGGTTGAAATGAGAAGAAAACATGATTAAAGATGTAAGGAGAGAGTAAACAATGGAGGGAAACCAACGCGGGAAACGCAGGACTGTATCTGGCTTTAACAGGTTAGGCTGTTTCTTTGCTGCTTGGAACGCATCTCTCAACATCTTTTTAAACGTGCATCATTTCATCAAAATTTAATCAAAGCTCATTATGATTTAGACCTATTTTTCAGCAGTTTTCATTATTCTAGAAGAGGATCAGAATAGGGCAGTTATATTACATGTCATACCACACGTGCATCCTACATACTCTGCTGTAACCAGATAACCTCAGTGCTTAAGAGCCAACAGACATACGCAACGTAAGCCCAACAATAAGATTCATTACAAGTTCACATTTGACGTTTTTCAGGTTTCGTTAAATAAAAGAAACAGAAAAACTATTTAGGACAGAATGGTTATTGTAGAGTTAAGCTCACTATATTTTCTGTACCAAACAGCTGTTCTGTTGGTGGCAGGAGGACAGTCTGCTCTTAGCCAGGGAAGCTACATGAAACAGCCAATCGTAGGAGAGCCCTTATAGCCAATCAGAGGCAAGAAAGGACTGATCTTCCTTGGACATCCTACCATTCCAAATGACGCTGGCAGGACAGATGGGGCAGTGCTCGTTAAAGTGAGAAGTTAAGGAATCTGGGTCATTGTCAGAAGAACAGCTGGAGCAAAAGCAGCTAGCTAGCTGTGCTCTCATTAAGAAAACAAGAACTAACCAGAGAGCAAACAGGTGGTGGGGACGCAGAGACGGACGAGTTCAAGAGCATGCATCTGAAGTATAAAGGTCTCAGGGACAAACACTGTCAGCATGTAGGCCCAGGGTAGAAAGCAGGTCCAGTGTGGGGCCAGAAACATGCTGGGTACAACTCAACGTCACACTTTTCAGACTTTAATTTGTTTTAAATGTTGGCGTGTGACACCTGCCTGTAATCTGTGTCAGGTCTGAGAATAAGATGAGTTTCCTCATCATGACAGCAGTGTATGAAATCACTTGTGTGTGTGTAAGAGTGATAAGATCCTAGATACGAAGGCTGTGACAAACAAACAAGGATAAACTGGGCTGACTTCAGTACAAATTGTACAAGTACGGCTGGCTGGGACAAGATAATCATAGCAAAGCAAAACAAGACAGTAACTCTGGATGAGCTGCAGCATTTTAACAACCAGAACAAAGTCAAGCGCGTATCCGACCTGCTGGTGTCATTGCCAGAGTAGTTCCAGTCTATCTCCACAGCAGCTATGTAGTAGCGTCTCTCCTTGGACTGATGTGGGTCTGCTCCAACGTTCACAACCACCAGAAGAGCCAGAAGAAAAAGAAAATGGAGCACTCTGGTCATGGGACTGAGCCTCATGTCTGTGATGGGTCCTCTAGTACACACGGGTCGGTTCTGAGTCTGTGGAGCTGTGTTCTGGCTGGGAGGCTCGCTCCGTCCTTTATCAGTCACAGACACTCATGGTCAGACACCAGGGCAATGAACTGTTCTTCATCATTAACTCCATGCTGTGAGTCAACCTCGGCTTGTTTAGCTCCCCATCTTCTCTTGGAAACATTGACCTCGGAATTTCCTCGGAATGAAAAACACCACACACACGCATCACAATACAGGAAATGTTCTCAGAATGAAAAACACCACACACACGCATCACAATACAGGAAATGTTCTCAGAATGAAAAACACCACACACACGCATCATAATACAGGGAATTTTGGACTTAACCTTGTGATCCCTGAGCTCTGGTCTGGTGGACATTTTTACCTCAGTGACTGGGATTTGTTGCACTGCAGAAATATAGAAAACAAACATTGTTCTTCACTTGCTGGAAGTTCAAAAGTCAAAGTGTTCTTTATAAAAATTAAACCTTTAAAGGAGACATCATGAAAAATCCACTTTTTTTAACCCTTAAATGCAGTGTGTTGTGCATTTTAAGTCTCCAGTCGTGCAAACAATTAAGTTTTAGTAGAAAGTTTTAGTCATGAATTTCAACCTGTTACCTTGATTCAAGTTTTCAATTCAATTCAATTCAATTTTATTTATATAGCGCCAAATCACGACAAGAGTCGTCTCAAGGCACTTCACATAATAAGCATTCCAATTCAGGTCAGTTCATTAAGCCAATCAGAAATAATGTTTCCTATATAAGGAACCCAGCAAATTGCATCAAGTCACTGACTAGTGTCAGTGACTATACAGCAATCCTCATACTTAGCAAGCATAAAGCGACAGTGGAGAGGAAAACTCCCTTTTAACAGGAAGAAACCTCCAGAGAATCCTGGCTCAGTATAAGCAGCCATCCACCACAACTCACTGGGGATGGAGAAGACAGAGCAGGCACACACACACACACACACACACACACACACACACACACACACACACACACACACACACACACACACACAAAAACACAGCAACAACTGGGCGGACAGGCCGTCAGGAAATGAGCGAGCATACAGCTCGCCTGCACACTCTATTAGCCTGAGCCTCAGCCGTCCTTATGAGCTCCCGGGCCGACGACAGCTGCCGGCAGGGCCCGCAGCCCCTCGTCGAAATACCCAAACCCACACCGGGTGTAGGTCCTCCGCTGGTACTCAGTCTAGAGGAGCGAGTGAGAAAAGCCGCTCCTGATGGGCTCCGCTAATCCTGTTTAACCAGCCCGAGCAGCGGGGTGGAGAGGCCTTGGAGCCGGATGATGGTCCATCACCGGGTCAACAACAGGGAAACAGCGATCCCATGGAACAGTGCAGAAAAGCAGCAGAACAACAGAGTCTCCCGTGGAGACACACCCCTTCCTCGATCACTTCTTTGAAGCACATAGGATAAAGAGAAGCCTTCCGTTCCTCTGGGAGGACCACATGCAACACTTCAGTCCGACACGCCGGAGTCCCGTACACAATTGCACTTCACCCAGGAACCGGAAGTTGAGCCAAAGCAAAGAACGCGATAGCGCCACCCCAGGCCCTATTTATATTAGCACCTTCCCTCAATGACAGGTCATCCAATTACTTGGTGGCAGATGAGTAATCCCACTACAGTCCACCCCCACCAAATTGATCGTCGCCCCGACGATCACTCACCGAAGCCTGGGATTCATTCCCAAGGTCTAAAAACTATCCACCACATACCTGATAAGTCCGCAGTCAGGGGCTCAGCTTGCTGCTCTGACCCTCCTACTGGTCTAGGGAGGTGATGGAGGTTGGAGTGCCGTCCAGCAGTGCACCTCTGAGTTCGCCGGACATTAGTTTCAGTTACTGCAAGGCAATGGGCAACTGGAATAGGTTGCGAAACAAGTGGGATGGCTTGGGTCACCATTAACTCAGACTCTGTGGGCCCAGTGGGACTCACCACTGTGAGAGCTGGATGTGCTACTGCCCTCAGTGCCCCCACTGTAACCTGATCCACTGCGGTGGTCAGTGTCAGGACTGTTGCATAATCCTGAAATTCCAAAACAAAAAGGTCACCCTCACCAAGGTCACTATTCATTGATAGCTCGCCTTCGTCCTCCCATTGGGCCGACAACTGTGGAGGGGGAGCAGTGTTCTCCAGTGGAGTGGTTCATACCAGTGGCTTCAACATGCTACGATGAACATGTCTGACCTTGGTCTGATCCTCCACTGGTGCCACTCCATACACTGGGCTTCCCTCGTTTGGTGCTTTCACCACCAAATGTATCACTGGGCTCCACAGATCATGGATCTTTTGCCGACCCTTTATGCCATGTTGCCACAGTAACACCTGCTGGCCCTCAGCCAGAGGGGAGCTTTTGACCCGCTGATCGTGGTAGGTTTTCCTACGCTGAGCCGCTGCTGCCATTCTCTCTCTTGCCCCTTCAAAAGCAAACTGTAGCCGGCTCTGATGTTCCTGGACCCAGTTTTGGACATGGCCTCCCACTGGGTCCTGGACACGACCAAGCAGGAAGTCCACCGGTAGCCTTGGCTCCTGTCCAAACAGAAGAAAAAAACGAGATTCACCTGCGGCCTGGTGGGGAGTGCCTGGTCTGACCGGCATCCTCCCCACCATCAAAGACAACTCACCAGCAGGTAGTGGTCAGTTGACAGCTCTGCCCCTCTCTTCACCCGAGTGTCCAAGACATGCGGCTGCAGGTCAGATGAAACAACAACAAAGTCGATCATCGAGCTGCGGCCTAAGGTATCCTGGTGCCAAGAGCGCATATGGACACCTTCATGTCTAAACATGGTGTTCATTATGAACAATCCATGACTGGCACAGAAGTCCAATAACAAAACACCACTCGAATTCAGATCAGGGGGGTCGTTCCTCCCAACCACACCTCTCCAGGTCTCAGTGTTGTTACCCACGTGAGCGTTAAAGTCCCCCAGCAGAACGAGGGAGTTATCAGAAGGAGCGCTTTCCAGCACCCCCTCTAAGATCTCCAAAAAGGGTTGGTAGTCTGAACTGTAGTATGGTGCATAAGCACTGACCACAGTCAGAACCCGTCCCCCCACACGAAGGTGGAGGGAGGCTACCCTCTCATTCACTGGGGTAAACCCCAACGTACAAGCACCAAGATGGGGGGCAACTAGTGTGCCCACCCCTGCTCGGCGCCTCCCAGTGGGAGCAACTCCAGAGTGGTAGAAAGTCCAACCCCTCTCAAGGAAACTGGTTCCAGAGCCAGAGCCATGTGCTGAGGTGAGTCCGACTATATCTAGTCGGAACCTCTCAACCTCACACACCAACTCAGGCTCCTTCCCCACCAGAGAAGTGACATTCCATGTACCAAGAGCCAGCTTCTGTAGCCGAGGATCAGACCGCCAAGGTCCCCGCCCTCGACTACTACCGTCACACACTGCACCTGACCCCTTTGAGCCCATGGGAAGGGGGGCCCAGGTTTCCTCTTCGGGCTGTGCCTGGCCGGGCTCCATGGGTGAAAGCCCGGCCACCAGGTGCTCACCAACATGCCACAACTCCAGTTGTCATTGGAGCTGGGCTGTTTTCCAGGCGGCTTACATTGTTAAAAACAATGTAAAAATCTTAGATTAAAGTATATTAAATAGTGGAAATTACTGGCTTTGATTTTACAGAAATACATGTGAAACCCAACAAGCATGCCTGACTTTTGTGCTGCCTATGGATGCTCTCGTAGACGATTTCTTCAATCACGACAAAGTGGGACCACCTTTCATCCATAAGATTTAACAATAACAAACATTCAACTGTGTTAGGCTAATAAGTCTGTCATTATCTTTGCTTTTAACTGCTTTTTAGAAACAACAGTGATGGCAAAGTTAAAGATCTATCAGCTAACTGGGATCATTGCTTGAATTCAAGATTTCTTGGTTAATCAATAATTGCATGTTTCTGTCTTGACACCTTTTGTTTAACTAGTCTTATGTTCATGTTAAAGGAAATTGCTGTAAACTATTTACAACGGTTTATAAAGCTGCCTACATTTTGTCACTTGTTTAAGATTTCCCAAAGATGGAGAACGAAGGAGGCAGTGGGAAGTTGCCCTAAGAAGTATCTGCGATCTTCCTCAGAGCTGACGCTCAGTGGCATCACGATCAAAACTGTCAGCAAGGTAAAAAAAAAAAAAACCTTCCCTGTGTTTCAAAAAGAACCTAAAAATGCAGTCAGAAGTAAAACACAAAAGATGTTTGTAGTCTTTAGAAAAACTGCTGGCTAATCAAATCCCCCTGATAAATAAATACAATGAATAAATGCCACACTTACTAATCATGATTACTTGTTTGCCTTTAAGGTAGTCAAACTATAGTTCTTGTGTGATTTTTCACCTGACATCATGTTGTTCTATAGGCCTATGTAAAGTATAAAGGCAACCACACTGTCCAGTTACATTGGTAATTGTAATTTCAGGATTTGTTGTTCGGCGAGCCATGACCAAGCTGTCCTGTGATGTCTGCTGTGCCAGCCTGGTGATGGATGCTGCATCTGCCTGTGATGACCAGAGCTACCATTTGCTGACTCTGAAGAACAACGGGGGTCTTGTGGTCCCATCTGAAGGTACCGTGAGGGTCATCAGAGCAGCAGAGTGGGCAATTTGCCAGGCATCAGTGAGCAGACGATCACAGCCCATCAAACCACTGGTTATTAAGTTGATATGGTAAGTTATAAGGTATCTTAAAACTTATATTTATAAGTTGACTTCAGTTTACAAACTACAGCTAGTTCATCAGAAGCAGATCTTGTTGACATTAAAACGGTAAGTCTATGGGAAATTGACAGGATAGGGGAAAACGGCTGAAAAGTGGAGTGAAATAAAGGGAGTTTCCCGCCAAAGCTGATATATTTCATAGCCATGTCTTTAATGTTTCTAAAAAATCAAACCGTATAAAAATCGGTTGAAAATTGAGAAAGTTAGAGTTGTTTAAATAGTGCATGCACCACTAAACACCAGTGTTAGAGGAGGGCAGTTGTCCGAAGTAAGATGGCCGCCGCGTACGGACGTCAGCACGGATGAGGGATTAGCTAATATGTATGATCTATGACGCGGGGTCTATGCGTTGGACACGCCTGCGCAGTGCGCACAGTAACCCGGAAATGCTCTTTGGTTGACAAATTGAAAGCTAACTTCTCACAAAATAGAGAAGTTGTGGGTAAGTCATCCTGAAATCGAGTTACAGTCTTACCGCTGCTATAAGGACTTGGAAGATTGTGTCAGATGTTTAGACGAGAATCCGAGTTGATTTATTACTTCTTTACACGTGAGGAAGTAGAGGAGTTGCTATGCTAGTGATGCTAATAACGCCGAGCTGCTAGCTGGAGTAAGATAAACATTCGAGTTGATTTAATGTGTGTGTACCATATTTCAGCAGATTTATCTTCTATTGTGGACTTAATCTCCCCTCGGATGGAGGTCCGGTTCAACAGAGTTCACTGAAACTCAGCAGGCTCAGAACTTGTTTATTAATCCCATAGACAACTCAATATTTACATTCTCTGCAAAGATCTACCGTGTTTTGGTCTATCTGGTTCTATTTGTTTAGACTTTTATTTTTTTCAACTAGGAAACTCAATCGGCACAAGAGATAAAACACACACACACACACACACACACACAGAGAGAGAGAGAGAGAGAGAGAGAGAGAGAGAGAGAGAGAGAGAGAGAGAGAGAGAGAGAGAGAGAGAGAGAGAATGCAAAATGTTGCTTTTCAGGGGAAAAAAGTCTACCTGTAACAAGGAAGTGGTTGAACCAGTTTATCTTGATGCACTAACAAGAATGGATGTCAGTAAATAACTGATTGCACATTTGGATATAAATGCTGTGAATGTACAACTAAAGATTGACCCAGGTGCCCAAATAAATGTTTTACCATACAAGTACTACAAGAAGCTGAGTTCAAAACCTACAGTGGGACCTAAAAAACTCAACCTGAGAGCATTCAATAACCAACTTATAACGCACAGGGGAGTTTTCAGAGCTACTATTAACGGGGAAGGATGTTCATTGTTTGTCTTAGTGGAAAATGACAGACAGCCTTTTCTTGGTCTCAAGGCAAGTGAGAGGATAGGACTAATTCTAATAAAACACTGGCACTACCATTCTGAGTACAAAGACTGCACATGAGAAATACAAAAGTCAAACAATCAACATAAGGAACTGTGGAAAAATACAAAGATGTTTTTCACGGTGTTGGATGCCTACCAGACAAGTACAAAATACAGTTACATTGCAGAGCCAGTAGTCTACCCAGCCAGGAACGTGGTAATAATGCTGAAAAACAGAGTAAAGACTAAACTGGTTAAAGTAAAAACTCATTGACAATGGGATTGTGAGATGGGTTGAAGAACCAACAAGACTGGGTTGTTAATCTTATTACAGTGAAGAAGAAGATTTGAGATCTAAGACTGTGCATTGACCCAAAACACCTAAATAGACAGATTAAACAGAAACTCTTCAAGTTACCCATAAAGTCCTACGTCTGTTGTTCACGCCTTTGTAACTACACGTTTAGACTATGCCAACTCACTACTTGTTGGTGTCAGCACCTCAGCAATCGAGCGTCTACAGAGAGTGCAAAATGTGGCGGCTAGGTTCCTGACAACCACCTCGAGACGCTGTCACATTTCACCCGTCCTCGCACGCTTGCACTGGCTGTCTGTTAAATACTGCATCCAATTTAAGGTTTTGACCTTTGTTTACTATGTTTATGTTTATTCATTTAGCAGACGCTTTTATCCAAAGCGACTTACAATTTATAACCTATAGGGCATGTTGTGATCTGTGGGGGAAACCGAAGTACCCGGAGGAAACCCACGCATGCATGGGGAGAACACGCAACTCCGTGCAGAAAGGCCGCAGCCGAGTTTTGAACCTGCGACCTTCGTGCTGCGAGGCGACAGTGCTAACCACTGCGCCACCATGCAGCCTTTGTCTACAACATTCTGAATGGTCAAGCCCCGGCTTATCTTTCAGAACTGATAAAGCCTTATGCTCCAACCAGAAACCTGAGATCTGCAGATCATTTGCTTTTGTGCGTCCTGAAAATGAGGTATAAATCTCGTGGAGAGCGGGTCTTTGTGTTCACTGCTCCTAAACTCTGGAATGCGACAGGCCCCAGACAGGGTCGATTTAAATTGGTACTGAAGGCCTTCTTCTATCATTTAGCTTTTATTCAATGATCTAGCTTTTAGTGTTTTTACGTTTTATTGTGACTCTGTATTTTATTGTTGTATGTTTCCTTTACAATTTTTTAGATTTTACCTCTTACCTCCTAAATGACTTTTATCTGTTTTTATCTTGGGGTTTGTCCTTTTTACTGTACAGCACTTTGGTCAGCTTTCATGCTGTTTTCAAACGTGCTATATAAATAAACATGGTATGGTATGGTACGTCACGAGTGCCATGGCAGGTGCATGCTTCTTTTCAAAGGTAGATGTCGTCTGGATTTGACCGAATTCAACTGGATGAAGAAAGTGCAAAATTGTGCATGTTTAGAAGAAGAATCAGTTTAGTGTAGGGGTATTCAGTTCTGTTTCTGGAAGGTTAGTATCCAGCACGTTTTAGTGGTTTCTCTGCTCCAACACAGCTCATCAGGCTCCGCAGAAAGCTGTTAATCACCTGCTGATTGAAATCAGGTGTTTTGTAACAGAGTTACAACTAAATGTCCTGGATACCGGCCCTCCAGGCCCAGAGTTGAATACCCCGGCCTTATAAAGCACCTCAAGACAAAAATGATGAGGCGCTTCACAAGTACAAAAATAGGAAAAAAAAAGATTTTTAAATATCATAAAAGTTTAATTGTCATTAAAACAAATGAGGAAAGGGAAGAAGAAAATGAATACAAAAAAGATCATCTGTAGATCCTGGGAAAGGCAACACTGGTAGAAAGAGCTGCATTAGGAGAAGGTATTGATGAAGAATCAGCGGGTCACACCAAAGTCAGCCTAACAGGTGAGTCTTCATCTGCTACAGCGACTTGCGACCATCTGAAACCTCCCAGCAGCATGATGGGATCACTGTTATTGAAACAAAAATTGAGTATATCAACACCAACAGTATCATATAGACACCTCCTCAACCCATGCAGCCCATTCAGGAATGTTCTGCAGGAACCTTTGGTTTTCCTCACAGTCACTTAGCATCTCCAAGCCCTTTACATGTGGTGTTGCTTGAAGACAGGTTGTGAGAAAATCAGAAAATGTCCGTAAACCTTCTGCATCCTGTCAATGGACTTTAGGCCACTTAGACAGTTTGTCTCTAACGGCCTTTTGGACAACAGATTGCTGACCGTAGCGCTGATCAAGTCTTCTCCATGCATGCATATGCCTCTTCATCACTACGATAAAATGCTCTTTAAGTGCAGGACCAGTAATGCATCTTTTTAATAAGTGCAGTTGATCAGCAGGAGGTATACTTTTACAGTCCACTAGTGAGCTGAAGGAAGTGTAGGCTATGGGCTCTCCACTGAATATGACGGGCACTAATACTGGGATTCTGTTTACAGCTATGCTATCTTGGCTAGCTTTAGCCAGCAGAGAAATGTCTGTTGGAGGTAATGGAGTGGCAATATGAGAGTTTGGTTGTTGTAGAGAATTGATGAGGGTAATGGATGCATGTTGTTGCACAGGTGGGATATATGAACCTGTAGAGAGCACCGGGGCTGGCTGTGCAACATCATTGTTGAGAAAACTAGTGCCATTGTTCTGCAACAGTCACTGACTGACTTTCCATATCACCTTGTCATTAGTCTCTAATTTAGCACGTGCAGCTTGCCTTTCCTTTTCTGCTTGTAAATGCTCTAGTTTAGACTTTTGCACATCCAGTTCCCGCCTGTGTTTCTCTTCCATTTCTCTTATTTTCTCCTTTTGTTTGATTTCCTCTTGTGCAATTTTATACTGAGCCTCCTTAGCAGCTAATTCTGCAGCTGCATCGATTCTTCTGGTTGTGATGCTTGCATCAGAGTGGCAACTTTACTGTGATACAGTACCATATATGGACCTTGCATGTTCAGAAGTTAAGAGCTGATGGAAGCGCTGCCCTTCTCGATCTCCATCATATTCATCTATGGCTGCTAATCGCTCAGAAGTCATTTTCATAATATCCTTTGTCACAGATTCACAAGAATCCATTTTGCACCTTATAACATGTGATGGTACATTACGCTCTCTTAGTTCACTGTATGCTTTTGTCATGTCTTTTACTGTCTTTTCAATATCGTGAGCCATTTCTGCTAACTGCACATCTGATATATCACATTTCAGGTCTTCCCTGTAGACCCTGATCTATATCTATATATATATATATATATATATATATATATATATATATATATATATATATATATATATATATATGCATTATTCCCATTATGTACTTGTGTAGTTTGCATATAAAACCGGAAGTAGTCCCGTTACCGGGCCTGTCGTGTTTAAAAGATTTTATAACATGATTTAAAAATGTTTAAAATGAGACAGAAAAAAAATAGTGATTAAAACTATGGAAAGCAAGACAGAAAATGATTAGGAAAGAGGGATATAGCTACACTCTGTTGTTCTACTGTCAGAAGTGTGTGCATTACCTTTTGTTTTTTTTTTTGCAGATACACACTTGGTTAGAATAAACAATGGCAGGCCATAAGAAACTCCTGGGTGGATATATTTAGGCAGCCTTCATCAGATTCTGCAGCAGCTGCTAATTACTCATTTTAATCAAATCTGTCATGTTTAAACAGGAACTTCTCTAAATCAGCCTGAACTCATAGCCCAACCGCTAGCATGTAGCCTCTGACACCACTGTCCACGATGGTGACTGATGCTCTACTTGTTGACTGACAGCGCCCCCTGGTGGAAACACAGTGCCACTGGTCAACGCGGTTGGCTGGCAGAAATGATTGGTTTAGCTGTAACGGGGGAGGGACTTGGAAGAAAACAAATGATGAAACGTTACTTACTTTTTCTCATAGAACAGGGTCAGACGGTCAAATTTAAGGATTTTAAAAGTTACTTTAAATCAGAAAAACAGAAGTCATAGTAACAGTTAAAATAACAAAATGACCAGTCGTTGTGAATGCATGAGCCCAAGTTCAAAGTTGTGTATATACACCCCTGCTGAAGGACACCAGCATGTGTGCTGTTCTGGATGCTGGTTATAATATCTTTATATACACACAGTAGTGTATAACATCTGGGCACTTTTGAAACGCATGTGAACTTGGTTAGCACCTAGGGATACTCAGATACGTGGAGCTTAGCTTAACTTACCTTTGTCCGTATTTCTGTTATCACAGTTTGCAGGCTTCATGATCTCCAGCTCCGTTTCAAAACTGCACATGACGACTTGTAGCTCCGGACCTGTTCTGAAGTGTAAGCACTCGCACCACAAACAAGATATCTGGAAACATCTGTAAAGCAGAACTGCTGCGGTAACAATTCGCCGTCGGTGCTCCGCTCTTTGTTGGTTCGTTCATATGGACTTAGTCCATAAACTGGTCCCTGGCTTCCATATTAAACCTGTCCCGGTGTAGTCCGCATCCTAATCGGGGTTTACACGTGTTGTGCTCCACTTTCTTTCTCCCAACTCTGCTTCATGTTTACGGTTGACAAGCCATCAACATGGCCGCCACTGCCCCAGAGTGCAGCGCGTGATCACATGTGATCACATGCCTGATTAGTTTTAGCACCAATTATGGGAAGAGGCTATTTTTCCACCGGCATAATTATTTATGTGGTGAAATCCTTTATGGATGAGGAACATGTGTGGACGGCTGAGACGTCAGTGCTGCGTTTCTCCCGTTCTACCGCTAGATGCTGTTCATGGTCTGAGCGGTTCTTATGTTTAGGAACATTTCTACACCACACAATGCGTAACGTCGTTCCTATGCATGAAATACGCACAGCTATGTTGGTAAGTGCGGTCGACGGGCCCTGTTGGGGGAAACTGGCTGTTAGTGAGACAGCTGACGAAAGTGATGAGTAAACATTCAGATGGAAAGTAGACACTCACAGTTAGGCAAAACAGACACATTTATAGTAGCTTCATGAACACAAAGTGTAGTTTCATATTTGAGGGCGGCGCCCCTATGGACAAGCTGCCACTGCGCCCAGCCCTGGGTGGGGGTGTGAACAGGAAGCTGCAGTGGTTTAATTTAGTTCTGTGGTTGATTTAGTGTTTTTGAACTGAAACCTGATTTGTTCACTCATGATGACGAGTCAGATGTTGGCCGCTTGCTTGTGTAACAGCTTTGGCATGTTTCTGTTGCAGATGCACGTGGCATGTTATTTATCCGGGCCTGACTTCAAACCTCGGACACTCTGATACTGTACGTGTCTGTAAGATCCAGCAGGTGGCACCGCCTTCCCCATGGGCCTGGCCATGGCATGCTGTTCCCCCCGCCGTTACCGCAGGCTCTGCTCACGCACCTGCGCCTACACCCTAGCACTAGCTGTGGGGTTTGTAACACTGGGGACCATTCGCATTGTTCTGCTCAAGTTCTCTGCCAACGCTGGTGAGTTGAACCAGCAGAAGTAATCCGAGGAGAGGTTCGATCCCAGGATGTTACCTTGTGTTTGTTCTGTTTCAGACAACAAGTATGACTTCCTCCCTGCATCTGTGAATCTGCTGGCTGAAGCTCTCAAACTGCTCTTCTGTCTGGTGATGTCAGTCAGGATCATTGTTCGGGGTAAACACAGGATCACAGTTAGGGTTTTCAGATACTTCATATGTCTGCACATCTTCAGAACCCCATGTAGAGCACCCTCCAGCGTCCTCTTGTGGAGGGTTAGTGGTACATGATTAAAATGTCACATTTCATACAGGAGAACTCTACAGAGCAGTTAAACAGCTGATTTTGTGTCATGAGATGCTTTTCGTCTGCATCCAGAATGACTGCATTTAACAGCTGCTTCTGGGGTTTTTCTGACAGATGAACGTAGATTAAGAGATTATTGACAATCAGGTGAATTTATTATTCAGCAGCATGTGCTTGATTACTTAAATCCCCTAAAGTCACTGTTCAGCATCTAAAATCTCGCCATAGTGGAAGTCCTGAAAAAACACGTCTCTGTCCTCAGAGGGTCGGTCATGCAGAGAGTTGAGCTTCTCCAGCTCGTCCTTTCTCATGTCCCTCAAGTGGGCTGTCCCCGCCTTCCTGTACTTTCTGGACAACCTAATCATCTTCCACGTGATGACCTACCTGCAACCGGTGGGTGGAGATGAAACTGTTTATCCAGCTGAATGTGGATCTCATCACATCGACTCTAACAGACCAGCTTCTGTGAGCACGATCGTTTGTGACTTAGCTGGTTATCTGTCCTCGTCCTCCAGGCCATGGCCGTGCTGTTCTCCAACGTTGTCATCTTGACTACGGCTGTTCTCTTCAGAGTAGTTCTGAAGTAAGTGACTCACTATCAGCCGTGGCTCTGCGAGTACTCTCACTGCTGATGACATTTTGTTTGTTTCTTTGTCTTAAGGAGGCGTCTGTCCTGGGTCCAGTGGGCATCCCTACTCATTCTCTTCTTGGCCATTGTTTCCTTAACAGCAGGATCAGGAAGCAGCCAGAACGCCACATCAGTGCCGGGCCTCCACGCAACAACCCTCTCCACACCCTCCAACTCCTGCCTTCTCTACACACAGCTCATGGAGCAGATGAGGAACAGCAGGTAGCATGCACCTGAGCAGATGTAGAGGTTCTTAAAGGATTCATTCACTTTTTTTTTTTTTTTCCCAATAAACCTGCAGTGGTGTCTAGTATCAATGAACGCCTTGTGGGTCGTTGTCTATGGAAAAAGAGCTGTGGTGCTTTTGTTTCAGGAAGTAGGAGTTAGTCCAAGGAGAAGTGGGCAGAAAAGGGCAGGATTTGGATTCTCGCTCATTATTATTCATAATATCCTGAAATCTTGCCTCTAATTGGCCAACAGCAATGTGACTCTTCCATTGCTTTCATTTGCTCTTCAATGTTGATGTTTGGGGAGATGGTGGCTCAGGGGTTTCCGTGTAATTGTTGGGTTGCAGTTTCGAACCCAGGCTCTGTCAGTCGTTGTGTCCTTGGGTAAGTTACTTACCCTCCTTGCCTGCTGGTGGTGGTCGGAGGGACCGGTGGCGCCTGTGCTCAGCAGCCTCGCCTCTGTCAGTGCGCCCCAGGGCAGCTGTGGCTACATTGTAGCTCATCCCTACCAGTGTGTGAATGGGTGAATGACTGGTTGTGTTGTAAAGTGCCTTGGGGGGTTCCAGGACTCTAGAAGGCGCTATATCAAATATAGGCCATTTACCATTTTCCTTCGCCTTTTGCTTCAGGCAGCTCCAGACTTCTCTAGGCGCTGTCCTCGTAAGCAAGGCGCCTGGCCTCCCAAGACATCGCCTCACAAGGCCAGGCGCCTTGACATTGAGAAACACCCAGACTCAGGCCCTGTCCACACGTAGCCGGGGATCTGCCAAAACGTAGATATTTTTCTACGTTTTGGCCTGTCATCCACATGAAAACGGAGTTTTTTCACATGAAAACGGATCTTTTTAAAAACTCCGGCCAAAGTGAAGATCTGCGTTTCCTCCGTTTTGGGTGTCTGCGTGTGGACGGACAAAACCGGAGTTTTAAGGTCCGCAACGTCACTTTCCGCGACAAAAAATGCTGACATCACGTGTGCGACCTGTGTTTACACTAGCCAACAGCATGGATGCCCTCAGAGCTGCGCTCGCTTTATCAATTGTCCAAGTGCTTTTTGCTTGTTTGTTTTTGCAAGCGGAATTACTGCTCCTTGCGGAAGACCACAGACGAAGGACGAGGTTAAGAACGGGGGAAGTACTGCCGCCTACAGGTCTGGCATGTCCTTAACAACGTATTTATCCGGGTACGTGTGGACAGTTTTTTTCTAAAATGAGGTGGTGTGGATGCAAGTTTTGGAGGGGCGGATATTCGTTTAAAAAAAAAACAACCCGGCTACGTGTGGACTAGGCCTCAGAGTGGAAGGAACCAGGGATTATTGTGCTCTCCACCTTTAGGGAAGCTTTTGTAGAACCATAGGTTTGTTTGGCAAGCTCCCCTCTCTTCTGCTTGTTTGTGAGCTGGGCTGAAGCAGGTAGAGGTTTTTATTGGTTGGTTTCCGTTCCCCGTACTGGTAAGGCCCTTATGAGTATTCTTAGCCGAACCCACTCTCGGTAAGAGTTACGTTTCGTTTACAACCGAGTTGATCCAATCAGTTAACCATTTGACATGATGCACCTCAGTAGTGTTTTCTTCCCATCCTGGTTGAAGGATGGTTTCTTTAGTTAAAACAGGCAGTTTGATTTAATACCTCATAAAACTACATTTCTCATTTATTTTTAATTGTTTTTTATCCGTTCACCTCCCGTTGGAACACTTTGTGTAAATAATAAGGAAGTGAAGTCCGCTCATTTAGTCATCTTTTTGTGTTGGACCTCCCACGGGTTCCTAGACCTGGTTGGGGCCATAACAGGGACTAGTGGGCCTGTGTTTTGACAGCCTTGCTTCTGTCAGTGTGTCCTAGTGTGGCTACAATGTAGTTCATCACCACTATTGTGTGATTCATTGTAGTGGAAAGCGCTTTGGAGTACTCTGACTCAGAGAGTCGCTATACAAGTGTGGGTCGCTATACAAGTGTGGGTCATTTATGTATGTAACGTTTTGTAAGAAACTATATATTTATATATATATATATATATATATATATATATATATATATATATATATATATATATATATATATATACAGTGGGGCAAAAGAGTATTTAGTCAGCCACCGACTGTGCAAGTTCTCCCACTTAAAATGATGACAGAGGTCAGTAATTTACATCATAGGTACACTTCCACTGTGAGAGATAGAATGTGAAAAAAAAATCCATGAATTCACATGGCAGGATTTTTAAAGAATTTATTTGTAAATCAGGGTGGAAAATAAGTATTTGGTCAATAACAAAAATTCAACTCAATACTTTGTAACATAACCTTTGACCCAGCCACGTTTCATCTTCAAAGCTCTCACTGATGGAAGGAGGTTTTGGCTCAGAATCTCACGATACATGGCCCCATTCATTCTGTCCTTAACACGGATCAGTCGTCCTGCCCCCTTAGCAGAAAAACAGCCCCAAAGCATGATGTTCCCACCCCCATGCTTCACAGTAGGTATGGTGTTCTTGGGATGCAAGTCAGTATTCTTCTTCCTCCAAACACAACGAGTTTATCTTCTATTTCTCCCTCTTTTTAACTTCTCCGTGTCCCTAAATAAAAGAGACAGAAGATCACGCTGCAGCCGCCGTCACTGACCCCGCCCCCTCCCCGAGACCGGATCTCCCAGCATCACAACACTCAGTCTGACTGAGCGCTTCCAGGAGAAATAATAATTAAATTATGAAAAAAATAATGCGTGTTTGGAGCATCAGTTTGGAGGAGCGTCCTCCGATCCTCCCTCTTGTGTCAGCAGTCTCTCTCTCTCTCTCTCAGTTGCTGTGCGAGCGAGCGGAGCGCGCCGCATGACAACCCGCTCATTTAACATAATTCACGGCCCAAATCCAACAGAACCGGTCGGGCTGATTCGGTTCCGGTTCGGTCTCAGGTTACAACTCTAGCGCTCAGCCCTGCAGTACCACATTAAGGCAGAACCACTTGGTAAATGTGGAGGACGCTCACTCTGACAGATTTGGATGCTGCTCTGGTGCCACTGTAAAAAAAACAAAACTGCATTCCACTATAATCGATTATGGCCTACTTTTCTACGATGCAGAATCGTTTATGTCTGCATCCCAATGCATCGATTATTTGATTATTTTCCTCAGCTCTATTCTCATTAAGAAAATGAGAACTAACCAGACGGCGAGCAGGAGGTGGGAATGCAGAAACTGACATGAATGAATGAATGAATGAAATCTTTATTTCGAACATTATAATAAGAATAAAAATAACTATTATAACAATAATAATAATAAAGTAATTGTAGACCAGGGATTCCCAAAGTGTGGTGCGCGCACCCCTGGGGGTGTGCGAGCTGCCGCTAGGGGGTGCGCGAGGTGAAAAGTGTAATGGCTGCGGAGCTCAGAGAAGTCTGTCATATGTCACCATTAGCGTAGAAACTCATTTGTGGGTGGGCCAAAGAAAAAGTAAGTGGGCACAATAAATGTAATTGAAAACAAGTATATTTTTGCGCGTGCACGCGTGTCCTCCGCATGTGCCCTAGCTTCATAATAACAATGCGCCGAGCTTCAGCACTCTGGCCTGCGCATGCTGATATGTTCCGTATTTGATCATTTTTAACGGTGTTGGAGGAATCTGAAGGTGGCGAGTCATTCTGGCAGATTGTAATTAACACATGTCTCATGCAGGTGTTCTGACATTGTAAACCTCACACACAGAACATTGTGGATGTAACAAAATAACAAGAAATGATTCCCATTCAAGCTATTAACAGCGCGCTGAAGATCTGAAGTTCAGTGTGCGTCTGTCAGAGGTCAGACGCGTTCCAGCGGAACCACGGCTCACGGGTGCACAAGTGAGCACATCTGGGCTGGGCAGAAGGAATTTTACAACATTGGTTTAAATAGCGCGAGACGCGGTGACTCGAGCGGCTGTGCCGCGCACACACACACACACACACACACACACACACAGATTCAATAAGCGCACACGCTGCTTTAACTCCGGCGAGCCGTCAGACTGAAGGCAGAAATGAACGCTGCCTCCACCATGATAAAAACTTTTAAGAGGTTATTTTTCATTCAAGGTCAAATTAAGATATTAGCTTCTGGGATGAGTCGGGTCCGCTCCAGCCAGTGACTCCTCATGAACCTGACCACATCTCATGTTACTGCAGCATTTGTTGTTCCAGTCCGCATGACAGCGGATCGCAGATTCAGCCACACCAAAACAGCAATAAGTCGGTCTGAGGCAAAAGTGAACATCATGGCTATATCTTGTCCCCTATTGATATTTGATTACGCACAAGTAGGTGATCAGCTCAGGTTTATGCAGAGCAGAAGGAAGGAGAGAGCTCTGGCCGCACAGGTTAAACATTCCTACTTTAAGAAAACCGTTAAATTGCATTGTTTATGTGCTTCCTGGGCACTCTAAATATTTATTTAAAATGAAATCAAAGGAAATTGTAATGGTATCGAATGTTTATTAATTACTATTTAAAAAATGAAAGTGATGGGGAATTTTTTTAACCCTGTCTGTTTAGCTTGACATCTCATATATATATATATATATATATATATATATATATATATATATATATATATATATATATATATATATATATATAGCCATGCCCCGATGTGGGGGCTGGGGGGGGGGGGGGGGTGCGTCGTCATGGTCGGGACATAGAAGGGGGTGTGCGGCTAAATAAGTTTGGGAACCACTGTAGACATTAAAAATAAAATCTTACTGATAATCACACAAAATTAAATGATCATATTCTGTTCGAAGAATATGTTAAAGAAAATGAAAAATAAGTTAAAGAAAATGCAATGGTGATCTGAAATATAAACGTCCTCAGGACACTGTCAGCATTTAGACTCAGGGTAAAATCAAGGTCTTGAGTGTGCCCCCTGGTGTGTGTGGGGCCAGAAACATGCTGGGCAAAGCTGAAGGAGTCCATAAGGCTGGAGAAATTCATGGCAAAGTGATCAGAGGGATCATCAACGTGGATGTTAAAGTCACCAATAATCAGGAGTCTGGACTGCTTCACAGTGGAGGATAGAAAGTCACTAAACTCCTGAAGGAAAGAACTGTTTGGACCAGGTGGACGATAGACCACAGCACAGTAGAACGGGTCCTTACGCCCGACTTTAATCAGCTGCAGTTCAAAGGAAGCAAAGTGACCAGAGGTTGTAGAGCTACATGGAAGATGGTCTCTGAAAACAACAGCTAGGCCTCCACCATGACCAGAACCCCGGGGCTGGCTAAGAAAAGAATAACCACTCGGGCAGAGTTCAATCAGACCAGAATAATCTGATGTTTGCTGCCGAACTTCAGTCAGAAACAGAAAATACAGGTTTTTAGAGAGAATTAGATCATTGAGCAGGAAGGACTTATTGTTAACAGAGCGGGTATTTAATAGAGCCATGCTGAGTAAGGTGGAGGAATCAGAAACTACAGAAACAGCTGGAGTTAGTGGACGTAAATTAGCAGGGTTAGATCCACGGTGTTTGTAAAAACCACTTATGGAGGGAACAGGAGGAGAAACCACTGAGGAATGAGGATAAACCGACCTTAAAAAACTTGGACAGAGAAACCGCGCCGCAACACGGCCTGGCGGGAATGCAGAAGTGGCGCTCAAGTCGCCAAACAAAGAAAGAGAAGCTAGAAGATCACACCGATGTTTATTAGATAAACCACTCTTTAAGAGAAGTCTTATTCTCACCTGGATGCCTGCTCGTTTACCTCTTATCCTCCGACGTTTTCCCGGGACCGGATAAACATTGCTGGAGGCGCCCTGGTAGGAATCGTCGTTTGGCTCCGGGCCAGTGCGCCACTCAGATAAACAAACAGGGAGGTACGTCCTCGGTGCATCTTAGGTTCGTAATACAGAATAATAACACATTTTATTCATTAAGTTCTTTTCTAAACACTCAGAGTTGCTGTAAGAATCCAGATAAAACAAACAGATTATGCAACAATCAAAAATAGACTTCAAACTGTTTTAAAATGAGTCTTGAGAAGAGTTGTGAAGGTGGAGAGGTCAGCAGTTGTGGAGGGGCGGTAGGAGTGAGTTCCAGAGGGTGGGGGCAGCAATAAAGAAAGCTGTGTCTCCCCAGGTCCAGAGCTTGGTCATAGTTGGGGGAGGGAGAGGAGGGAGTGGGATGGGGCACGGTGGTGGAGCAGGTCAGGTTATGGAGGACTTGTGATGCTCTGAGTTAGAGGAAGCCAATGCAGGTGTTGAATGAATGAGAGAGATGTGGTCATTGGAGTAGGTGTGGGTTAGGAGATTCTGGATGTGTTGAAGGTTGGTGAGGGATTTGGACGGGATACCATATAAGATACTTTCGTATTAGTGGATTTGTGATGTGATGATTGCATGAATTAGGGTTTAATGGACAGAAAAATAAAGAAAAGGACAACCACTGATACAATGAATGCAATACAAGCACATGACAAAAACATTTATCCAGATCACCTCCTCCACCAGCGCACACATATTTCCTCCTGTAGGGGGCCTACTGAGCCTCGCTGCCCCACGGCCTGTCAGTTGTTTAAGGCGGCACAGCACGCACTCTGCTATTTTTTCGGTCAGTAGATCTTTTGAACTGCAGTTCGAAGGTAACTCATGAGGTGAAAAATATGAAGCCAGGTAGCAGTTTTTCTTTAGGACTGAGAGGAGATGCAGGAGATAACAGACAGGACAGAAAACAAGTCTTTGAAAAGGAACATTTTGGTAGATTCATCCCACTACATGTTTTTTACTTTCTGAGGCAATAATTTCTAAGCATGTAATATTTATATATTTGATACACTTCAGATCTCCTTCAAACCTCAGTCCCTCACAGGACTGTAAGGCATTTCGCCTCTGAAAGGCTGCAGGCGCACCAGTGAGTTTGTGCGTTAAGAAGAAATGTGCGTTAACTTAGAAAATGTGGGCACAATGTTTAATTACTTGTCAAAAACTCCAATCAATGTCTCTTGAAGGCCACTCAGAAACGTTGGTCTGAAACTGTTTTTATCATTTAAGAAATATCTCCAAACTGTGAAGGTTGGTGTCAAAACATGAACTAGAAATGGTTCTCCATGCCTTTATCTCCTCCCATCTAGATTACTGTAACACACTCTTCACATGTTTTAACAAAAAGCCCTTGACCGCCTTCAGTTGGTCCAGAACTCTGCAGCGAGGCTCCTAACTGGAGCAAACAGAGGAGCACACATCACCCCTATTCTGATGTCTCTGCACTGGTTACCCGTTAACTTTAGAGTTCATTTTAGAATCCTGACTAGAACTTTCAGGGCTCTACATGGTCAAGCTCCTCTCTATATTACTGACCTGTTAAAGCCTTATGCTCCAACCCGAGCCCTCAGATCCACCCACCAGAACCTTCTAGAAGTTCCAAAGACCAGATATAAAAGTGGAGGTGATCGTTCCTTCCAGACTCTTGCACCTTGACTCTGGAATGATCTTCCTTTATCCTTATGCAGCGTTGACAGTCTGGACACATTTAAACAACAGCTAAAGACCCTTTTATTTAAAGCTGCTTTTACCTAAGCCTTTTATTTTCTTATTTTTAACTCAAATTTGTAATAATCTTTGATCTGTTTATGAAATGTTAGAATTTTATGACTTTTTCTGATGTTAATCTATTTCTGTTTGACATCTTTATGATTTAATGACTTTGCTTTATTTTGTTTTGATCTATGCGAAGCACTTTGTGATTCTATATATGTGATAAGTGCTATAGAAAAAACATTTACTTGCTACATTTATTAAATCCATCTTTTGCTGTAAAAACAGCATTTAAAATGATTTTAAAATTATCTTCTGTTTTGGTTTGACTTCCTGCCAAAATTCACGCGGCTCCCTCGAACCAAAAAATAGAAAAATCTTGAGCACACTCTGAAACGATCGCTGCACAGCACGAGCCTTTGACCACCACACCACTGATAGATGGTGATAGAGCTGAAATCATCCCTGCAGCTGTGGAAGAAAAAGTGTGTTTGTTCTCATTAACACTATTTCTAAGATGTGTTAGTGCCACCGACTGGTGGAGCTGAGTATTGTACTTTGAGGTGTACATGCATAGAGCAGATTATCAATAAAGACACACAAACTGAAAACTTTAGCTGTCAAATAATTTAATGTCAAAATCAAATGTGAATTAGGACAATGTGTACATTTTATTTTCACAATTCTTCAGCAGTTTTTGGCTATCGCAGCAAATTTAGTATCAAAAGGTTCGTGTTTTTGGCGTTGACATATTTAGTAGTTTTAAAAGATAGTTAATGTTTTCTGCAATGTTTGTAGCCCATCGGAATAAATATAAATTCCTTTAACTCCTTCAAATTGAATGCATCGGAAAAGGGGTGGAACACTGGTAGACACTGTAAGCAGGTAGGCGGAGCTTAACTTTACATGTACATATAAATACGTGTTCGTGTACTCAAAAGGGATATATAACCTGCAGCATTCAACACGTTTGACACCTTTCACAATGGTTTGATGACCAGAAGTTTTGTTTCTTCCAGCCTGGCAAATCTTTTATTGTTAACTGGTGTATTGTTGTTTGTTTTCAGTGCTTCTGAGTTGTGGAACTCTTCCCTGCCCAGCCAGGCCTGGAGGGAAAGGATAGTGAGGACACTTCAGTCTTTGGGCATTGGCCACGTTTTGATCCTCTTCCAGTGCTTCATCTCTGCCATGGCCAACATTTACAATGAGAAGATCCTCAAAGAGGGAGATCAAATGACCGAGAGCATCTTCATCCAGAACAGTAAACTGTGAGTATGAGCTCAGGAGCAGCAGAGGAACCGTGTGTGTGATGGTGAAGTTGGTGTGTTTCCTCAGGTATGTGTTTGGTGTGGTCTTCAACGCTCTGACCCTGGGGTTAAGCAGGGAGGTCCGAGGTCTCACCATCCATTGTGGCCTCTTCTATGGACACAACATCTACTCTCTGGGTCTGGTGCTGGTCACTGGTGAGTAATGATGGTTGCTCTGCTCAAAGACACAAACAGCAGAAACAGTCTACAGATGAAACTGGAAAAAGAGAATCTGCCAAAGGTGAAACTAGTCAATGAGACAGACTCATTCCAGGCGAAGACAGACATTTCAGCTTTTATTTGTTATACTTGTGATGGTTATGGCATCCAGCTGATGAAAACCCCACATTCAAAATCTCAGAGTCAGAATATTGTGAAAAGGTTCCGTACCTCTGCTTTAGATGGTCTCTCAGTCTAAGATGGATTACTGACATTAATGCACTTTTGTACTGGGGCTGTTCGGTTTTAGGTAGCTCGTGATTCGATTATCGCCGGTTTTGATGCTTTTTTTCTCAGGTTGTTTTCTCACATCGTAGCTTTTTCATACTTCAGCACACATTAATTCAAGTTACTAAATATCTTTTACTCCTCTCTACATGTAAAACTGAATACAGGCCCAACATACGTTTGCATGAAATCTACATGAAAAACACGAATAATGGAAAATGAAGGAAACACCGGCAGTCAGTCGGCTGTTGTAAACAGAATTAGCTGAGACTGCAGACGGGAGTGATGCAGAGATCTGGCAGTTTCTGGATGTAGATCTGAAGCTTAGATCAGACAGTTCACGTGGAACTGTGAAGAAGACACACCTTCCATGTTTGGTTCTTTTTTAAACACAGATAGATTTTTCTTTACCTTGCTGACGTTTCGTTTGCGGCTGCAAACATCCTCAGAGCTGACGCTGATGGTGGCGTCACTTCCTATTCTGTTTATCCGCGGGCAGCAGAGAACGTTGTCGCCCTCTGCTGCCCGCTCTCCCCTCTCCGACGATGCAGTCCCATGTGCGATCCAACGTGTAAACTCCATCGTTCCTGTTCATGGTCCCACATCCACGTCTCCTCATCTCTATAGCTTCTTTAATCCATCTTTTGTATTTCTGTTGTTCGGTGTTTATGATCCTTGTGTTGTCCCAGTCCATTATATGGTTTTCTCTTGTGCAGTGATCTGTTACGGCTGACTTCTTTATTGTGCTTTCTGCTTCTTCTTTTGCTGCTCTTGTGTGTTTTTGACTTGTTTCTTTCTCGCACTCCTTTCTAGGTTCTATTGTTCGTGTGTTGAGTTGGGGTCCGGTTTCTCCTATGTATGTTTTATTGCAGAGTTTGCATGGGATTTCATAAATGACTCCACATTTAAGTCCAGCTGGTATCTTGTCTTTTGGGTGTACTAGCCTGTTTCTAACTGTTGTGTATGGTTTTGTTGGTGTGTTTATGTTGTATTTTTTCATTGTTGCTCTTATTTTTTCTGTTATGCCTTTGATGTATGGTAAGGTTATCACTGGTTTTGGTTCTTGTCTTTCTGGGTTTCTGGTTCTTTGATTTGGTTGTTCTTTACTTTCTGTTGTTGTTCATTGTTTTCCTTTGTTTATCACCCATGTCGGGTATCCGCAGGTCTTTAAAGCGTGTTGTATGTGTTTGTCCTCTTGTTTACGGTCTCTTCTATTACCATGTTTGCTCGGTGATATAATGTTCTGATTACTGACATTTTGTGTATGGTGCGGTGTCCATAATGAATATTGGTCTGTGTGTGTTGGTTTCCTATATGTGTTTATGTTTAGGGTCCCATCGGTCTGCCGGGTTATTTATGTTTATGTTTATGTATTTAGCAGATGCTTTTGTGCAAAGTGACTTACAAGTGATAATCGGCATGTTGCCCTTGAGGCTAACAACAACAACAACAACTTGACATCAATCATGGAGAGGAGGGAACAACGGAGTGGACGGTAGAGAGAGGGGACAGGTGCAGGGAGGGTGCTAGTTAAGAAGATGCTCTCTGAAGAGCAGGGTCTTCAGTAGTTTCTTGAAAATTGAAAAGGAAGCCGCAGTTCCGGTAGTGCTTGGAAGGTCATTCCACATTTGTGGAACGGTGCATGAGAAGAGTCTGGATTGTCCTGAGCGTGGTGTAGGCACTGCTAGCCGACGATCCTGTGATGACCAGAGCGGCCGGGCCGAGACGTAAGGCTTTGCAAGAGGATTCAGGTAGATGGGAGTCGTACCATCTAGGACTTTGTATGCTAGTGTTAGCAATTTGAATTTTATGCGTGCTGCTAGCGGTAGCCAGTGGAGCTCAATGAACAGAGAGGTGATGTGTGCTCTTTATTCTGATTGAAGACCAGACGCGCCGCTGCGTTCTGGGCCATTTGAAGAGGTCTCACAGCACAGCCTGGAAGACCAGTTAGAAGGGCATTGCAGTAATCGAGGCGGGAGATGACAGTAGATTGCACTAGGAGCTGGGTGGCATGTTGTGTTAGGTATGGTCTGATCTTTCGTATGTTATACAGCGCAATGCAGCATGAACGAGCAACAGAGGTAACATGATCTTTAAAGGTTAGGTGTTCATCAATCACAACACCCAGATTTCGAACTGCCTTTGAAGGAGCCAAAGATAGGAAGTCATTTTGGATTGAGATATTGTGCTGTATGGATGGTTTTGCTGGGATGACAAGTAGTTCAGTTTTAGAGAGGTTGAGTTGGAGAGGGTGGGATTTCATCCATTTTGATATGTCAGAGAGACAGTTTGATATTCGTGCAGAGACAGTGTGGTCATCCGGTGGACATGACAGATAGAGCTGGGTGTCGTCTGCACAGCAGTGGTAGGAGAAGCCATGTGATCAAATGATCTTACCCAGTGAGGTGGTGTATTTGGCAAAGAGAAGAGGTCCTGGGGAACTCCTGTGGCAAGATGGTGCACGGTAGAGGATTGTCCAAGCCAAGATACACTGAATGATCGTCCTGTGAGGTACGATTCAAACCAGGCATGCGCTTTCTCTGTGATGCCCATGCTAGAGACTGTGGACAAAAGGAAGCCATGGTTCACAGTGTCAAATGCAGCTGATAAGTCGAGCACGATAAGCACTGAGGATTTGTCTGTCGCTCTAGCTTCTTTTAAGGATTCCGTCACTGCTAACAGAGCAGTTTCAGTGGAGTGGCCCTTTTTGAACCCAGATTGGTAAGGGTCAAGCAGACAGTTTTGTGAGAGGTATTCTGTGATCTGCTTGAAAGCCACCCTTTCAATGATTTTGGACAGAAAAGGGAGGAGAGAGTTAGGTCGGTAGTTCTCCACATGATTTGGAGGAAGAGATGTTTTTTTTGCAGCGGTTTAACCTGAGCATGCTTGAGAGAGGTGGGAAATGTACCGGATGTCAGTGAAGCGTTGATCACATGTGTGACTGCTGCAGCTACTGTAGGAGCAATAGCTTGGAGCAGCTTAGTCGGAATGGGGTCAAGTGGGCATGTAGTAGGGCGGCTGCATGTGAGAAGCTTGGACACACAGTTCTCAGTGAGAGGGGAAAAAGAGGAAAGTGAAGCAGTAGGGCTTGAGATGGTTGGGCTAGAAGGAGTTTGTGGTAGCGAATGTTCAGGAATGGCCATTTGAGTAAACTGTTTGCTTAAAGCTGCCACTTTGTCAGTGAAGAATGAGGCAAAGGTGTCAGCTGATAGATTGTTGGTTGGAGGTGGAGACGGAGGGTTGAGCAGAGTTTTGAATGTTGAAAATAGTTTCTGAGAGTCAGTAGAGCTGAGAATTTTGTCAGTGTAGAAAGATTTCTTTGCATCAGTGATGCTGGCAGAGAATGAGGACAGTAATTCATGAAATTTCAATTGGTCACCAGGATCTTTTGCGCCATTTCCGTTCCGCAGCTCTGAGATTGGTGCGTAGAGACCGGAGGGTATCATTTAGCCAAGGGTGCGACTGAGAGAATCTAGCAGGTCTAGTGGCTAAAGGGCACGAGTTGTTAAGACAAGAGCAGAGTGTGGAGCAGAGTGACTCGGTGGCATCATTCACTTCATAAGCAGAGAATGTGCTGGGAGATGGAAGAGTGGAGGCAACAAGAGTGGAGAAGTGGTTGGGTGCCAGATTGCGGAGGTTGCGGTGGAATGAGACCACTGGGGAGTAAGCAGTGGACCTCCCTTGTAGAGTTGTGCTGAAATGGATGAAGTAATGATCCGAAAGATGCAGCGGTGTGACAGAGATTGTGTCTATGGCACAGTTTCTGTTGAAAATGAGGTCAAGTGTTTTTCCAGCTTTGTGACTTGGAGGACTTTGTACTAGTTTTAGATCAAATGATGACATTAGTGACAGGAAGCCTGATGAGCTGGGATTGTCCAGGTGAATATTCATGTCTCCAAGGACCATTGTGGGACAGTCGTGCTCATGAATGGAGGAGAGCAGGGTGTCGAGTTCATCAAGAAAGTCTCGGAGTTGACCTGGTTGTCGATATATGACAACCAAAAACAATTTTTTCGGTACAGTTACCTGGATGGCATGGTATTCAAAGGAGTTGTATTTAGGGATGGGTAGCAACTGACTGTATATCCATTTGTTGGAAATTAACATGCCCGTTCCACCACCTCGGCCAGATGCACGAGAAGTGTGGGAGAAAGTGTGGTTAATTTTAGAGAGTAGATGGGGTAGCACTGTCACATGGTTTGATCCAGGTCTCAGTTAGAGCCAGTGCATCAAGTGACAGGTGGTTTTCATATGCGGTAATGAAGTCTGCTTTGTTTACAGCTGATTGGCAGTTCCACAGTCCCATAGACAGGTGGATCTCTTTGGGGGGAGTTGGTTTTAGAGAGCGGAGGTTTTGAAGGTTGTGAAAGCGTTTTGCTGTGTGTGACCTTCCTCTGAAACCAGTAATCACAGGTATAGGATAATGGCACATTTTGCAAGGTGTCGATGGAGCGGCATCTGGGTCGAGCTTGTTTGTTCTGTGTACCTGCTCTGTGGACACGCGCAGGTAGACACGTAAGTCTTTACCCCGGAAGGGCTGAGACACAAGGGCTGACGCTTTCGCTGACACTTCAGTTATGCCACCAAACTTATGCTGTGCTACTAGTTGGAAACAGGTGTTCATGCACCAGCTGATTGCAATGGTTGAGACCTAGATCACCTGATGATTGTTTTCAGGGAGGGGAGAAACAGCTTGTTCACAGCCCCTGATTGCATAAATGCTATACTGCCATCTGTTTCTGACTCATATGTGAACTTTATATTGCCCGTGTCGTCAATGTTATTCAAGTGTTGTGTTAGTGTTTCTGTTCGCCCTTTTGGTATGATTCCCAGTATGTCGTCTACGTAGCGTTTTCATAGTTTTATTTAGCTGTTTGGGGGGGGGGCAGTGGCTACGGCTTTTTTTTCCAGGTCTTCCATGAAAAACTGGCACAGGGTGGCTGATAACGGGTTACCCATGGCGAAGCCTTCCAGTTGTTTGTATATTGTGTTGTCTTATGTGAAGTAACTGGAGTTAGCTACCAGTCCTATCAGTTGTGTTATGTCATCTGCTGTTAGGTTTGTTCTTTTGTGTAAAGTCTTGTCCTGTCTGATTCTGTTAACTACTATGTCTATGTTTTTTTGGGTTGGTGTTTTTGTGAACAGGGATGTGACTTCATGTGAGATGAGTATGTCGTTATCTTCTGTTGTAATCTTTTTTAGTTCTTTTGCCGGTTCTATACTATTTTTGCAGTGTTGATCTGTGTTACCTAATAACGGGCTGATGATTTCACTGATTTCTTTTGCCATGTTGTATGTTGGTGTACCTATGCTGTCTACTATTGGTCTAAGTGGGGTGTTTTGTTTGTGTATTTTTGGCGTTCCATATATTCTTGGTATTATGTTTGCTGTAGGGGTCCAGTGTTTGTGTAGTACATATTTTTTTTGCTGAGCTTAAGTAAAATTTTAGTAAGGATTATACGCAATGTTTGATAAATGAGACCCCTGGACTGTATTGGAACGTTTACTGTGTGAAGTGCCTTGAGACGACTCTTGTCCTGATTTGGTGTTTTATAAATAAACTTGAATGGAATAGAATTGAATATTAATGCACAAGACTTTACTGCCATCCAGGTTATTTATTGAGGATGTTTTTCTGCTGAACATTCAACTCCTTAAGCCCAAACCAGGACCGTTTAACTGCCACGTTTTTCCAAAGACAAAACTCAAGAACATGAGCAATAGCAGTAGACCAGTGGAGTCTAATCCTGTTCTGTTGGCTACATTTATATAATTTCCTCTGTGTACCGTTTTCATCACCAATTATAGTGATGATAATCGACCTGAAGACAGCAGATTCATTCATCAACTTACATTTTCTGTTCTGACCTTTAGAGTGGAGTATTGGGAAAATTTGGGTTGTAGTTTTCATTTGAGCATAATTATTAGAACTTGTTTTTAGAACCAGGACCTGGCTCCATCTGTGTCAAATGTGACATCCAGCAGACCAAATATCTGATGTTCTACCCCCCCAGCCGCCCTGGGTCTATCAGTGGCCTTCATCCTGAAGTTCAGAGACAACATGTTCCACGTGCTGACCAGCCAGATCACCACTGTTTTGGTCACTGGACTCTCCCTTTCCATATTCGACTTCCGCCCCTCGCTGGACTTCTTCCTGCAGGCTCCCATGGTGTTCCTGTCCATCTTCATCTACAACGCCAGTCGGCCCAAGGACCCGGAGTACAGCCTGCAACAAGAGAAGCTGAGGGTCATCAATGGAGAGGTTTTTGAGAGGTCAAGAGGGGTAAGCAGCACACCTCACACTGCATGGTAATAATGGTTGAGGTTCTGTAGGGTTCTGATTGGTTGCTGCCTAACTGACTGTATAATCTATTGAGTGAAATCTATTATGGGAATATGGTCCAAGAGTCAAATACTCCTGCCTGGCAAGTCAAATTCAGAAGTTTCAAATTATCTGAATCTTTTTTATAATCGTTACGATGTACAGAATTGTAATGATGAGTTGTCTAAGTTCAGAGATGTTCCACCTGCACAGACTGGCACTTTAATGAACATGAACAGTAGCACAGTGTCTAAGCTTTGGTAGGGTGAAGGAGGGGAAGAGGCCTTGCCCTGATAACATTCGGGGAAAACTTCTTAAGAACTGTGCCAAACAGTTGCCTGGCATCTTCTCCTTTATTTTCACAATGTCTCTCCGAATTCATAGAGTACCCAGATCTTACCCGTGCCCAAGTTTAAATCTCCAAAAGTTCAAAACGATTTTCTTCCAGTTGCTCTGACCTCATTGATTATGAAGTCTTTAGAGAAGATCATAAAATCTGACCTCTTGAAAGAAACCCGAAGCAGATTGGATCCTTTACAGTTTGCTTATAGAGCTGGCAGGGGTGTTGATGATGCAGCCAACACACTACTTTTGGATGGGGCAAAGCATTTCATTCACCTGCTTTTTATCGACTTTTCTTCAGCTTTTAATTGTACAGGGTAGGCCATTTCTATGGACACACCTTAATAAAATGGGATGGTTGGTGATATTAACGTTGTGTTTGTGGCACATTAGTATATGTGAGGGGGCAAACTTTTCAAGATGGGTGGTGACCAAGGTGGCCATTTTGAAGTCGGACATCTTGGATCCAACTTTTGTTTTTTCAATAGGAAGAGGGTCATGTGACACATCAGCCTTATTGGGAATTTCACAAGAAAAACAATGGTGTGCTTGGTGTTTACGTAACTTTATTCTTTTATTAGTTATTTACAAGTTTCTGACCTCTTATAAAATGTGTTCAATGTGCTACCCATTGTGTTGGATTGTCAATGCAACCCTCTTCTCCCACCCTTCACACACTGATAGCAACACTGCAGGAAAAATGCCAGCACAGGCTCCCAGTATCCGTAGTTTCAGGTGTTGCACATCTCGTATCTTCACACCATAGACAATTGCCTTCAGATGACCCCAAAGATAAAAGTCTAAGGGGGTCAGATCGGGAGACCTTGGGGCCATTCAACTGGCCCACGACAATCAATCCACTTTCCAGGAAACTGTTCATCTAGGAATGCTCGGACCTGACACCCATAATGCGGTTGTGCACCATCTTGCTGGACAAACTCAGGGAACGTGCCTGCTTCAGTGCATAAAGAGGGAAACACATCATCATGTAGCAATTTCAAATATCTAGTGGCCTTGAGGGTTCCATTGATGAAGAATGGCCCCACTATATTTGTACCCATATACCACACCATACCATCACTTTTTTTTGTTCCAACAGTCTTGGAGGGATCTATCCAATAAATGATAAATGACCCGCACTTGTATAGCGCCTCTCAGAGTAAGGACTCCAAAGCGCTTTACACTACAGTGTATCATTCATCCATTCACACACACATTCACACACTGATGGTGATGAGCTACGATGTAGCCACAGCGTCCATGGGGCGCACTGACAGAGGCGAGGCTGCCGAACAATGTGTGTTAGTGTCAGACCAATGGCAGTGGTTTTGTTTGTTAACTTCACCATTCACATAAAGGTTTGCCTCATCACTGAACAAAGTCTTCTGCGTGAACTGAGGGTCCTGTTTCATTTTTGTTTTGCCCATTCTGCAAATTCTGTGCGCCGATCTGGGTCATCCTCATTGAGATGCTGCAGTAGCTGGAGTTTTGTAAGGGTGCCATTTGTGAGGAGTTAATATCCGCCAAAGGGATGTTCAACTAATGCCACTCTCCAGTGACATGTTGTTAGGGATTTTATCAATATATTTTATCAATAAACCCATTTCCTTGCAGCTAGAGAGAGAAAAGGAGACAATGAGGCAGACATACAACCAAATCATGATTTGTGGCAAGTGCACAGGGCAAATGCCCCGAACATCTGGTCACAGAGTTTATTTATACTTAAGATAAGAAAGGAATGGGAGTGGATCATGTGTGAGAGAGTGAGTGTGCATGTGTGGATGGCAGGACAAGAATGTGTGTGTGTGTGCTTTCAGGACATTCAGTTAATAGATCTGTTAATAGGACTAAAGTAATGAAATATAAAATTTCCATAACACGTGAACTGAACCAGTTTCATGAAACTTAGCTAGCAGTTTGCTAACTGTAGCATGGGAGATAGGTGGTCTCATAGGGTGTCTTGCATTGAAATCTGCTGCAATGAACCGGGTTACTGCGTTCACCAGATACCAACACAATTTTGATCCGCTCCTTAAGTGTTAACCTCTTCAACCTGTCAATGGCTGTGAAAAAGTGAAACTTGTAAATAACTCATGAAATAATAAAGTTGTGTTAAAACCAAACACACCGTTGTCTTTGTTGTGAAATTCTCAATAAGGTTGATGTGTCACATGACCCTCTTCCTATTGAAAGAACAAAAGTTGGATCCAAGATGGCCAACTTCAAACTGGTTACCATGATCACCACCCATCTTGAAAAGTTTGCCCCCTCACATATACTAATGTGCCACAAACAGGACGGTAATATCACCAACCATCCCGTTTTATTAAGGTGTATCCATAGAAATGGCCTACCCTGTACAACCACGTTTTAGCTACCCGCCTTATGAACTGTCACCACATTAATCAGGACGGATTTCATAAACAGAACCCAGAGGGTAAGGGTTGATGACGTTTTATCAGATGTGCTTTTATCTTCCACCAATTGCCTCAGGTTTGTATTCATTCTCCACTTTTATTTATTTCCTACACAAATGAGTGTCGGAGTAATAGGGAAGGCAAAATCATAAAGTTTGCTGATGACTCTGTAATTGTGTCTACTTGATGGACAGGATTGTGATCATGGCCCTGTGGTGGAGGACTTTATTGATTGGTATGAGCATTCATCACTACAGATTAATGTTTCAAAAACCAAAGAGATGGTAATTGACTTTAGGAAGAAGCCTCCACCATGCCCTCCAATTTTAATTCATGGTCAGGCTGTTGAAACTGTGCAACATTATAAATATCTTGGTACAATTATCGACAGTCGTTTGACCTCTGAAGCTAATACAGATGCAGTCTGTGCTAAGGCTCACCAGCGTTTGTATTTATGTAGAAAATTGAGAAGTTTTAATGTGGACACCTCTTTTATGAAAATGTTTTATTCTTGTTCTATTGACTCTGTTTTAACTTTCTCTTTTATTTGCTGGTTTGAGTCTCTCACCCTTAAAGATAAGCGCAGACTGAATTACATCGTCTAAATGGCAGAACTCTTATAGGCATACAGATCAAGGGTTATAAGGAAAGCTAAAGCTATTATAGACAACCCTGGTCACCCTCTGTACTGTTGCTGCCATCAGCTCACAGAGAGAGGGCCGTACGAGGCAACATGAAGAAGTTCATTTGTCCCTGTTAGTGTTGGTGTTATTAACGATTCCACGGGGTTCATAAACTAATGGATTTTTCTGCCACATATTAAACTACTCGGGAATGAATGAGTTTGTTGATCAGGAATTGGATTGATGGACAGAATGGACAATGGCAGTGATACTGATTAAAACTTAGTGTATGTGTGGTGGAAAAGCCAGAACCTGAACCAAAGCTGATGGAGTTTAGAGCAGCAATTGTTTAGACAGCCATCATGAGAGAAATAGGTCCGTACTCCAGCTCATGTCCTGGATATGGACACCTCTTGGATTCATTCTTTTGTCCTCTTGTGTTGCAGGATGGTGAGGAGCTGGAGCTCCTGACAAAGACCAACACAGACTCTGAGTCTGAGGAGGAGTCACTGTGAGCTGGAAGTGTGCTGCTAATAAACTCTTTCGTTAGTCTGAACAGCAGAACCCTGTAGAACATACTGGCTGGACCTTCATTCTTGCTGTCAGCAGGTTCCTGCTGGTTCATATCTGCTCCAGAATGTTTCTTACATCTATCTTGTGGGGTCTTGTTGTGTGTAGATGTTCCTCTGATGTGTCCAACGTGGAACATGAGGGTCCATTAGACCTGCTACTGTTTTTCTTTCAGAAAAATCTGAAAATCAGGAACTCAGTTTGTGTACACGTGGTCCATGACATCTCTGAACCCAGAGGCTTCGTTTAGCAGACAGGTGGTAGCTCTGCCCAAAACATACCCTTTGGTCTTGTACACATGTCTGTGTGCCTTCTTCAAGTTCTAAAACAACTGAGAGGAAAGGGGGAATGATGTTCTAGTCGTCCAGAAGCAGGTGAGAAGAATCAGACCAACCACCTTCTCTAGGTGTTATTTATTTTCTTTCTATCATGGTTGTTTTTGAATGTAACCTTTTGTCCCACTGTGCAAATCATATGAACTAAATTATATGAATGAAAGTGGCTGTGTGATAAATCTGTGTGTGTGTGTGTGTGTGTGTGTGTGCGTGCGTGCGTGCGTGCGTGCGTGTGTGTGTGTGTGTGAGAGATGGTGGATGGCTGATTATACTGAGCCAGGATCCTCTGGAGGTTTCTTCCTGTTAAAAGGGAGTTTTCCTCTCCACTGTCACTTTATGCTTGCTTAGTATGAGGATTGCTTTAAAGACTCTGACACTAGTCAGTGACTCGATGCAACCTGCTGGGTTCCTTATATAGGAAACTTTTTACTGATTGGCTTAATGAACTGACCTGTATTGGAATGTTTACTGTGTGAAGGTCCTTGAGACGACCCTGGTCGTGATTTGGCGCTTTATAAAGAAACTTGAATTGAATTAGAAATTGTAACTTTATACTTGACTCTGTCTGAATTAATATGAAGTGTGTTATGGTCCCTGAATAAGTAAAGTAACTAGAATCTTCTGATTAAACATTCAAAGATCAATCAGATTAATATTTCATATTTATATGAAATTATGACATCTTATTGGTCATGGCTCACCCATTTTTTCTTAGGCCCACCCACAAATTAGTTTCTGGCTATTCCACTGATGTGAACACTCCTCACATGTCGGCAGACATTCTGTAACAAAATAAACACAAAACGTGCACACACACTCACCCAAGAGTGAAAAATACTAACTTATCACTGTTAGCATTGATGCTAGTTAGCTTTGAGCTCCATGGGTAACACAATGCTGTCTGCTTTTCTTGTTTGGTCAAACAACAAAATAGTAGATCTTACCTCTCTGGGACAACTCTGCATCCCTCCTGAAATAGATTTGGCCCAAACATCTGAACCTTTGAAGATAGTTTCCATTGTTATGACTTTGTTTCATTTCTCCTGTTCTTCAGTCTTTGGGAAGATGGAGGCTTCTTATGTTCACAAGAAAATCCTTCTGTAGTGCTCTGTGTGCTGGCTTCAGTTCTCTCCACAACACTGTTTCAACTAACCAGAGAGGAGAGAGGATGCTCCTGGCTGGAGGCTGGAGCTGCTGCTGGTGGAGAGTGGAGGCCAATAACAAACGCAACATAACGGTGATGTTGAAGACTAGGCAACCCCGCTAGCTCAAATATGATTGGCTGTGGGGTGAGGGGGTGCTGTTTTTTAACAGAAAGGCCGTCACTACCCGACTAATGGATTTTTCTGCCACTTATTAAACTACTCGGGAATGAATGATTTGTTGATAAGAAATTGGACTGGTGGACAGAATGGACAATGGCAATGATACTGATTAAAACTTAGTGTGAGTGTGTGTGTGTGTGTGTGTGTGTGTGTGTGTGTGTCTTACAACTCAGTTCATGGGATTGCAACACAAATTTGCAGACACAAACTGTGTCACACATCCAGGGACCATCACATCTGACTGGCCTCCAAACAAGAAAAGCACGGATCTACGACCTCGCAACCAAATAAGGGAGGCATAAAAGTGCTTTCCTTACCTTTACGGAAGACGAGGCCCACGCAGAAGACCCGACTTTCTGCACTTTCACGCTGAATGAATGGTAAATTAAATGGTCAATGGTCTGTATTTGATATAACGCCTTCTAGAGTCCTGGAATCCCTCAAGGCGCTTTACAACACAAGCAGTCATTCATCTGTTCACACACTGGTGGGGATGAGCTATGATGTAGCCACAGCTGTCCTGGGGCACACTGACAGAGGCAAGGCTGCCAAGCACAGTGAACGTGGGTTAAGAGTCTTGCCTAAGGACACAACAGCCGCGACAGACTGAGCGGGGCTCGAACCTGCAACCTTCCGATTACGGGGCGAGCACTTAACTCCTGTGCCACGATCGCCCTGAAGTCCCATCTCCTTGAATCATAAATGACTTTACAGCTTTATAGGCAAATGTGTTGAACGAAAGAGTTTGAAGAATGTGTGCATCAACCAATGATGTGTTCAAATGAATATTTTTGCTGTAATGATTCATTTCAGATCTTAAACCACACCAGGTCAGTGTTGCCTGGGATTGAAGTTTTCTGTTACTTTTGGTATTTTGATTGCTTTCAGCTGAAGTGAACAGTTGTTTTATTCTATGTGAGTTTGATTATTAAAAGATCATTTTTGTCAGAAAGTTGTCTGGGATTATTTGGTTTACGTGATAATTCTAAAGGTTTGAGAGCAAAAGGAACAGATTACTTAACTTTAGGGGAACCTGTTGGTTTTCTACCAGAAATCAAAGAGCCCCGGCAGTACACCCCACCAGTTTTAGATTCTCCTGCAGTTATACTAGACTGAGTAATGGGGTGCTGCAATATTTATATGGAGTTATCACATCTTATTCATAATTTGTTCCATATGTAGCCACTCTTTAACGCTACACAATAATAATCTGTGGTGTTGCTCACCTCTTGTGCTCTTATAGAGTATTAACGTGTGCCTGCCTCATGGTGTAGAGTCCATATTTTGCTGAGTGTCCTACAATAATCCAGGTTATTAGTTAATTTACTTCTGATAGCAAAAAACAAAATATTTAATGTAAAAGTTGTTTACCAGGTGAATCAGCTCACACATCACCAAAGCCCTTTTCAGATTGGCAATCTGGAATATGTGGACAATTCAGCCCGGTTTTTAACCAGAACTGTGTTTTCAGACACACCACTTTTGTATCTGAACTTGTCCTTTCGGCTGCCTTCACACAGCAGGGAAAGGTTCCAGATGTCTGAGGGGGAGGGGGTGGGAAGGCTGTACCCAGATAGTGCGTAAACATAGTGCGGCAGGCGTACATGCGTCATTTATAGCCTGGCAAGCCAGACTAAATAAATGTATTATTTAGTCTGGCAATGCTCCATTGACGGCTCTCGGTTGTGGGGCGGGTTCTACCGTTGTGTTTCAAATGATCTCCGCGTGCTACTGAACAATGAATGTGACATACTCACCGCAACAGCTTTCGGTAAATGAGGCGGTCCACAGTTGAAGGAGAAAACACATAATGTTTTCTAAAAAAATGGCACTTAAATACATCTATCTGCTCCAGATTCTAATGAAGCCCAAGTTCTAATAGTCCAAAATTGATGTAAAAGCTGTTTCAAACGAGCTGTCGCCATCTTGTTTCACTCTGTTGCATCGTCCCACCCACCAGGCATATAGAGTGCCCTGATTGGCCCACAAAGCGGACAAAGCTCTGTGATTTGTTCACTAAGCAGATAGAGCACTATGATTGGCCCACCACTATAAACCAATCACAGCTCTTTATGTGTTTGAAACCCCTCTAGAGAGTTGTGATTGGCCAGCCAGAATGCTGTTAGGGGCTGCAAAGGTTCCAGTGGAGCATTCCTAGACCAAACTTTGCAAAGCAAGAATTTGGTCTAGTTCACTAGGCTACGTCATTTACCCAAACAAAGCCATTCAGTCAAACATGGCCGACGAAGAGATATAATTCCTCTCACTGATCGGACTTATGTTAAGCATAATTCTGCTCGTCCTCTCACATGGCAGCCATAACTGGAAGTCAGAGAACACATTTTTGACGATTTTTCACGCTCTGTGATTGGCCAGTCCACAGAGCTCCCGCCCTTCTCTTCACATAAAACCATCAGATGGCCCGCAGCTGCTGTCTCTCTCTCTCTCTCTCTCTCTCTCTCACACACACACACACACACACACACACACACACACACACACACACACACACACACACACACTTTGGGGGATAAAACATCAATTTGATCAGAAAATGAAAAAGTAAAATAAAAAGCTGTCTTGTTCTAGTTCATATTTCCTGCTGCATGAGTTCAGTTGTATTCATTCATGCACTTAAATATTCAATTCAATTTTATTTATAAAGCACCAAATCATGAAAATATTCATGTTCTGAGTTTATTTAAAAACTTGTTCTGTAATAGTTCCTTTACTACTGTGATCAAAAACATTAAATCTCAATTCTGAGGCTGCTCTATAAATAGTTTTCAAATAAACAACACATAAAGCAACTTCTGATCAATCCTTATCAATGTCAGACTTAAAATAACGTACAGATTGAAGATCCACCCACTTCCAGTTAAACCACGCCCACTCCGAGTACAGATACAGATAATCTAGATGGTTGAACAGATACAGATAGTGTACTCGCTCATCCCTACAAACCAGAGCAGGGCTGCAGCTGCTACTGAGAGAGGGCGTGAAGCCTTATTCACACCAAATGAATGGATACGATCCAGTTCCACATGGATCAGAAAACATTGAGTCCAATGAGAGCCTTTACACCAACTGTGGTGCGTACCCGGATGTAGAGCTCATAAATGTTTCCACATGGAATCTATTTTTTCTGGACCCTGCATGAGGATTGTTAAAGATAAAGAATTCACCTGAGAAGTTAGACGTGGTTCAGTGTTAAGGATGTTTAGTGAAATTATTTTCATTTAATAATCAGTTGTGCGTTCTACTTTTGGGGAATCGTATATGTTTGACTACGGGGGTACTCGTGGTACGAGAAAACGACTCAGGGTGTCCACGAGTCAAAAAAGGTGGGAAAACACTGCTCTAGAGGACTGTTTGTGTGTGTGTGTGTGTGTGTGTGTGTGTGTGTGTGTGTGTGTGTGTGTGTGTGTGTGTGTGTGAGTGCGTGCGTGCATGCGTTCGTGTGTGTGTATGTTGAACTACACTGAACAAAAATATAAATGCAACACTTTTGTTTTTACTCCCATTTTTCATGAGCTGAACTCAAACATCTGAAAACATGTCTACATACACAAAAGACCCATGACTTTCAAATATTGTCCTGAAATCTGCCAAATTCTCTGAAACTCCTTTGAGAAATGAACATTCATTTCACGAGCAATAGCTCTGGTAGTCATTCCTGCAGTCAGCATGCCAATCGCATGCTCCCTCAAAGCCTGGGACATCTGTGGCATTGTGCTGTTTGATCAACCTGCACATTTCAGGGTGTCCTTTTATTGTGGGCAGTCTAAGGCACACCTGTAAATTATTCATGCTGTTTAATCAGCCTCTTGATGTGCCACACCTGTGAGGTGGGATGGATTATCTTGGTAAAGGAAAAGCGCTCACTAACACACATCTAGACGGATTTCAGAACACTATTTGAGAGTCATGGATGTTTTGTGTTAGTAGACAAATTTTCAGATGTCTGAGTTCAGCTCATTACAAATGGGAGCGAAAACAAAAGTGTTGTGTTTATATTTTTGTTCAGTGTATAACGTTCTGCAGCAAACACATTCAGTGTATATTTACATGAACAGCATTTCCTCCTATTTGAACAGTGCTCCTTTCTTTAGCTTAGCCTACATGTGGTGGTAAATAGCCTCAACTCTAAACTAACCACAAGACAACGTTCATTTTTTGTCAAACTTAACTCAACTATTAAATTTAGTTTTGAAAGTTCGGTAGAAAAGATACTTTGACACCATTGAACAAATAACGTGCTTCCCATTCATCACATACTCTCCGATCGTCCTCCATCTTGGATGCTGTGAGACAGAGGGCGGCGCGGCCTCAAAAACAATAGAAGTGCGAATCTGCCATCGGCTTGACACTGCAGTCTCTAGGTTTGCCCCATACTCTTCTCGATGAAGTAGAAATAAGAACATTCTAGAGCCGTACAAATGAGACAACATGGCTGCTAAAATAACTGATAATTGTATTTTAAAGGCATTTCCAATGAATATGTCTAACTTAGCCATTTCAAAATTAAATGTTTGTCGTGAAAATGTCTCATTACAATTTTGACCTAGGCGGTTTTGTTCAAGGACCAACTCTTCTTTAAAGTAAGTCTTTAAAAGTGTGCTTGTTCCATCTGTACCAACCCATCATTGTTTCAAAGTCAGTAACCCTGATGATACCCATCCTGGTAACCATGTTCGTAGCCATGCTGGTGGTAGCCATAACCCCCGTACTCGTCCTCAGGGCAGCGCATGCCCAGGGACTGCTGGATGGCCATTTCCTGTCTGCGAAGCTGCATGGAATCCACCAGGTCATAGATATTGGCCATGGACCACATGGGCGAAGGGTACCAGGACTTCACATTCCCGTCCTTCCCAACCAACAGCATGGAGAAGTACTCTGGGCTGATTTGAAAGTAGTTCCTCATGTCCTTCACCAGGGTGGCTGAGAGGCCCTCGCGCTCCACAGTAGCAGTACCTGGATGAAGCACACGTTTAGGTGAGGACTGAAGACTCTTAAGGACAGAGATCTAAGACATGTGCTCTTGTGTAGACATTCATTGTACATCTTACTGCTGGAGTCCAGAAAACAAAATACCTCATTATGCTAACTCAGCATTCTCATTAAAATTAACATATGAACTCAACACAAGTCAGGACATCATTTGAATCCTCCTTCATCAGGATGCTCACTTTTCCAAAGAGCAACTTTGATTTGGGCTGAATATGTTAAAGAATACATTTTGTGTGTTTTTTTAATAACTGTTCTGTAGACGGTACAAAACATGAACCATGACGCTCTTTGCTTGAAATCTCTCACAGTGATCTCAGCAGTTTTATTCTTGACATTTCATACCTACCAGAATGAGCAACTTCAGGGCTCTTGTTACTTTATGGAAACAAGCTGGAGCTGGCCCCACCCACCAATTAGCTAATTGGTTGGCTGCTATGTTGTGTGTAGCTCAGATATCTGGGAGAGCCTCAGAGGAGAGCTGCTGCTCCTCCAGTAATGACAGGAGGTGGGTGTTGGGCGGCGGCTTCTATGCAAATGATTGCATCAGCCTGTTTGAGGTACATAATTCCTGAAACCAAACACTAACAGCAAACATATGGATGGTTTTTATTTATGTTTGGAATGGTTATAGAGGCAATAAGAACCCACATGGTAGTACAAAAAGATGCAAAATGTGAGGGTTTCATAATATGTCCCCTTTAACAAATGTCCCCACACTTGTAGGAAGGCGCTACATAAATATAGATCATTTACCATTTTTCATAATCTGAAAATGTTTGGTCTGAAAAAGCTCATTTTAAATGCTGCTTCTAACTTTTAACCCTCTCAGGTTCAAAATAAGTTTTGCTACAAGGGACGAACAACTAAGTCCTTCAGGGGTACTTCTGAGTTAAAAATGCTCATGAAGTGCGTTTGTGGAGTAACCAGGTAGGTAGGTTTTAACGTAGAAAATCTGCAACGCCTGCCTCCAGAGGGTTAACGCTCTGACAGATCAACAGATCAAGATCAAGAGATCTTTTTATTACAAATGTTTGCAACAGAGCACTTGACTCTCAATGACAGGGTTGCTTACTACAGGTTTCAAATGTAGAATAGGAGGAGGCTTAACTTTTGGTTTTCATGCTTCTCTGGTGGAACCAGGGCCCATTCCCAATACTCACACTGCACCCTATGATCTTCTGTTAATTGCACTTAGAGGAAGTGCGCAGTAGGGTTGGAGTCCGTAGTACACCAGTGTCCCGAATTGGAACATATATGTTGCTGTAGGTTTTTTTTCTGCTCATGCATTCAGTACCAACAACTTTATTTATGCTGATAGATCATATTACCCCGACAGTATCTTCACATGGCTATTAACACCGCCCCATCTTTGCCACACCGCCCCATCTTTGCCACAAGATGACACTCTAACCATGCTAAGTTGGAACGTTGAGGTTTGAGAACCAACTTGAAGAGAGGCAGAGTTTTTTCTCACATGAAGTCTTTATCTGGAGACATTATGTTCTTACAGGGAGTGCAGAATTATTAGGCAAATGAGTATTTTGTCCACATCATCCTCTTCATGCATGTTGTCTTACTCCAAGCTGTATAGGCTCGAAAGCCTACTACCAATTAAGCATATTAGGTGATGTGCATCTCTGTAATGAGAAGGGGTGTGGTCTAATCAGGTGCAGGTGCTTATTAGGCAACTTCCTTTCCTTTGGCAAAATGGGTCAAAAGAAGGACTTGACAGGTTCAGAAAAGTCAAAAATAGTGAGATATCTTGCAGAGGGATGCAGCAGTCTTAAAATTGCAAAGCTTCTGAAGCGTGATCATCGAACAATCAAGCGTTTCATTCAAAATAGTCAACAGGGTCGCAAGAAGCCAAACCAAGGCGCAAAATAACTGCCCATGAACTGAGAAAAGTCAAGCGTGCAGCTGCCAAGATGCCACTTGCCACAAGTTTGGCCATATTTCAGAGCTGCAACATCACTGGAGTGCCCAAAAGCACAAGGTGTGCAATACTCAGAGACATGGCCAAGGTAAGAAAGGCTGAAAGACGACCACCACTGAACAAGACACACAAGCTGAAACGTCAAGACTGGGCCAAGAAATATCTCAAGACTGATTTTTCTAAGGTTTTATGGACTGATGAAATGAGAGTGAGTCTTGATGGGCCAGATGGATGGGCCCGTGGCTGGATTGGTAAAGGGCAGAGAGCTCCAGTCCGACTCAGACGCCAGCAAGGTGGAGGTGGAGTACTGGTTTGGGCTGGTATCATCAAAGATGAGCTTGTGGGGCCTTTTCGGGATGAGGATGGAGTCGAGCTCAACTCCCAGTCCTACAGCCAGTTTCTGGAAGACACCATCAAGCAGTGGTACAGGAAGAAGTCTGCATCCTTCAAGAAAAACATGATTTTCATGCAGGACAATGCTCCTTCACACGCGTCCAAATACTCCACAGCGTGGCTGGCAAGAAAGGGTATAAAAGAAGAAAAACTAATGACATGGCCTCCTTGTTCACCTGATCTGAACCCCATTGAGAACCTGTGGACCATCATCAAATGTGAGATTTACAAGGAGGGAAAACAGTACACCTCTCTGAACAGTGACTGGGAGGCTGTGGTTGCTGCTGAATGCAATGTTGATGGTGAACAGATCAAAACACTGACAGAATCCATGGATGGCAGGCTTTTGAGTGTCCTTGCAAAGAAAGGTTGCTATATTGGTCGCTGATTTGTTTTTGTATTGTTTTTGAATGTCAGAAATGTATATTTGGGAATGTGGAGATGTTATATTGGTTTCACTGGTAAACATAAATAATTAAAATGGGTATATATTTGTTTTTTGTTAAGTTGCCTAATAATTATGCACAGTAATAGTCACATGCACACACAGATATCCCCCTAAAATAGCTAAAACTAAAAACAAACTAAAAACTACTTCCAAAAACATTCAGCTTTGATATTTATGAGTTTTTGGGTTCATTGAGAACATGGTTGCTGTTCAATAATAAAATTATTCCTCAAAAATACAACTTGCCTAATAATTCTGCACTCCCTGTACAGGAAACACTTATTAAACACACAGATCAACAGAAGCTAAAATGCAGCTGGGTGTCTCAAATCTATCTGTCAACTTTTTCTTCTTAGGCAAGAGGGGTAGCTATATTAATTCATCAAAATATTCCATTCCAGCACATCTCTGCAACCTCTGACCCAAACGGCTGCTATATTATTGTAACAGGTCATATTTTGTCGTGGCATGTGACCCTTCTTAATATATATGCGCCCAATTTTGATGACCCCGGATTTTTTAGAAAAGTTTTTAATCTTATTCCGGATCCCTTCACCACTCATTTAATTGTAGGAGGGGACTTTAATACTGTTTTGGACTGTTTCACTGATAGCCTTTCCTCAAATCCAACTGTTCCTTCCAAATCTACCACCACCATAAATAACCTTAGTAATTCTGTGAACCTTGTTGATATCTGGAGGCTCCAACACTCCACCGGCAGAGATTACTCCTTTTTTCCCATGTACATAAATCATACACAAGAATTGATTACTTTCTAACAGATGCTAAATTGACTTCCGAGATAGCCAACACCAAATACCATAATATTTTACTTTCCGACCACTGCCCCGTTGAACTAAAAATAAACTTAGACAGGACAAAACCCACATTCAACTGGCGGTTCAACCCGCTACTGCTTAATGATGAGCACTTCTTCCAGCAAATGGACAATCTTATCACGGACTGTGTATCTCATAATGACACATCTGATGTCACAGACTCCACCCTTTGGGAAGCTTTTAAAGCTGTGGTGCAGGGCCACATCATAGCCTATGAAGCTACGCTGAAAAAGGAAGGACAGAAGCAAATGTCAGAAATTAAAACCCAACTATCAGTTCTTGAGAGTGATTTTCAACAATCTCCTTCATCCTCTAAACTAAATGAGGTCTTAAAAATTAAGTTTAGATATAATACCATTCTGTCTAAACAAGTGAGTATTATGCTATTAAAAACCAGACAACAATACTTTGAATTCCCTGAAACCCTATATTCGGCTAGTATTTCTTTGATACTGAAGAAAGATAAAGAGGAACTAGACCCTGCCTCATATCACCCTATTGCTCTCCTCAACTCGGATCTTAAGGTGTTTACTAAAATTCTTGTGAATAGATTAAATAAATAAATGTATTTCAACCATAATCCATCATGACCAAACTGGATTTATCCCAGGAAGATTTTTTTTATTTAATGTTAGGCAGCTGATGAATATAATGTACGCAAGATATGATAAAAACTCCAAAACCTTTATCCTAGCCCTTGATGCAAAAAAAGTCTTCGACCAAGTCGAGTGGAAATACCTTTTAGCAGTGATTAAAGAGTTTGGCCTGGGCGATAACTTTGCCTCCTGGGTCAAAATGTTATATACCCTCCCGAGTGCCTCTGTAGTAACCAACTTTGACAAATCATCTACTTTTCCGTTGCAACGCTCCTGCCATCAGGGATGTCCATTAAGCCCACTCCTATTTGCTTTAGCAATTGAACCCCTCGCCACAAGTATAAGGAACCACCCCTCTATTGCTCCGCTAATCTTAGGCAGAGTAGACCACCGTATCTCACTATACGTGGATGACATAGTACTGTTTCTCTCACACCCTGAAGAATCTATTCCTCTGCTGCTCAAGCTTATTAATACGTTTGGTGAACTATCTGGCTACACTATAAATTGGGATAAAAGTGAATTGCTACCCTCAAAAAATAACTTGAGCCCACGCTTTCTCAATAGTTTACCTTTTCATATTTTAACAGATTAAATCAAATACCTAGGTCTGGATATCCCCAAAGACCCAAAATCAATTTATAAACTGAACTACCTAATTTTACTAGAAAAACTTAAAACTAATATTGAATCCTGGAGACTGCTACCCTTATCTATGATTGGACGTGTTAACGCAATTAAGATGATGGCCCTCCCAAGGTTCCTCTACCTTTAACAAAGTTTGCCGATATTTCTACCAACATCGTTTTTTAAGCTTCTAAACTCTATAATCTTCACCTTTATTTGGGGTTACAAGACATATCGCATCTCCAAGAAGCATATCTTCAAACTTAAGTCTGCAGGAGGCCTAAATCTGCCTAATTTCCAACATTACTATTGGGCTGCGAACTGTAGAGCCCTAATGTACTGGCAAAATGCATACCGTGGTAATGGCTTGCGATCGAACAGGATCTTCCAGTCGGCTCACTACCTGCTCTTTTCAACAAACAAACCTTCAACAGCTGTCACTGGTTCCGGTTTTGTAGCGAACAGCTCTTTGACAATTTGGCGACGAATAAATAAAAACATATGGTCTTCCCGATTTTTCAGTCCCCCCCCCCCAGTGATAACATGTTTGTAGTTTGGAAGAATAAAGGCCTCGTCACTCTAGCGGGCTTTACATTGAAAAAGCATTTGCGACCTTTGACCAGCTAACAGGAAAATTTACACTCCCATCCTCACATTTCTTCCGCTTCCTCCAGATTAGAGACTACACACACAAACACATAACAAACTGGGAAACATTCCCTGTTCCTGCAGATCTGCATGTGCTTATGAATCAGTCTCCTGACTCAAGGAAACTTATTACTCGTTTTGTTAACATTTTTACTGCTTATGAACCTGTCCCTACGCACCACCTTAAGGGGGCCTGGGAATAGGACCTGGGTATCGCAGTTAGTGCTGAGGATTGGGATGTCTGTCTCCCTGCTACTCACAGCTGCTCAATAAACCCCAGACATCAACTTATCCAATTCAAAGTAACTCATAGACTCCACTATTCCTGCACTAAACTACACTCATTTTATCCCTCTGTTTCACCAACCTGCCCGAAATGTAAAACAACGGAAGGCACTCTTGGTCACCTTTTCTGGTCCTGCCCCAAGCTGAGCAGATTCTGGTCAGGTATCTTTAATTACCTCTCCACAATCCATGGCTGTACTATTACTCCAGATCCTAACAACCCCAATCACCCTCTGTAATGTGGGTATACATTGCTGCCATCAGCAATACAGAAACAGGGCGATACGATGCAACATGAAGAGGTTTAAACTGAAAGTAGCGTTTTTAACCCCGTTGACTTGCATTCATTTTCTCGTTCTTCTGGGAACCCATGGTGCAGATGTGGTGGGCATGGTTAAAGTCCCACTGGGGATAAAGTTTTCTACTTAATCCAAGTGCTCTGTGCTGCCGCAGCAGCCTCTGGTCAAAGCTGAAGCAGCTTGACAAAATTCATGTATAGTCGTGGTTGGCCTAAAACTGATAATATGACATCAAGCATATATTACCGTGCTTTACTTTGAGTATTCATCAAGCATAACACATCCCAGCCCAATGATTTTTAACCAGGACACAGCAAATGCTTTCATCATATAGGTAATGAAATATACATTTTTCCGCATACCCCTGTAATGTGCTCAAGGACCACTAAGGGTACATGCACCCCTGGTTCGGAGTCACTGCCCTAGATGAATGAATGATCTTTGGTCCACACTGATTCTGTGGGATGTTCTTACCATTGATTGGATACAGCTCCAGGACTCCGCCTATATCTGGTAGCTCCGTACCGACCAGCTTCAGAATGGCGATGTGCCTCAGACCTACAACACAAATAGTGGATCATATTCTTCAACACTTAGATGTTTTCATCAGCCCTGCTTCTGACCTCAGCCAGTTCCTCTGAGGTTCTGAACTACCCTCTGACGGTTTCTGGATACTGAGGACAGCACATTGGTGGTGGTCCAGGTAGAACTTACCTCAGAAATCCAACATCAGACTGTAGACTAGGATCACTGCTCTAGGCCCGTTAGGTCAGCCCTTACTTTGTGCTGGTTCCAACCCAGCAGGATCTGGACTACTGATGGTGTAACAGGGTATTTGCAGGGATCTTAAAATTCAATTTAAACCTTATCAAGACATTTAAGACCTTCTAAAATAAAATGAAGGTTTTATGGAAATAACCTAATCAATTATTAAACAAATATATTATTTTCAAATACTGCATTGTTTCATTTTCTACTTTATCATTTAGTAAGATCTGGGACAGCAAGGCTGAAGTAATGGCACGTTAAGTCATGTGGTATGGAAACGTATCTTTTGTTTTGTTTGTTTACATGCGTCTATTTTTCACACCTGCAAACTCAAGAGAAAAAGGTGACAACTGAAATCTCCCCCCACTTTCCCCCCGAACAAGGTCCTACAGACTTGCATCTATTCAAAGGGTTATGTATGACCTCTGACATTTACATACTTTTATTGCTTCAATAATCTGTTGGAATTATGTAGGTGATCAGATCCCAACTCACTAAATGTGGGACAGAGAGAAACTCCACTGCAACGATAAAGTTCTGCCTTTTAGCTCCAACACCACTGTTACATACATAATAATAGTATTATATAATTCATGTACTATATATTCTATTTGAAATCAACATGAACAGGAAAACACCACAGTTCCCAGTTACCACAGCTTAGCTCAGGCTCTTTGGACCTTCTACAGCAGTGGTCCTCAATAGGGTTGTCACGGTGTGAAAATTTAACCTCACGGTTATTGTGACCAAAATTATCACGGTTTTCGGTATTATCGCGGTACTTTTTTTAAACGTGCTACATTTTCACACAATTAAATAAACCCTGTATGTCAGGAAATATTGTCCTCAGTTTGTGTCTAAATTTTGCCTAAAATGAGTTATTTTGTAATTATGTTGTTTATTTGTTTACATTTTTTCCCTTTAGTCTTTATAATACCAATATTTGCCCATAACTTCTTATTTTTTGTCTATTTGATGTCATCATTTAAAAATATTAGATCAGATGATACTCAGTACTCAAGTAGCCTTCTAATCAGATACTTTTTACCCTTACTTGAGTAATAAACCCTGTATCAGGAAAATATTGTCCTCGGTTTGTGTCCTTCCAGTGAGATTTGCAGATTTGGGAAAATGTCATAAATTTATAATTATTCTCGGAGAGAGACCAACTCTTATCTGCCCCCGGGAGCCCCATAATGCATAGCGTCATTTCAATATGGGGATGTCCGCGACACTGTTTATATGCAGGTAGCGGGTGCTGCGGCTGCTTTATATAGCAACTCGTTGCATTCTCCCTCAACCCAAATCCTCGGATCACGCATTTTAGCTAAAATGCTAATGTTAGCTTGCCTTGCGTTGACTGTAGAGTTGTGGGTGATGGTCATGCAGATGTGTCATGAGATTTGAAGCGTTGCTGCCTTTCACAGACACTTTTTCTGCCTTCTTCAAATATCCAAAAAATGCCCATACTTCCCATAACCCTAACCCTAACCCAAACAATCAAGTATCAACGTCAATAAAAAGTACTAATACTTACTACTTATCTATTTTCCTGCAAATATGACAACGGAGTAGCATTCCCTTTTTGTGTTGTGCGCATGCGCGCACATGCTCAGGAACAACGGGTAGGACGGTTTACGGGGTAGGAGAAATTCCCAGAACACCTTCTCCTCCATTGGCCATTATTTCTGTCACGAACAGAACTCAAAAGACCCGTAATGACGCCAAACACAGTAAAAGTATAAAACAAAAATCTTTTATTTTTTGTGGAGTTACCAGAGGAGGGCGAGGCAGGAGACAGAGTCGTAGGGCAGGCGTGAGTCAAAACCAGATCGGCACAAGCAGGTACAGGGAGCAGGCAGGAGACGTGGTAGAAGACAGGCGAGGGTCGTGATGGCAGGCAGAGTTCAAGGCAGGGGTCAGGAGAAAAAACGAGGTCCGGAGGCAGAGATCAGGCAGGGTGGATGGCTGGAGAATTTACTGGCAAATGTTTCCAATAATCTGGCAGAGACTGGATAGCAGGATGGTTCTTTTATAGCAGGGGAAGCAGGTGTGTGAGATGAGCTGACGAGTCAGGAGCAGGTGAAGTGGATGAAGCTGATGACAGGAACAGGTGAGAAGAATGGAGTTGATTGTGGTTGCCAGGGAAACAGGGCTTGTCAGGAGCTTGGTGAAGTGACCAGGTGAGCTGAATCAAGGTTGAATGAGGAGGCAGAGGAGGGTGAAGGATGGGAGTCATGGCAATTTCGGCTTTAGCTTCAAGAAAGTTGTGGTTGTAAACAACAAAGCGCACATGTGCTGCCGGCAACTTAAGCAGATGATACGGTGGCTGGTAAGGGTCATCGCGCCCACACCGCAGCCACGGTAACCCACCGTCTTGATTTTTAAAAAACTATGTTATCATTGTCAACTTTTTTACCGGGGGTTTACCGCTACACCGGTTACCGTGACAACCCTAGTCCTCAATAGGAGGCCGTGGGCCCCCGAACCCCGCACACACACAGTTTTTCTTTACACTGTAGAGGAAGTGCAGAGGTTCCAGAGTACGGTTCTGGTGCAGGAAGGAAATCACAGGGTATTAGGAGATCTCTATGAAGGTTGTGAACAGGTCCACCATTGCCTTCCAGTTCCACTCTGTAGACTGGAAGGCCCTTGACACACTGAACCACAACAAAGACGCCTGGTTCCCATCCATCACTCAGCTTGTGTTTACCTCTGAGTCTCACATTCCGCACTAGGACTCTGCTTCCAACTTCCAGTTTGGACGGTATAACACGACTGTCAAATTGAGCTTTGTTCCTTTCAGCATTCTTTGCAGCTCTGCGTGAAGCTAGCCGATAGCTTTCTTTCAACCTGGCCTTTAAATCTTGTACATACTGTGAGTGAGGTTGACAGCCTTTTCTTTGTACAGGAAGATCAAAAGCAAGGTCAATGGGAAGACATGGACCACGTCCAAACATGAGTTCATATGGGGTGTATGTAGTCACCTCATTTTTAGTAAAATTGAAAGCATGGTCGTGTGGTTTCACATGCTCCTTCCACTTGGACTTCTGTTTGGGTTGAAGAGTTTCCAACATTCCCAGTAAGGTGCGGTTGAACCTTTCTACCGGATTGCCTCTAGGATGGTATGGCGTTGTAAGACACTTTTGAACTCCTAACAGAACACACAGTTCTGGTATTAACTTGGACTCAAAGTCTCACCCTTGGACTGTATGTAGTTTCTCTGGAATTCCATAATAAATAGACAACAAAATTCTTCCAAAGACATTTAGCTACGGTTTTTGCCTTCTGGCTAGGTACTGGAAAGGCGAGAGCGAACTTGGTGAAATAATCTGTCAACACCAGAATGTCTTTAATTTTGCTGGATTAAGGCCTAAGGCTGAGAAAATCCACACAAATAAGCTCCAACGGACAGGAAGTTGTGACGGTAACAAGAGGAGCTGCTTTTTCTGGCAGACTTTTCCTACAAACACAATGATCACATGTCTTTACTTTCTCTCCCACATCTGCTGCCATCTACTGCTATCCCAGCCTGGGTGGGACTGCGGGAAGGCCGCTGAATCATTCCAGGGTCACTGCAACCCCTCCAACCCTCAATGCTCCTCCCCCTATCCACACTGAGGTGACATGCGCTGCTTATCGTGACTGCAGGAACTGAAGTGGGGATAGTCCCAACCCACCACCCCACCTAGTGGACACTTATGTCGTGTTGTCTGAAGTCTGTTGCATATCTGTTTTAGGTGGGTTTTTTTTGCAGAGCAAAGCTGCCCTCCCGGTGGAGGGTAACTCTGAAGTGCCTTTTTTCCCTCGACCTGAACCAACCCTCATGTAACCCTCTTATCTCTATTAAGGTAGCGCGACTCAGGGTTGCGAATGACCACAGTCACCAATTCTTGTCACGTGTCTTGCCCATGTATGTCTGATCTCTGAATTGTGTGTCCTGAAACTCTAATTTCCCTCTGGGATTAATAAAGTATCTTTGATTTGATTGATTCTTGGCCAGTAGAAACGAGTTCTGACAAGGTCAAGAGTCCGTTCTATTCCCATATGGCCCATATCATTGTGTAGGCTATGGACAGCAGTCTCACGCAGTTCTGTTGGAAGAACCAACTGGTATGTCTGTTGTTTTATTTTTTTCATATCGCTTTCTGTAGAGAATGCCATTGATCAGCTCCAATTTATCCATTTCTTTAAGGAGAAGAGGAATCTCAGGAAGCTGTGTCTAACAGTTGAAGGAACTTTTTCTCCCGATTCCATCTGGGAAATTACCATTTAGAGAATTGGATCATCTCTCGGTTTCCCTTGTAGCTCATCATGAGAAAATGCTGGAACAATAGGAAGTCCATGACAGGTTTCAGAATAGCTGCCAGGAAGTGCTGCTGCTTTGCAGGTTTCGGATTCAACCATTACAACATCAGCTTTAATCCTGGCAAGACAACTTGTGCAAATAGCGCTGACAACTTCAGATGGTATTTGTTCATAAGGACTGGTTAAGAGATGTCGCTGAGCATCAGCACAACAATTCCACGCTTAAGGCTGTTTTATTTAAGCAAATAGTAATTCAATCAGTCAACGTCGGATCAACACAGAGCGTCAACCAGGTCTCGGTCTAACAGCCTCAGAAGTAATGGATTTGACTTCTACAATTAGTCAAAAACCTGCTGTGGAGAGGAATGGACGTCATTGGACTGTTATTGCTGATCAAGGTAGACCTGCATAAAAAGTGGAGTGGCTCAATGTGCGTTGGATCCCTGCGGGTTTTAGGAGCGTTTCCTATTTGTTTGGAGGACGAAATCAAGTTGTCGGATCAAGCTGAGGATCACCGCGGCCTTTCCTGTCGTCACAGCACCCATCAAAGAGGTATGCGTAGCGCTACACTGAGTATGGCCATTTAAATTGTGTGCACACATAAAATAAAAACAAAAATCCAATCCAGCATCAGCACAACAATTCCACGCTTAAGGCTGTTTTATTTAAGCAAATAGTAATTCAATCAGTCAACGTCGGATCAACACAGAGCGTCAACCAGGTCCCGGTCTAACAGCCTCAGAAGTAATGGATTCGACTTCTACAAGGTGTATGCAGAGTATTATCTCTGTTTCGTTAGACATGTTCCACTACATGTCGTGGTTCTCCAGGGGGAATAAAATCAGAGGTGGGAATGGAAGTTGCTTGGTTTTCTTTGCCTTGTCCACTTTAACCCTTGGAAGTAGGAGAGTTTTGGCAGAATCAGAATTGGAGGAGGATTCTCTGGATCAGATGAGCATGAATCCACAGATTGCTCTGCTTTTACAGTCATTGAAGTCTCTGGTTCGAGTACCATTATAGACTGATGTATGTGGGACACCACATCTTTAACCCTCCCACTGTCTTCATGGGTGACCCCGCGAGGAAAGTTGGCCATTGAGCAGGATTGATGGTTTATCCCTTGAGGTCCACGTGGCAGGGGGGAGGTGGTGCTCACTCATCACCCCTGCCACGTGGACCCAAGGGATAAACCATCAACCCTGCTCAATTTCTCCTCGCAGGGTCACACCCATTAGGACAGTGGGAGGGTTAAGGTCTTCCCAGACAGTTTGGCTACCTTTTGTAAATCAGCCAAGTAAACATTCATTTTGGAACCACCAACTTTTGAGGCATATACATCAGATAGGTTTTCTATACAAAATCTGTCACCTGCACTGGATGTAGACGTGTATGGTAACTAGTGAGATAAATGAGTTAAGGATGAGCCTGAACTATAATCAACTACAACCAAGTTGTGGTATTCTGATTCAGATGAATCTATTGTAATGTTGCGTTTGAGATCACCATACTGCTCAAGAAAATCCAAGACTTCTTCAATTGAATGCTGGGTTGCTCAAAAATTAAGAATCACACAACACAAGTTGAGATTTGCTTTCACAGGTACCATGTATTAACACGCAAAATAATATTAATAATCAGAAAAAATATAGAAATGAAAATAATAAACTGAGAGCCAATCAGAATTGATGAGACACTCCTAAACTGCATTTTAACTAATCACATAAGCTTTTCATTGGAATAAATGAAACCCAGTAAAGAGGAATGAAGTGCCAGGAGCACACCCAAATGATTTTCTCTGATTTAATTCACTACAACCAGAAGCTGAACTGTGGATTAGGTCATCAGCCATGTGACCTGTTTGGAGTTACTCACCCAGATTACATGCCTGGCTGGTCAGAGCGTAGAGCTGCTGTTGGTAGGACCACTCCTCATCACTGGGGGCAGAGATAATAAACAGGCGACGTCTCCATCGAAACCTGCCATCAGGGAGAGGTTGATGTTGGATTAAAGCTTGGTGCCCTTCCAGTTCAATGTGCTATTCCTAGATGCAGACAACCCCTGACTGTGGTCAAAAACCTGCCAGGTCACTTCACTCTGAATATCTCCCCACCTCCATAGAAACACCTGCTTGGAAATTTCATGAAAGAATGTGCCATTGTGATTCGGCTCGACCAACAAAAGAGCTTCAGAGGAACGCGAACCAACAAGCAGCTCGTAAGCAGCCGATACTATCTGACGCAAACAGATTTTCTAACTTCTGAATCAATGCTGGATAAGTCTTTTCCAGTTCTCTGTTCTCCACTGAGAAGAACAGACAACTAGCCTCAACATCTCCACATCTCCAGACCACTGGGCCTCTACTGGAAAAAAGCAGCATCAAATACAGAATGGTGTCTGAAAATGTTTAAACAGGTGTTAAAAGGCTTTATTAGCTTTTTAAACCCAGCAGAAATTAGCCAGAAGTCTTTTACCAATCTGTCTAGTGTTGTTCTGGTCAGAGGACTTCTTCCTGTTCTACAGACTCCACCCACTTTGAGTGAGGTTACCTGCAGGTATTGAGCAGTGGGTAGATAGGTAGACATTACTTACAAATGAGTGGACTAATGTCTTTAGGTAAGCTGCAGTTAGGTCTGCGCCTTGGGCTTCCCAACAGGGTAGCGGAAGGAGCTTTATAAATAAAGCTTTGATTGATTGGTTGATTGATTGATTGATTGACTGATTGATTGATTGATTGATTGAGGTTGTTCCACCACTGACCGGCATTGTCCAGGCTGTGGGTTCTGAGTCTTACCCAAGGGATCATTTTAATGTGAATTTTGTGAAGCGACACAAAACTAGGTCCAGGGAAGCCCTCAGCCTCACATTAATAGATGTTCAGCCATTTTGACTTTTCGAACTCTGTGCGTTTGTGTTTGGATGTTAATCATGGAAATACCTGGACACAGAGGACCAACTGTGAAGTCTCTGCTTCATTTCCATCACTAAGTAAAATTAGATTTCTGTACTTTATTTCATTTGGTCAAACGTGTTAGCAGGGCTGCTGGCTGGATAACTACATTTGAGTGGGGGCCAGGCTTCTCCTGTCTCCCGCCCGGAAACAGTTAAGACGCAGGCAGCTAGCTGTTCCTGTTTTTCAGGGCAGCCGAGATGCTGGGACAGCTGTGCACGTCCCATGTGAGGCTGTAGTCATGTTGGTCGCCTATGGAGCTCTGAGGGAGACCACAGAAACACCACAGCCCTTTGAGTTGATTGTGCGAGGTCCATGCTTCTAGCCGGCAGTGCCTTCGCTTTGGAGTCGCTCAACCTTGTTTTTCTTACTAAAAGCAACCAGCAAACCTCTGTTAGCTTCGAGTTAGCATATAGCTAATATCCAGCTCAACTCCGATTGTGGTGGAGCATGAGCTGATGTATGGCCAGTGGGCCCGGCTCTCATCGCAGTGGACTGAGGCGCTGCTTTTATTTCTACTGTCCATATTAAAGCTGCACAGGCGACCAGCATGACTACAGCTTCACATGGAAACCAGGCGGCTGCGTGAGTTGACTGCCCTGAGCTCCTTCTTAGCTTCTTGGGTTAGCACGGTTAGCTAGTAGCTAAACTGGTTCATTTGCTCCCATCATCATAGCCCCCACCCTCAACTCCACCTCTTTTCCCTTTTTTGAATTGTCTGGGTTTGACGAGATGTGTGACATGGCTAATGTGGCGGTGACGAGAAAAATGGGCGATGCCATGTCCAGAATTATATTGCATATCTATGGTCTTACCTAGACAAGAAGTTTTCCAGTGACCGGGGCTTGTCCTCTTTCTTACACACAATCCCATCCCTCTTCTGCTGCTCCATCTCTTGGATGCGAGAGGAGAAAGTGTCGATGTAGTCAAACACTGCCTTCATGGCGATGGGAACCTCATAAGATTGCTGCCCAGAGAAGAACATCAACAAGAACGAGTCAGTCTGCTGTGGATTACTTACAAATGTGAAGACACAGAAAATGATTCACTCCACAGCATGAAAATAAAGTCTCGTCACATTTGGAGCTGGTTTGTGAATATTTGGGATGTGTTTCACATCTGAATCAGATTAAATAAAACTGGTGGCAGAGGCAAAAAGTATGTCGCTCACGCCCATGCTCTGAACTTAAACACGTGTATGAAAATGTGGCATTCTCCAGGATTAGGGTTAGGCTCCCACACACAGCCTGCGCCGACGCTGCTTCTGCCAGCGTGCCATGAGAAAACTGGCCTTGTTGGTGAACTGGTCCAGCGGCTACTTTTATGATCTGTCTTTGAATCTTTCTAATTAGCTTTACTGTTATTACTTAAAGGGTTTCATTATGTTTTAGTGTTTTTAGTCAGTTTATCTGATACATTGTTTTTGTTCTTTTATTTGAACCAATGTTTTTTATGCTTTTATGTTTTATTGATCTGTGAAGTGCCTTGGTGGCATGCTTTTTGCCTGTAAGCTGCTATATAAATGAAAATTGAGTTGAGTGACAGCTGTCAGTGTCAACGGCTGACAGGGAAATTAGTTGCCAAGCCTGCTGCAAAGACTGTAAACCAAACTATGTATGTTTGATGGAAATTGTTCGTTTGAGACACAAAATTCAGATTTTGCCTCCATCGCCACTAGCCAAACCAACAATATCTTGCTTGCACAGCTGTCAGCACTGGCTGCCTCTCCTGCCCTATCTGGACCAGTCCCAGAGGACCTCGCCTCCATGTTGCCATGCCTTGGTGAACCAGTGGCGGTGGGCCAGAGTCTGATGTTAACATTAATTTGGTAAGGTTGAGAGCAAATCCAGTTGTTGCAGAGAGGCCTGCGTGTGGTGTGGGACTGTGCCGTGCGAGTGGATCTATGCCCATGATAACAACCTCTGCCCACATTGATCACTGGTACCAGGTCGTGGCCAGGTTAAAGGCTCCTATCCACAGCTCCACTGCAATCCATCTCCCACTCTGGTCGGAGGTGGCCGGAGACGCAAAAAAGAGCTGTGATGGAATGGAGCTACAGGCTAATCCTGATCCCATCATCCCACCAGACAGAGATCATTCATCTGGCCCTGGGCTTACATCAGCTGACGTGGCACTACATGCAATTGTAAACCATTTCAGCCCAGTTTACCGCAGTGAACGCCCGGCCTCACAGAAGGAGAGAAAAACATCCTCACCTCGTCAGAGCTTGTTGGATGCAGCAACAGATAAAATTTCAGCAGAATTGCACATCTCTGACCATCCAAAGGAACAGAAGGTTTTCTCCAGGTTAGACAATTCCAACTTGAAATCACCAGATGGGATTGATGTTCCTTCAAGCCCAACATTGTCAAATCAACCACAGCATCTAACTCATTCTCTCTACTGCTATTTCCCCCACTACTGTCATCATTGATGACTCTATTATTAAAAATGTGCACTTTTTAAATGCTACCACACTGTGTTTTCCTGGAGCAATCTCTAATTTCCCTCTGGGATTAATAAAGTATCTTTGATGTGATTTGACTGATTTGACTCCGGTCATTTTAGATAAACTTCCTAGTTGGATTCCATCCTTGGTTTGGTTATAATGTTCTTAAACTGTGTGGAAAGTCCATTTTTATCTCAGACCCTATTCCCACTCGCAGCATTAGTATTGAATGCTTCAGCAGGATTCTTGGACTTCACTCATGGCTTCAGTCTTCCTGCAGGGCTAAAAGCTTTAACTTCATTGATAATTTTTAACTTGCTTTGGAAAAGAGCCTCATACTACATGAGAGATGGTATCCATTCAGACCCATCTCTAAACTTCCGTTCGCTCTTCCTTCTTCCATCTCAGGAACATTGCTAAGCTGAGTCCCATTCTGTCCCGCTCTGAACTTGAGACTGTTCTCCACACCTTCATCTCCTCACGCTTAGACTACTGTAACTCTCTTTTCAAGTGTCTGAGCAGAACCTCCCTGAACCGTCTACAGGTGGTTCAGAATGCCTGTGCTCGGCTTCTGACCAAGTCCTCCAAACGCACCCACATCACCCCGCTTCTCCTCCAGCTTCACTGGCTGCCAGTCAACTTCAGGGTTCATTTCAAGATCCTGGTTCTGGTCTATAGGGCCTTACATGGACAAGCACCATCTTACATTGGTGATCTTCTTAGTCCCTACACCCCCAGCAGGTCCCTGAGGTCCAGTGATCAAAGCCTACTGGTTGTGCAGCACCAGGCTAAAGACCAAAGGTGACAGATCATTTGCTGCTGTGGCCCCCAGACTCTGGAAATCTCTCTCCCTGAGCCTGAGATCAGTGGACTCAGTGGACTCCTTTAAAAAGCAGCTGAAGACTCACTTGTTCAAGCTGGCTTTTGTATGACCTTCTTCACCACTCTTTTCTGCTCTCCCCACCTATTCCACCTTCCTCAGGATCCACTAATTTCACTCTTTCCTGTTCACTCTCTCTCTTTCTTAACATTTTTTTTAATCAGAATTGTCTATTTTTGCTCATTTTAAATATACTTTTAAACATTTTGTAAATTATTTTTTACATTTTTACATTCTTTGTGTTTTTGTGAAGCGCCTCGTGATTTTTATCTTGAGAGGCGCTATAGAAATGATCTTTTCTTCTTCTTCTTCTTCTTAGCTATTTTTATCTTAATGTGTATAATATGAGGTTTCCATGTAAGATTTTCATCAAACATAACACCCAAAAATTTGATTTTCTTTACCCTCTTAAGTTCCATACCATCCATTTTCAATGATACATTTGTACCTCTTGTCATTAAACAACAAAAATTTAGTTTTCTTAAGATTAAGTGACAACCTGTTTGTGTCAAACATTATTTATTTCATTATTTAACTTGAATAAAAAAGGTGGTGTTCAGGTAGCATGTCTTTGTGTTTTGTTTTGGTACAGAAAACTGAGAATTTTTATTGGTAAATTTAGTCTAAATAAAATTTTTGCTTGGTAACGAAATCGTTTTATTTAGTTTTGATTAATGTGAAGCACTTTGTGATTCTATGTCTGTGGTAAGTGCCATCGAAATAACATTTATTTACTACTTACTAAGAAAAGTGAGGCTACAATTCACACTGGATCACCATAACTGGACCAGAAAACGTTTCCTGATCTGATGAGTACCACTATAGAACCCCTTAGAGCCAATTCTTTAACACAAGCAACATATTCTGTTTGATTAGGCTTCGCATGGAGCCAGGCCCACCTTGACTCTCATGTCGATGTCTGTCAGGACCATGTAGAACTCCTCGTAGGTCATCCCAAACCGTTTTCTCAGATCCATGATCAGGTCTTGGTTCATCAGGTCTTCCTGACGAAGACCCTTCATAGGTTTGTCGTTCTCTGAGAGAAGAAAAGAACGTCAGATTCCACAATGAGCATTCACCCCAGGTGGTACCAGTACCAATAACACCTGTAAAACAGTAGTCCTGCTCTTCAACTACAGCCTGAGCCCAGGATCAGAATGGAAGAAGCCTTTTCGATGTGAGGTGAATCATCTTCAAGCAAGTCTTTTTGACTTTGAGACTGGTGGTAAATAATCTACAGCAATGTGCTGAAAGGTGTTTAATGGGAGTTTTTACCAAATTTCTCTTGATGAAAATTGTTTGGTGCATCTATGAGGTCCTAAAATCAGCTAAATCCCATTAAATGTGATGAGATACTTCTGCTGCTGCAGCATTTTGCCCAACACACACCGCCCAGGCCAAAAAGCTTCACCACACAAAGAAATGGTCACACACTTCAGTATTTGGTTGGGCCCTTTAGCTTTGATTACGGCACACGTTCCCTATGCTAATTGTTTCAATAAACATCTGGAATGTCACAATATTTATTTTCATCCCGTGTTGCTTTGATGTTTCACCAAGATCTCACATTGATGACAGTGGGGTCTGACCGACGCACAGTCTTCTCCAGCACCTCCCAAAGATTCTCAATGGGGTTAAGGTCTGGCCATGACGTCTCATTCTCCCTGGACCAGTCTGGACAGTTCTCAGTGTTAGTGGTTTCTGCCATATCCTTAGATGTTTTCTAAGATGGTTGTTTAAGAAACGAGAAGCAACTCATTGCACCAATTAGGGTTAAATAACTTTTTGCAGTCATTTTTTCTGGACAGTGTATAAAAACCTAACCCTAACCAGTGTATAAAAATGAACTTTCTTAGAATGTCTAAACTAGGGCTGCAACAAACGATTATTTGGAAAATCGATTAATCAGATGGGGTCTCGACACGATTAATCGATTAATCGGATTACATGGGGAAATTTTTAAAAACTGCTAGGGAAATGTTATTTCTCTCCTTCCTTCACTTTATTTAACACAACATTATTAGAAAACAGTTCAATAGCAGAAAAACATCATGCCATCACCTAAATTGTCTTATAAGGTGTATAGACAGAGACCCTAAGCTACATCTATCTGTGACCTAAAATGCTTGGTCCAAGTTAAACAGCTTAAGGGCAATTCTCATCTGTTTTGTTTGATCTCATCTGTTGACATTTATTTTAAATGTAATTAAACATAGGCTGTGAATTAATCAAAATTGATCACTATTTCCAAAAATGACTGAAAAAATACCAAATAAAACAAAAGTAAATGAATGCCATCCTCCTTGCGATGATGCCCTGGGCAACTGCCATAAATTCACATCAAGAAATGCTGCTGATCATTCCAATGATCCCAAATAGACTCACATTAGGCCACATGAAAGCAACTGAACCCAAAAATATATTAACCAGTATATAACTGCACTCTCACACAACACGCCTGCAGCAACAGTTAGGACTCCTCCCTCCCTTTGAAAAGCGTTTTTGCTTCTGAGGACATTGTGGCTGTAAAGCCACATGCTAGTAGTCTGGCCCCGGTGTGATCAACCAGTTTCTGCGGGAATGTGACGGCGGAACCAGGGCCAGATTAACACTTTGTTGTACCCTGGGCAATAATATTCAAGGGCTCCATCATCACGACCCAAGGATCACCATAATGTGGTCACATACAGAATATTTTACTGTAATATGCAGTAAATATACTCAATACTTGAATGCCTGACAACACGTAACCCGCCCAGAGTAACCTTTGACCCACCTCGTGTGGACTGACCAATGAGGAGGGGGTCTTAACTCATACTCTTAACTCTCTTCATTGGTCAGTCTGCATGAGACTGACTCTCAACTGACGTTCAGTCGTAGGCAGCGAAGCGTCTCTGTGCAGTGCAAAAGCCCGGGTGGACAGTTTGTTTAATATAGGGTGACCATATTTCCATTTCCAAACAAGAGGACAGGTGATCTGTGCCTATGACATCACACTAAGGCAATGCCACACAAACCATGTTGGGACCCATTTTTTGTAAGAACTAAATTAATATCAGATTCTGCCAATAAAAGGGCTCTAAAACAACTCATATGTAAATATTTTGCATATTTAATGCAAAATCTAATTTTTCTGCTTTAGTGCTGCAACAAGGTTTTATTAATAATAAATTATTATACTTTTTGTTTTACTACAGCATCGGTAAGCTTCCTGTGCACAGATTATTAAGGATGCTTGTTTCAGCTGTGAGATTAGACGATAGAATCAATGAAAAAATAAGTTGTCACACACTCCATGGAAACTTTCAGAGAATCCACAGTGGCTTTCAAATGGTTTTGTTACTTTTTGCAAGTTTATAAAAGAAGCAGATGAGACAGCATGTCTGATAATTTAGTTTTTCATCTGATAATATTAGAACATGTCAGTAATGTCTGAGGGGCTTTTATAAACACCATATAACTAACACTACTGGAGAGGGCATGAATTACACAGAGGCTTCTGGGGAGCCCAGTTATTTGGGGGGGGGGGGCATTTTGCCTTGGCCCCCAAAATGTCTTGAAACGGCCCTGGGTGTGTGACTGAGTTTTGAAGGTGATCTGAATTGTATCAGATGTATAAATATGACATGTGTAGAACTTATTGTTTTTTACTGGTAAAAACGTGTAGTGGAGATAAATCTACCTACATTTTACTTTTCAACACTTTGTTTTGTTTTCTTGTTTTTATTTAACTATTTTCCTGTCCTGTCTGTCTCTCATCTTCCTGCATCTCCTCTTAATTCTCCAGAAAATCTGTTGCCTGGATTCTTACTTTTTCACCTCATCAGTTACTTTTGAGCAGATCAAAGGGATCTCTTGACCGAAAAGCGCAGAGCGCGTTTTCGATGCTGCGTCAGTGAGGTGACATCACCACAGCACAGGTGATGAGCTCCGCAGTAGCGAGCTTCAGGCACAAATAAGACAGAAAATAGAGAACATGTGCGGACATGAACGATCGTATGCTAATTATAGTTTTTTGGTTGCGCCACTTTGAGAATGGACCGTGCGCTGGAAGCAGCTGCCTGGATCGCTGTGCAACAATGTGGAACCGGTTCGCAGCAGCGCAAGTCTGCCGGCTCTCCCTCACGCTGATCTGCCGGTACCGGCTCTCCCTCACGCTGATCTGCGGCTCTCCCTCGAGCTGATCTGCCGGCTCTCCCTTGCCCTGATCTGCCGGCTCCCCCTCGTGCTGATCTGCGGCTCTCCCTCGCGCTGATCTGCGGCTCTCCCTCGCGCTGATCTGACTTGCTCTGGTCTGCGCGCAACGGCGGGCGGGAAGGCGGGGCGCTTTTGGAAGAGTTGTGCGACACAATGAATCGATGACGCAATTCGTTGCCAACGCTTTTAGTAATCGATTTTCATCGAATTTATCGATTCGTTGTTGCAGCCCTAGTCTAAACTTATTTAACCAGCTGGTATCAGGTAAACCAACGTATAGAACAACCATTATGAGATGTAAAACCAATCACTGCATTTAGACATTTGATGAAAACCTTAGCTACTACTTGGAAAATAGTTATTTGACACATCAGCATTTTTATTAGTGAGGGTTTTTCTAAGTGAGCCATTTAACAAAAAAATGCCACCATTTGTCAACTCGAGTATTGAATTCATGCAAAGACATCTAAACATTTAAGTTTTTTTTTCCTTCTTCTGCTTCTTAGAGGGTGCAGACGACTGTTTCTTCTCTCCTGCTCCTTATATCCTGAAGGCTCTTGGTCTTGTCTCTGCTGCCAGAGCGCTTTTCTGCATTCCTACTGAAAATTTCAACTTCTTATAAAACTATGGATTTGGTGAGATTGTCTATGAATGAAATTGATATAATTTGTAATAATGTGAATGTGTAAATGTGTACATGGCCGACGCGGTCGCTGCATGTGAGCGGCTCCAAAGTTCTGTGGAGAAGCTGCAGACGGCCCATCCAGCCGCGCTCATTCTCATCAGCGGGGATTTGAATCACGCCTCACTCTCTTCCACCCTCCCAGCTTTTACACAGTAAGTGAAGTTCCACACCAGAGACAACAGGACTATTGACCTGCTGTATCCTAATGCTAAAAACGCACTCCACTCGGCCGCTCAGATCACAATCTCATCTATCAGAAGCCTGAACCCAGGTAGAATAATAAACCCTGGTTGACCCCTGAGCTGAAATCTTGCTGAACGATGGGACAAAAGCTTTTATGGCAGGAGACAAAGAGGAGCAGAGACGGGTCCAGAGGGACCTTAAATAGAAAATCAGATGGGCTAAAGACATCTACAGGAAGAAGCTGGAGAAACCGCTGGGGCAGAACAATGCTTGTGGTGCATGGAGAGGCGTCAGCAACATCACACATCACGAAGAACGAAAAAAAAGAAAGCAAGTGAAAAGGAGTTATTTTCTAATCCACTTTGCCTTAGACCCTGGATCATACATATGTTGTACTTCTATTTAAATGAAAACTAATGATGGGAGTTTGACCACGCCAGTCACATACTTTCAGATTTATCAGCTTGTAAAAGTTTGTTGTTAGCATGACTACAAATCAGACGTTGGTACGTTGCATATGTGACATCACCACATAATCACTCCTCTAGCGTAGCTGCTGCTTACCACATGACCAGATTTATGGTGTTTCTGTCCTCCTGAAGGAAGGATTTGTAGTTTGCTGAACTTCCAGCCATTTTCCCTCTGTTCTTCTCCATGTCTGATTCGATGATGTCACTTTTGTGAAGCACATTTGTAGTCCTGGACTTGTTTTTACACAGAACCTAAAATAACATTTCCTCCCGTTCAAAAATAAGTGCGTTCTTGGTATTAAAATGCATCTTTAAAATTCACGAACATCATATGTGAAATCCATGGGACATAAGAAAATAGTGTTGTTGGCCCCATTGGTCCAGAAGTAGATGGGCGTGACTTAGGCTCCCTATAATGTGTATTAAATTCGTGTTGTGTAGTTCCCTGTTTCCCATCTGATATTTACAGTTGGATATTTTTAGAAAAAATTGTACCTACAT